AGTCTTAATCGTCATCACTCTATCGGGGTATAATTCGTGTAAAAACATCTCATAAACGTGTTGGTATTTAGTGAGTACTCTACACAAGATAGGAGAGGGGGGGGGGTTACTCTCACTTTAGTGTGAATTATCGTACGCAGTTTGTTGCTTGCTAAACGTATGCCGTTGTTTTTTTTGTTATGGTTATTTTTTACAAGATATTGTTAGGCTATAGGAAATTTATATTTTGAAGGTAGTACGGGATACTTCACAAACCTTGTTGTGTTTAGTTAGTTGTTTTTGTTTTTTGTTTTTTTTAACTTTCTTGGGAATTAAAATTAATTAACATTTTGGTCAGTTTTGAATATATCATCGGTAGGATTGTTCGAATAAATTACAACTATCTTCATAAAAAAATTGTGGTGTAACAAAACTAGTTTAAATAATGTATCAAATTTGAAAATTGAGTTACTTAGAACATCAAGTTAGGAAATAATTCCAACTTTGTTCGTTTTTAAAAAAAAACAAAAAAAAAAAAAAACAACTTTCGTGACATTGTTTCGTTAAACAAAAACAAACCGTGTTTACACGGGTAAAATAAAAACTTGGCTGAAGCTTCTGGTTGTCATGGCGAGCAGCTGTGTGTGAGAGAGCGGCACCTAGCGGCTGATAAGAAACGATAGACCCGCTAGCCGGTGACCGCTTGACCTATTTTAGAGGCACGATTGTTGCTTCAAATAATACACGAAAGAGCCATGAAGCTAGATTAAATGGTTCTATCTCTAATAGACTTTTACTGCTGTTTTTTTTTTATATAAGTTTACTCAAATGGTCTTTTGTTTTGTATGTTTTGTAATCTCATATCGATTTTTTTTGGTCTCATGTTTCTGGTTAGTGTGCGTGTTATAATTGGGTTATTTATTTTCTTTTCGTTATTTAATAAACCCTTTTTTTCGCGTGTTGTTTTTCTAGTTAATGGACTTTTTGTATCGTAAAAAAATAACTCAGTTACGGAGACATTGGGCTTTCTTAACTAAGCGATAGTGACGTGTTGTCATGTTACTAAAGAAGTTAATTAGCTTTACCGGAGTCCTCCGTGATATGAGAGAAAAAAAAGTTTTTCTTTGTCTTCGTTTGTTTTTTTTGTATAAAACAGGGGTCAGCTTGGTCGAGTCGGTAAAATTCATGGTTGTTAAATTCGAAAAAGTCTCGAGTTCGAACCCTCTGGCAGATAAGGCTCGATCCCTCCCAACACTAAAAATTAAGAACGAAGAAAAAAGAAGTCTTAAACACATAAGATGGTGGGGTGGGGGGGGGGGGGGGAGGAGGGTACAAGTGACTAAGTTGATTGTGAAGCTGATTTATTATAACCCAGATAGATTATATATGTGTTTTTAATGGACTGAATGATTGTATATTACACTGCACGAATGGTGGTGTGACGTGAAATAAGATGTTGCCTGTGGCTTAAATGATTGTATGACAGATTGAATGATGGTGCGACACTGAATAATTATGTAATCGACTGACGATGTGTGACTCACTGAATAATTATATAACTGGATGCGTAACTGATTTAATTATTGTGTAACATGCTAAAGTATTGCTAGCCTGATTGAATTATAGTGTAACTGAATGAATGATTGTACAGAGGCGTAACGACCTTTCCCGGCGCCCGGGGACAAATTTTCAATTTGCCCCACCCCCCCCCCCCCCCCCCCCATATATTTTTTTAAATATTTATAATGCAAAACTGCAGCTATAATGAACTAAATTTCTTTTCCAACCCATTTTGGCGCCCCTAGGGTCGGCGCCCGGGGACGTATGTACCCCCCTCGCTATGCCTCTGTGATTGTATAACCTACTAAATTATTGCTAGCCTGACTGAATGCTTGTGTAACTGATTGAATTACCGTGTAACTGTCTTCCGCGTAGAACAAGCACGTGAATATAAATATAAACTGACCGGAGAAAACGCAGAACCTTGTATTATTTGTTTAGTCTGTACATCTTCTCTAGGCCGCCTGTATAGGCCCTGCTAAGGAATCTATCGAAGTTGTCTGTGTATTGAAAGATAAACAGCCCAACCTTTACGCTAACGCTGACGTAGGGTGTGTACCGTTCTACTGCCATATATCCCCCTCTCCCCCTTACCCACCGTATGATTCTAGATTTCAGTTTAGTGAGTTACTAGACTACAAGACTTTGACTGAGATTGGTAAATCTAATTAAACAACAACTAGTAACGTGTTATGTAGTAATAAAACTTGAGCCATAGAACTGGTTGGTGACCTACTTACCAGCCCTATTGCCGATCTTTAATTTTATGTATACTTCAGTACATCTAATTAAATAACAACTAGAGACGTGTTGTGTAGTAGGTATATATAAGTTATTGTATATAACTGAAGATTTTACTGAATTTTATGTATACTTTAAATCTGAGCCTAAATGTGCTTTCATGTTACAGACGTTCTCATTGGTTTGTTTATGTTTGATTCTCGTGTATCGTTTCATGTCTGTCTGTTTACCTTAACATGTTTGTTGATAGGTTCCCGTGGCAATGGGTGAAAGATGAACAAAGTAATGCGGGGTTGTTTAAATATGCGATATATTGCTCCGTGTTTTGTATCTTTATGATATGAATCATAAAAGAACGGGTGAAACTTTTGAAATAAAGGGAGGGCAGTTAGTACAAGAAATTTTGGGGGGAAAGTTTGAAATAATAGGGAGGGGGACGACACACACATTTGAACCAATGGAATTAAATATGACCAAAATAAATCTGTTTGGAAAAAAGGGAGAGCATCTAATACAAGGAAACAGAGTTTCTTCCAGGAATCTCTTCGGGGGGGGGGGGGGGGCTTAAGGCCCCCCCCCCCGAAATTTTTTTACCGCCCCCCCCCCCTCGAACGAAATGAAATTTATATAATTTTTATAGAAAATATATACTTTTAACAGTGTCCGCCCCCCCCCCCCCCCCCGAAGAAAGTCTACCGCCCCCCCCCCCTCCCCCCCGAAAATTTCAAGTGCCCCCCCCCCCCCGGAGAAAAAAGTCTGGAAGGAACACTGCAAGGAAATTAGGGGGAAACTATTTAATATACGGGGGGGGGGGGGGTTGAAACAAAAGATTTAAAAAATTGAATAGGATTACCTATGACCAAAACAAATCCGTTTGGAAAAAAGGGAGAGCATCTGGTACAAGGAAATTAGGGGAAACTATTAAATATACGGGGGAGGGGGGGTGAAACATAAACAAAAGATTAAGAAAATGAATGGAATTAAATATGACCAAAATAAATCTGTTTGTGAAAAAAGGGAGAGCATCTGGTACAAGGAAATTAGGGGAAACTATTAAATATACGGGGGGGGGGGGGGGGTGAAACATAAACAAAAGATTAAGAAAATGAATGGAATTAAATATGACCAAAATAAATCTGTTTGTGAAAAAAGGGAGAGCATCTGGTACAAGGAAATTTGGGGAAACTATTAAATATACGAAGGTAAAAGGGAGAAAACGTTTGAAACAAAACAAAACAAAGGTTAAAAAGAAGGGAGAGAATTAAATATAACAAAAAAAGTTTGCGATAAAGGGAGATCATTTGATACCAGGACGTTGTGCACGTGAGGTGTGTTGTGGGACAGGGCAGGGGCGAGGTTTTGTAAGGCTGTGGGGATAGGGGGAAGGTTGGGATAGGGGAAGAGATTGGGGTAAAGAGATGGTTAAGATAGAAAGATGGTTGGGATAGAGAGAAAATTAAGATAGAAAGATGGGAAGATGGAAAGATAGGAAGATCCACACTTACACAATGTAAGAATTGAAAAAAAAATCCATTGTTAACAATGGATATCGCCTGGTGAGTTGTGTTTATTTAAGTGATTTCACTATCTTGCTTCCACTGTGTAGTTTGACTCTAAGGGGAAGCAACTGAAACATTGAAATTGTGATATAAAGGGAGGCGATTTTATTTATAGAAACAAAAGGGTAATTTTGTAAAATGATATTGGTTGCAATTTAGTAGAAGAAAATAAAAGAAGTATCTAATAAAGAGAGATACATTATAAGTTTTATATATACTTTAGTTATACAGAATATATTGTATATTAAAATGCAAATACAGCACACGTATAGGTATTTTTATGTTTGTAATATTATCGAAAATATGTAACGATGTATTCTTTATCATATACATCTCATCAGTCACAAATTACATTGAAAACATTGTATGTGAAAGAAAGATGAGAAATGATTGCAGATAACGTTCGTTCCTTGATTCTATTTTCTATACACAACGAACGAAAATATGATCAGCTGTGTTTTATTCCTTATCGTGCACATCTCATCCCTGCATTAGAATCTCATTCGTCGCTTCCTTATTCATCACATTAGGCTGTACTTTAAGCTATCATTAGTTGATGCTATGTTACTATTTTAAAGTTATCTCCCATAGGGCGAGTATTTTCCCTTTCAAGATGTGATGAAAATTTCATTCACACATATTTTAAACCGATGTGGAGAATATATCGTTTATATATATATCAAGTTCCTGGACGAAGGCGTTATGCTGTAGTACAGGGGTGATAATTGCCAACTTTTATCCAAGAGTTGTCCGTGATTTATAAAACATCACAAAACAAATTGTCTCCCGTTTTTACATTTTCTTTCATAAAGCGTGTACAGTTTAGACGAATGGATAAAACATATGAGAATAATAATGTAGATAGGTTTATAATGCGAGGGGATAAAAAAGAATTACTTTATTAACACGAGAACTGGGAAAAATAAAGGGAGTTTAATATATAAAGGGAACAAAAGAATATATATCTAATACATGTGAAGAAAATTTTCTGAAACGTTATGGAAACATTATAAAAATACGTTTACTTTTTTTTAATGTTAGATGTATGTTAAACGTTGTTTGTAACATGAGGTTATGTACATCTTGATGGTGAGGCTATCTATTTCATCATGGTGCACGTGTAAACCTAACCTCACCCCAATTTACCTCCTCTACCCACAGATTCGGCGTGTCCCGGGTCCCCATCTACATCAACATGGTGAGGGAGCCTCTAGACCGACTTATATCGTACTATTACTTTGTTCGGTACGGCGATGATTTTAGACCGACCTTACGGCGGAGAAAGGCCGGGGATAATGAGGTGAGTCACTTCTTGGATTTCACCGCCGTAGTTAATTAATGTGTAATTAATCATGATTAAAGTCCTGGGTGGGGTTTTTATTATTCAAAAGAAAAATTTAATGACTGTTGAAAAAATGGAAATCGATACAGTTACAGCTTTGTCAGTTGGAAATAATACCGATTCCAGCATTACTAGGGCCTAACAGTCATTTCGCAAGGACTAGGATCCAAGTAATCAGTACATCACTAGGCTTTTGTAGTCATCTTAACATCACTATGGCCAGAGTTTTCTAAGTATCAGTAGGAAATAACATTGATTCCAGCATAACGTATGCTATGTCAGTTGAAGATCATATAAATTCTTCTAGCACAATCTTTTTCTTCGTACTTAATTTTTAATGTTGGAAGGTATTCCCTCCAATACAATTAAGTATTAATTGTTAGCTGGTTATGCGCCATATAGGCCTTGACTCCGATTTCTTTTTGGATTTGCTTCCATAGCCTTTATCCAACCAAGAACAAACTACAAGGCAGCAGTTGTTTGATTTTGGAGTTGTCTCTCCTAGAAGAGTGGCTGTCCCCAGCTGTTGGGCCTCTTCTGTCTGTGGGTTCGAGCTCGAGACTTTTCGGTTTAGCACTCATAAGCTCTACCGACTCGACCTCGCCAACCCAGGTTAAGAACCACTGTTCTAGCAATAGCAGTCCACGTCTTTGTTACAGGTCTTAAAAGTCATTATATTTAATAGCACTTGCGCCTCGGGTTATCGGTGTAAACATAGGATGCAGTTATTACTGCAGTAATTGTGAGAAATTGGTGTCTTAATTTTCAGTAGAATTTCTAGAAAATTCTTAGTTTACAACCTAAGAAAAATCATGGAACTATATTTTTATTGAGGGAAATATTTTCATCTCTGGTGCGGCTAGATTGACTGCTGGTCTATTGGTCAAATCATTCTACTATCTCTAAGACTAGCGGTCATCCTAGCCGCATTACGATTGAAGTAATCTCACTAATTGCTGTGTTTTTATAATCCCATTTCTAAAACGTAATAGTAACCCCTGATCATTATGAATTAAGTCATCTCACCATTGGTGGTATTTAAGTCACACTTCAATCACTTAATCCTCGGTATCATGATATTAATCATCTTACAATCCATAGTATTAAAGTAATCCCATTTCGAAAATGTATCAAATCTCTGTAGCTTTAAGATCTAAGTCATCTTTCTATTAGTAGGACTAAAGCAATTACATTTCTAAAACGCAAAAATAATATCTGTATCATTATGATCCTAGTAATCTTTCTATTAGTAGGATTAAAGTAATTATATTTCTAAAACAGGAATCTCTATAGCATTAAGATCTAAGTCAGCCCTGTATCCCTCGACCCTTACCCTCGACCCTCACCCTCGATCTTGACCCTCGAGCCTCACCCCTCGACCCTCCCCCTCGACCGTCACCCTCGACCCTCACACTCACCCACGACCCTCACCCTCGATCTTGACCCTCGAGCCTCACCCCTCGACCCTCACCCTCGACCGTCACCCTCGACCCTCACACTCACCCACGCCCCTCACCCTCGATCTTGACCCTCGAGCCTCACCCCTCGACCCTCACCCTCGACCCTCACCCTCGACCCTCACACTCACCCACGACCCTCACCCTCGATCTTGACCCTCGAGCCTCACCCCTCGACCCTCACCCTCGACCCTCACCCTCGAAACTCACCCACGCCACCAACAATGGCGTCACGTCATACAAGAGCCCATCCAGCCATATTCAGACACCCCCCCCCCCTAAATTATTAAAACAAAACAAACATCGATCCCCGCGTCATATGGATGTCTAGCGTGACACCTTCGTTTCTTTTTGTTTTGTTTTTCCTTAAGTGAAATAGGAGGTCACGGTGACCTGGTCACGTGAAGAAAAAAAAAATAGGGTCAGATATGTCTGAGATGGCGTCAGGTTGAGGACACGGAAGTGGGGGGGGGGGGGGGGAGTGTTAGATTGGGGGTAGGGGCGGCATCTTTGGAACATGACCATAAACCCCCCAGCGGACATCTTTGGGAGCAGCAAAGAGGAAAACTGTGTTCGGCGTCTGTGGGGGTGAGCTTGTATAGAAGGTTCTAGAGAGTCGAGGTGTTTGTTGTATTGATCGCGGCGTCTGGGTGTTTTTTTAGTTCTCAAGCTCTGTCGTATGACGGTGTCAAAAGCCTTGTTGTCTATAGTCTATAGCCGACATTTTTTTAGTTCTCAAAGCATTGCCTTTGTCGTTTGATGGTGTCAGTTTCTGTCTAAAGCATTTTTGTCTATAGTCTATTGCCGCGTTTTTTTAGTTCTCAAAGCATTGCCTTTGTCGTTTGATGGTGTCAGTTTCTGTCTAAAGCATTTTTGTCTATAGTCTATAGCCGAGTTTTAACAAATTACTTTTTTTTTTTAAAATCAAATCTCGACAGGGACTTGTTAAAAACTTGATCATCATAGAATTATGGATACTTGTTTTCTTCGGGGTGTTGATGGATACAGTTATAAACATAGAAGGTGGAGGTACAGACTCCAGTGACTTTGTTCAGTTAATGTGATGTTGCAGAAGGGATGGGGAGGTGGGGCTTTGTGACGCCATAGAGGATGGGGTGTGGCTTTTTGATGACGAAGTGTGACGATAAAGGGTGGGGGTAAAATTCGGCTTAATTATCCTGATGTCAATTATAGACACCCACCCTACGGGAAAATCATACATTTACCAAAGTCATTGTTTGGTGGGGGGGGGGGGGGGTGTAAAGGCGTATTTTTTAATACTAAAAATGTAATTACATTGCTCACACTGAAGTTTATACTTTAAGCCATGTCTCTATCATTATCGACACTCAAGTGGATTCTTACTGCACCCTGACCCCACTCCTTATTACACCATAGTTTAAACGCATCTTCTGGTGACGCGTTACACACACACACACACACACACACACACACACACACACGTACGCACACACATACCCACACGCACGCACACACACATACACACACACACGTACGCACACACATACACACACACGCGTACGCACACACATACACACACACACACATGTACGCACACACATACACGCACGCACGCACACCACCCCCGTTACATCACTGAGACCTACGTAACACACTTCCCTGTTGCCGGCCTTGAGAGTGTCCGAGTTAAATCTGATGTTACCCGATCTCTGTAGGCGTCAAGTCACGTTACACCCGTTAGGGAAAGAAGAGAAAAAAGTTCATGCTGTAACTTTAGAAATAAAGTGTGGGCCTTGCACGCTTAAAGTAGGTGGTGGGTGCATTTGAAACGTTGCTAGATGTAAATTTCGCTTACATTCATTAAGTTGCTACATGTAAATCTCGCCTACATTCAGTAAATTGTTAGTTGTAACTTTTATTACATTCACTAAATTGCTAGCTTAAACTTCGCTTACATTCAGTAAATTGCTAGTTGTGAACCTCGCATACATTCACTAAGTACATGTCTAGTATCTAAGAAAGTGGGATAGCGAAAGTCTCGAGTTCGAATTCGTCGTTTAAGTCAGTAGAATGTCACTGAGTCCACCCAGCTCTGGTCATAGTGCTGACTACTTTAGACCTTCATATGCCGATGTCTCTGACACAGATGAACTCTAATTTATCTGCCCGTGTGTCTTGGGCACGAACGGGAAAAGGTGATACTGATTTGAATCTAACAAATATCTAATACATTTACGAATATTTGAATTGCTATCAGATTCTGTTTGCTTGATACTAATCTTTAAATTAATTATTTTCTGCAAAAGATTATAAATATGGAGGGTTATTTTTTTATTTTTTGATCATCAGAATATGTATAGGCCCTACCGAGCGTATGATATTGGTATGCTTTTTGTGTTGTTGTTTTATTGTGTTCACTTTGTTCTCATTGCACAATTCTCCTTGGCGCATTTTCCCGTGAACCTAAGCTTGACACCCTAGCCTTGTATCTTAACAGTTGTTTAACGTCTGCTACCGCTAACTGTAGCTAGAATCTAAATGAGATAGAAGTTAGTAAAATTTAATTTATCTCACTTTAGCCCCACCCCCTTTTAAAAAAAAAAAAAATTAAAAACATGTATCACATCTGATGTGATGATTAAAAGAAATTAATTAACTTTCCCATCGCGATTATTTAGATTGGTTTTTTTTTTCAAACTGCGATTACTCGTAAAAGTTTTGCCTCAGGGTGTCCATGTTGAAGAGTTTGAAACTAGTCTGTAGTCTGAATACTCTCTCCATCTCGGACATTTATATTATTTTTTAAAACCCTGGCTTGCTTTAATATTTGTTCCTTAAAAAATGTACCTCTCGGATTCTCTATTTTGAAGAGTTTGTTATTTATGTAGCCTGTGATTAACTTCACCATCATCATCATTCCTGTGGACCTTTAGTGTAGCAGAGGGATGCTACCCCACCCCTCCATCGTACTCGGTTCTGGGCGATTCCTCCATGTTGGGTCCACGACATTCCGGTTGTTTCTGCTTCTCCTACAGCTGACCTTTTCCCATGTTTGGCCTTCCTACTTTCATGCCTTCCTACTTCTCTCTTTCCTTGGAGATTCCAATCTAGTGCCTGTCTGATGATTTTGCTAGTTGGTTTACTCAGGGTGGGCGTGTCCAATCCATCCCCATTTGCGCTTTTGTATTTTTTGCCAATAGAGTCTTGCCCAGTTTTTTTCTACAGTTAAGCATTGGTAATTATTTTTTCAGGTAACCTAATGATCAATATGCGACACAGGCATCTGTCATAGCGTAGTTAGATAAAAATAGACTAGACTTGTAGAGATTACTAAGGACGGTGTAAACTTGATAATGAAAGTCTGAAGTTTGTTGTTAGTAGTTTGTTAGTTCATTTATTAGTCTGTTACTCTCCACGTCTGAGAACTATAGAGGAGAATAGATTTCACTTTGCTGTTAAACAATCGTATTTTGGAAAGTGTAGACAATCTCCCGACGTCCCGGTTTTGCGAAGGGTGTTAAATGCGTACCCGGTGATTAATTCAGTAGGCCATGATGAATCCCACGTTTGTTAGGACGTGTGGATGTAACTACAAAGTGTCTCATTCAAATCAACTTGTACCAGTATTTGCCGCGTTGCTGCAGTCTAGTGTAATACTCACGACCGTCTTTATTCCTTACTCGATACTTTCGTGATTATACACGTTCTACAATTTCTATTTAAACAGTATGATATCGCATCAGTTCACTAACCACCCACCCCCATATTTCACCTCCCCCCCCCCCCTCCTGAAAGTGATGGTTAGATGTTTTGTTTATGTTGAGCTATAAACTTTCTGTAAGCGAGATCTAAGACGCCCTGGCTAATATAACACGCTGTAAGGGAGATAACAAACACATAAACGAATTATTTATACGCAACAGAGTTAGAGCTACTTGCTTTGAACATGCAGATATTTTGTAAATAGTAAATTGAATTAATCAACCAAATATATGTGCATTTCAACAAGTATATTTTTATAAAATTTATGTATGCCTACAGCAGATCAGTGGTATAGGGAGATCTTGATGTGGCAGTTCTCAATTATTTTCCCATATATATATATATATATATATATATATATATATATATATATATATATATATATATATATATATATATATATATATATATATATATATATATATATATATATATATATAAATTTAATATAAAACACACCCCTTGCATCCAGCACTGACATAGACACCTTTTGTTTCTTCTTCTAGTCATTTGATGAATGTGTAACCAGGGGAGGTAAAGACTGTGATCCAGAAAATCTGTGGGTGCAGGTTCCTTATTTCTGTGGGCACCATGCAGATTGCTGGTGAGTACTGGTCTATGTTGTCCCACAGTATAGATGGATGAGGTGGTCTGTATATGCCAGTGTTGTTACATGTTGGTCAGTAGATGGTGATGTTGGTCAGTAATAATTTATGATATAAAGACTTTATTCTCCATAATGGCTGATTAATAACTATAAAAAAGAAAATATAAATAGTTAAAAACTAAAAAATGTATTCAGTGTCGTTTTTAGTTATTAAGTAAGAAAGAGCAAGATTGTTGGTAGTTAAGAAAACTAAGAAAGAGCAAGGATATATCACTATATATGTTTTATTGTGAGATTTACATAGCATAGTATGAACTCTAGCTATATTTTTAAAAGTATTTTTGAACCATCCATCAGTTTTATACTTTACGGAGAAGCTATCTTTGATAAGGGTGATACACATAGACATTGAGGGGGGGGGGGGGGGCGTGGCCTAGCACAAGAGGGCTAGACTACTAACCCAAAAGTCTCGAGTTCAAATCCGGGTTCATATCAATAGAATGTCCCAGAGTCCACCCAACTGTGATGGGTACTTAACTCAGGTAAAGGAAACGAAGCCGGCTTGGCAAAATGCTGACCACGTTATCACCTTGTATGCTGCGGTCATTAAAACAGATTAATTCTACTACATCAGCCTCATGTGTCTTGGGCACAAAGAAGATACAGAGAAATTAGTCAAGTCTGCAATTATATATCCTACTGAACAGTGGTAGATAACACTTTAAATGCAATGAGCCGATTTATTATTATTCCTGCCAACATTTTAATGAGCCGCACTTTCAGGGAGCCAGGTAACCAGTGGGCCCTGGAGGAAGCCAAGCGGAACCTCCTGCACCACTACCTCCTGGTGGGCATCACGGAGGAGCTGAGGGACTTCCTGGCCGTGCTGGAGGCCACACTGCCCCGCTTCTTCAGGGGGGCCACGCAACTCTATGCTGAAGGTATGCTCAGTTCTGAAGGTATGTCCTGGTAGTCTATTGTTGAGGATGTCTTGGTAGTCAATTGTTGAGGGTGTCTTTATAGTGAAGTTTGTGTCCTGGTAGTCAATTGTTGAGTGTCCTTATAGTCAATTGTTGAGGGTGTCTTTATAGTCAATTGTTGAGGGTGTCCTTATAGTCAATTGTTGAGAGTGTCTTTATAGTGAAGTTTGTGTGTCCTTGTAAAAAGGTTAATGTGTCTTTGTTGTAGAGTGTATCCTCTTAGGGGATTATTGAGTGTGTCTTTATAGTGAAGTTTTGTGTGTCCTTGTAGAAAGGTTAATGTGTCTTTGTAGTTGCGTGTTCTCATAGGGACTATTAAGTGTGTCTTTATAGTGGAGTTTGTGTGTCCTTGTAGTAAGGATAATGTGTCTTTGTAGTTGAGTGTGTCCTCATAGGGATTGTTGAGTGTCTTTATAGTGGATTATTGAGTGTGTCTTTAAAGTGGATTATTGAGTGTGTCTTTATAGTGGATTATTGAGTGTGTCTTTATAGTGGATTATTGAGTGTGTCTTTAAAGTGGATTATTGAGTGTGTCTTTATAGTGGATTATTGAGTGTGTCTTTATAGTGGATTATTGAGTGTGTCTTTAAAGTGGATTATTGAGTGTGTCTTTATAGTGGATTATTGAGTGTGTCTTTATAGTGGATTATTGAGTGTGTCTTTATAGTGGATTATTGAGTGTGTCTTTATAGGGGATTATTGAGTGTGTCTTTATAGGGGATTATTGAGTGTGTCTTTAAAGTGGATTATTGAGTGTGTCTTTATAGTGGATTATTGAGTGTGTCTTTAAAGTGGATTATTGAGTGTGTCTTTATAGTGGATTATTGAGTGTGTCTTTAAAGTGGATTATTGAGTGTGTCTTTATAGGGGATTATTGAGTGTTTCTTTATAGTGGATTATTGAGTGTGTCTTTATAGGGGATTATTGAGTGTGTCTTTATAGGGGATTATTGAGTGTGTCTTTATAGTGGATTATTGAGTGTGTCTTTAGAGTGAAGTTTGTGTATCCTTGTAAGGGTAATTGTCTTTGTAGTAGAGTGTGTCCTCTTAGTGGATTATTGAGTGTATCCTCAGTGGATTATTGAGTGTGTCTTTATAGTGGATTATTGAGTGTCTTTATAGTAGATTGTTGAGTTTGTCTTTATAGTGGATTGAAGTTTGAATATTCTCATGGTAGTTTGTAGATGATATTGTGAATTGTATAAGTTTTCGTGAAGTTTGTATGTCCTCAAGGTGAAGTTTAATGCAGTGAGTTTACACCTGTAAACTTATTAGATAGTTCAGTACAGATTCCTTAGGTCTTCACAGGTTCGGTTGAAGGATTGGTTTATGTCCGCAGAAACTCATTTGATATTAATAAATTCTTGTTCAGGATTTACAAAACAAATTTTATAATGAACTTTTTGTTGCGTAACAGTTTTGGCATCAATTACTATGAAGAAGCTATTTATTAAAGACTTTGTCTTTGTTATGCTTTTCTCTATATTTCAGATTTCTCCTAAACCTTTTTAGTACAGAATTAAAGTAACGTTTTATCTTTTGGTTTTAGGCTACTTATTTTAAGAAGTGTATTTCCCTATGTGATTCCTTTGGTGCAAGCTTAGTGTTACTTTTTTTTAAAAAATCATTTTGGAAGAACCTTTCCTTTTTTCTTTCTTTGAAATGGAACTATTCTCTCTTAAGGCTAAACCAGGAAGTAATTCCTCCCATTTTGCGATGTTTTTGGAATTGAAGACTTTTCTGTACTGGACATGCCTTAAAGGCTTGATGTGATGGTTTTGACACATATTCTCCGAGGGCCCTTCATACAGTACCTAAAACCTTCCTCTTGTTTGGTCATTTCCAGGTCGTCAGTCCCACCTGCGCCAGACGGCAAAGAAAGTTCCGGCCAAACCGGAGACTATTGCCAAAATCAAACGCTCCATTGTGTGGAAGCTAGAGCAAGATTTTTACCTGTTTGCTCAGAGACAGTTTCATTACATGAAACAGCTCACGTTTGGTAGACATAGAGGCCAAATGAGAGAGAAAGATAAACGGTTTCATTTTGGGAAGTTAAGGCCTAAAGACCCACAGGAGCTAGGGGACTGATCTAATGGGACACTTTGGGGTTGGTGTCTTTTTTTTTTTCTTTCTTTCTTGCCTTTTTGAGATGATCCGCTTTCTTGTTTTATTTTTCTCACTCGGAGTTAGGAATATTTTCATCTTGGCTGTTTTCATAGCACTGACTACTGCTTTGATTGTTGGTATTGCAATTGTCTAAGTTTGTATTGTTAGAGTGAGGTACCTTGGTAGGGAGAGGAATGTTTTTCTTGTTTTGGTTTTGCAAGCTTGTAACAGGGTAGTTTTATTTTATCACTGTGTGTAGTTAGTGCTGACAGAAGCACGAAGCACGAGGCAGATTTATAAATGGCTCAAGTTTTTGCATCAGATATTTTCTTACATTTGGCTTGCCCCTTTTTGTCAAACTTGCTTTTTCATAGCAGCACAGTTCACGATTTTAACATCTATAAAAGCTTGTACATCATTATTGTGATGATGTGTTTTTATTTAAACTTTACGTCAATGAATTTTAATTGCTTTTTTGTATTCTTACATAATCTTAAAAGTCTGTTTCAACTGCATTTTTAAAATTTTAAATACCAGTTCACCACACTGCATTTATTTTTTATATTTAAAAACTAAATATATTTTTTAATTATTTTTTTTTTAATCTATATGTGTTACTGCACTACTGTGAATGTCTGTATCATCCTAACTATATTATTTGATGTTAATTTTCAATGCAACATTTTTCCCCCTTTATTTACAGGCCGGAAATCGCATTTAAGAAAAACAGCCAAAAAAATTCCACCCAAACAAGAAACCATCGACAGAATTCAGAGCTCACAGATATGGAAAATGGAAAAAGAGTTTTATGAATTCGCCAAAGAACATTTCCACTATGTAAAAAATCAGATGTTTGATACTATAAACGGGGCTTTGGTAGCTAAAGATGGGAGGTTTATGTTTGAAAAAATGAGACCAAAATGATGGCGGTGGAGGAATATTTATTTCAGGCTGTTATCAACAATGGGTGCGTAGTGGCATACTGCAGTCAAGTCAGTGTGCCGTAGCTTACCCAGCTATTTTGAGTGTGCTATAGATACCACAACAGTGTAATCAAATCAGCGGAAGCTTAGTTGGTCATAAATTCACCTCACCATATGTGCACGCTGTATTGAAACCAGTGTGCCATCGATGACCACGACAGATGAACCTACTGTAATCAAGTCAGCGGAAGCTTAGTTTGTCATAAATTACCTCACCATATGTGCACGCTGTATTGAAACCAGTGTGCCATTGATGACCACGATAGATGAACCTACTGTAATCAAGTCAGCGGAAGCTTAGTTTGTCATACATTACCTCACCATATGTGCACGCTATATTGAAACCAGCTAACAACAGATGCAAACATCGTAGTCACTCCAGTAGAAACTTTGTATCTGAAAGATTGAAAGAAGAGATGATCCAGCCCCGGTTTCAGTGGATTAAGTTAATCTCAACAATGCAATAGCTGTAGTGTTTGACAACTGTCCTGATTATCTCAGAGCTGTAATGTAAGCTACTGTGTAGCAACATTAGCTGCATTTATTTTTTATGACTGTCAGGGGGTACTCGCTAAACTTGCGTGAATGAGGCTATTTTTTTTTATTGGGCAATGAAGAGGTAATGATAATTTGCTAATTGTTAAATGAAGAAAGCAGGTGATATTATAGCTGATACATTTTACTGTGAATACTGTAAAAATATTTTAGTTTTTCACAAAGTAAACTTTTCTCTGTCCTGAAGAAATATGGTAAACTTTCACTGCTCTGAAGTAAAATGATAAGCTTCCTCCGCTCTGAAGAAACATCATTCCAAGATGGTAAACATATTTTGCCGTAAAGAAATATAGTAAACTTTTCTCTTTCCTGAAGAAATATGGTAAACTTTCTCTGCTCTGAAGTAAAATGATAAACTTTCTCCACTCTAAAGAAACATTCTTTTAAGATAGTAAACATATTCTGACGTAAAGAAATATGATAAAACTTTTCTTTGCCCTGAAGAAATATTGTAAACTTTTCTCTATACTGAAGAAATAAGGTAAACTTTCTCCACTCTGATGAAACATTCTTTTAAGATGGTAAACATACTGTGATGTAAAGAAATATGGTAAACTTTCACTGCCCTGAAGAAATATGGTAAACTTTCACTGCCCTGAAGAAATACTCTTCTAACTGGCTAAACAGACACTGCCCTCCAGTGTACATTGTTATTGATCATTCAAGTTACATTCCTCCACATGAAGTATTTGATAGCGCGGGAGGGAAGAGGATGTAGAAGTATAGGGAAATTGTTGATGAACATGCTCAAATTTGTTTTAGAGTATTATGAGGTTTTTTTGTTGTGAAAAGTTGTTTGATGGTGGTGTAGATGTGAGGGATGCTGGGAGATAGGAAAAGGTGGATAGGATAAAATAAAATGTGGATAGGATTATATAAATTTTTTACTGTTTTTTTTTTAGTTCTAAGGACAAAAAGCTGGCTAATATTCACTATTTTATGGCTACTTGTAACTAAATTAAAATACTAAAAGACAAGAATAGGGTCTAATATTTTTTGGGAGCGTTAATATAATTGAGGGAAAGCATTTAAAAAATTAAAATAAGAGAAAACGACCAATATGTTTACAATTGTTAAAGTGTATGGAATGGAAGAGCATTTAAATTATGTTTTGAATGTTTTAAGCATTAAATATTTTACATGCATTTTGCTGCATTTTTTTGTGTTGTGAAATAATTGTGTGTGTCAGCTTGGGCTCTCTGTGTTCATTGTATAAAAAACTGAATTGATGTATATAGTTAAAATACTAGCACAAAGACTTTAAAAGATTTTTATTTTGTGTTGCATATAAAAAAAATTGCTGATTTTTGCAACCGGTTTTACAATTATTGCACCAGTATTTGATTGATGTAGTGATTTCTGTCTACATTTAGAGTCGGGAGTAAGATAAAGTGACGTTAGTTACTATGCATCAAATGATATTCAGTTTTTTTCCCATTCAGGTAAAGTTTTTGTTTGTTTAGGGCAAACTCATTGTGGTCCTGCAGATGATTTAGTCACGCAAGGTATGCTTTAATTATTTAGCTTTATCCTCACGCCAATGGTTTTATTTTTTTACAAATGTACAATCATATACGAGATTTTTAGACAGGTATAATGTCTAAACAATTTTACATTTTTTATTTAACGGAATACCCCAGACAATTTTTTAAATTCTTGTTTTGCACTTTTGCTTTTAATTATTTATTTTCATACTGACTAGACGCAATGTAAATACTAAGAGATATACAAGTACTTAAGATGTTGCTGAAGTGTATTAATTTTTAGAAGGGATGCGAATTTTATATTTGGGAAAAATGCCAGAAAGAATAACAATGGTTACAATGTAATTCTGTGAGGTCTAGTTCCTTATTTTATTAGTAGTGCAGGAGTTGATGTCAAGTGACATTTGATATAATGTGAACATCCCATACTGATGTACATTTATACATGGACTCTAACCTTTTTTTAACCAGTGATTGATGTTTGTTATAAATTATCCTATGTTGATGTATTCACCCTATATGTTGTACTGTAATTACGCGCAAGGGTTCTGTATATTTTACTCACTGTTTTGATAATGCTTGTGATAAATTTACTTGAGAAAAAGATTTTAAGCTGTATATTTCATTTGTTTGTTGCCTAAAGAATTTACTTTTGGTTTTTACCAAAACAATATCCACAGATCTGTTTATACAGTAATTTTTGTTTTGTTTTTATGTATCAGGTAGCTTGGTTACTAGTCAGTGAGGTGTGGTAAGGGTTGGTGGTGAGTTGTGGGTGTGGTGACGTGTGACTGACGTGTGACTATTGGTGACTTATACCATGATGTATGGCTAGTGGTGACATCTGACTTGAGGTGACATGTGACTTGTGGTGACATGTGACTTGTGGTGACATGTGACTTGTGGTGACATGTGACTTGTGGTGACATGTGACTTGTGGTGACATGTGACTGGTGGTGACATGTGACTTGAGGTGACATGTGACTTGTGGTGACATGTGACTTGTGGCGACATGTGACTTGTGGCGACATGTGAATTGTGGTGACTTGTGACATGTGGTGCAATGTGGTGACATACTTTTGTGGTGACATGTGACTTGTGGTGACATGTGACTTGTGGTGACATGTGACTTGTGGTGACATGTGACTTGTGGCGACATGTGACTTGTGGTGACATGTGACTTGTGGTGACATGTGACTTGTGGTGACATGTGACTTGTGGCAACATGTGACTTGTGGCGACATGTGACTTGTGGTGACATGTGACTTGTGGTGACATGTGACTTGTGGCGACTTGTGACATGTGGCGACATGTGGTGACATACTTTTGTGGTGACAAGTGACTGGTGGTGACTTATACCTTGATGGTGATGTGTAGCTAGTGGGGATATGTGACCAGTGGTGATGCGACATGTAACTGGTGGTGACATGTGACAATTGGTGTCTTTTACCTGGTGGTGATGTTTGACTAGTGGTGACGTGACTACAAGTGATGTGTGGCTGATGACACTGGTGGTGACATGTCACTACTTGTGATGTGTGGCTGGTGGTGACGTGTGACTGACTGTTGACGCATACTCTGTGGTGACCTGTCGCTGGTCACTGACAATCATACAAATTTGATCTGTGTTGTACATAACATTCAAAGAAGTTAAATTATAATTTATAAAGTGTCATGAATCTTAATCAAAGTCAATCTCAACTATTTTTCTTTTTTTTTTATTTAATTTAATTTTTATCTTTCTCTATTATGTTTACATCATTTTAATGTAATAAAAAGTTTTTAAGTTTTTCATAGTAAAGAAATTCTGGTTGCCAGTTTTCTAGACTTACTACACATATCAGTTTATTTTTATTACCTCCCTTGTTTTTTTAACTGCTTCTGACTGCATTACTTAAGTCTGCATCACAAGCATTGAAAACTCCAACTTTCTCCACTGATTATTATTGTTGTTATATCAAGTCCAGCCAAACCTTGTTATGTAAAAGAGGCAAGATATGCAGTAGTCTTTTAGTGAGTAAAGTTGATGTACCATCGTCATCATAAGTGTACTCAACCTTAAACCATTCACATTTTACAACTTGTTTCGTTTATAACTTTCTACCACTGATAATTTTTTGTGAAAGTTTTTAATTTTTCCTGGCTTTTCCCCCTGATTTATGTGTGCCTTTTACTTACTTCATTGAATGCTTGCTAATATGCTTCCTCTTTAATTGATATTTCTGTATTATTTTTTTTGGTACTGTTGTGGGTGATTGTTATAAAAATATGACTGAGAAAACTTAATTCTGCAAGGAAATGAAACAATTTAAATGACCAATGTATGTAATGATCATCCAGGTTCATCATTTCATCTGATGATTTCTCCATCTAAAGACTCTCCCCAAGTAATTTACAACCAGCGTGTGTTTTTAAGTGTTGATTTAGTTTTTCAATGAACATATTTTACTAGGCTTAACAGTGCCCAATAAGAGAAATAAGTGATTATTTTGTAATTTTACATTAAAAATAAACTGTTCAAAAAGAGAAATAACAAACAAATATATTTTCCGGCATATCAGATGATTTTTTTTTAACCCAGGAAAAAAGTCCAAAATATCGTGGGATGTAAAAAGTCCAAAATATTAGGGGATGTATAAAAGTCAAAATAATCGGGGATGTAAATAGTCCAAAATATTGGAATGTAAAATGTCCAAAATATCAGGGGATGTCTCATCTGGTAGGTGTCACCTGATAGGTCTAGTACATGCCAAACTGAATAAATTAGCTGGAGAAGTTGGTGTTGCTTATGCCCACATTCATCTTATAAGCTGGAACATATAGTTGTACTTTCCCCACCGCTTTGTGGCTGAGTTGGATTTTTTCTCTAGACAAACAAGTAGAGCAAGTTGTAAGCCAACACTTTTTCTATTTGGCCATTTAGTTTAAGAGCAGTTGTCAACCCAACTGGTTTGGAAAAAAATAATTTTCTTTCAATCAGGGAACCTTGTCATTGGGTACAAATTTTCCATTGACAAAATCCATCAAAATACAATTACCTCATTTTTTTAACAACAGTTATTGCCCTTTATCAATGTATTTATTTACTGGTATTTTATTACCCCAGGCAGTGTAATCAAACTGTATTGAACGGGACTCCGTGCTTGCTCACAGTTCTGTATGGATAGCTCCACCCTTGTTATTTTTAGCTTGAATCATTGTTTTCTTAATTTATTTTTGAAGATAATAAATCAAATGATAAAAATTACCTTGTTATTTTTAGCTGTAATCATTGTTTTCTTAATTTATTTTTGAAGATTATAAATCAAATGATAATTAATATTATGTGTTTGTTTTTTTAATGTATGTTATATTTACACTTTGATTCAAAACTATTCCTTACTAAACCACTACCCATACGTTAGTTGATTTATTAAAATACGTTTTTACGAAACATTTTTAAAACTGTATTCTAAAAAAAAATTATTGTTTTAATTGCTAATTATTTTAATTAAAAAAGTCATGTATTTATATATTTTTATGTTATGAAGTGTACTCCAGTTGTTTTTTAGTTTCTCTATCGCCTTCCTGAATAGCATAAATAATACATTCATGATTTTTTTTTAAATTTATTAAAATACGTTTTTACGAAACATTTTTAAAACTGTATTCTAAAAAAAATTATTGTTTTAATTGCTAATTATTTTAATTAAAAAAGTCATGTATTTATATATTTTTATGTTATGAAGTGTACTCCAGTTGTTTTTTAGTTTCTCTATCGCCTTCCTGAATAGCATAAATAATACATTCATGATTTTTTTTAAATTGCAAATTACTGCGACTTAATACATTCATTTTATAAGAACCTAATGAAATTATAAATCTCAAATGTTTTTGTTGATCAGGTTTCTATAGGATAAAATAACCAATTAAAAAAAAACATTTTTGTTAAGGTTAAAGTGGTTAAAATTTCTCCTCTCTATATCAAAACACTGTCTCTATCCTCTAATATTGTTAATTAATGAAGCAAATTAAACTCAAAATGTATTCCCCAGGTATTATAATTTGATATTACATCTAAAGATATAATCAAAAGCTCATATAATTTATTTGTATTCCATGTATAATTGGACTGTTTTTGTTATTGAAATAGTTATACTACCTTAATTAATCTAATTAAACTAATAGAATCTAATAAAATCATGTTTTTTAGAAGCGAATTACTCTCAGTATAAAATGTATATTTATTTTTTCTTAATAACTATTTTCTGCTCAGTGTATTTAGTTATGCCTTAGGAATGGAAATTCTTGATATTTTTTTTTGGTCAAAAATGTAATTGACTAATGATTTTCCTTCTGAAGTAAGGCTCAGTGATACATGTTTAATTTGTTGTGTATGGAGAGCCAGAATGCACAGCTATTTATACAGTACATGTATTAATAAGAATCCAAACTACTTGTTGTGCACTAATTAACCACAACTTTATACAAGCAAATGTTCGGGTCATTTAAATGTGTACAATATTTGGGTTTAGCTAGGTGACTTTAAATGTGTACAATTGGGTTTAGCTGGGTGACTTTAAATGTGTACAACAATTTGATTTAGCTGGGTGACTGTAAATTGTGTACAACATTTGGGTTTAGCTGGGTGACTTTAATGTGTACAACATTTGGGTTTAGCTGGGTGACTTTAAATGTGTACATTTGGGTTTAGCTGGGTGACTTTAATGTGTACAACATTTGGGTTTAGCTGGGTGACTTTAAATGTGTACATTTGGGTTTAGCTGGGTGACTTTAAATGTGTACAACATTTGGGTTTAGATGGATGACTTAAATGTGTACAACAACTTGATTTAGTTAGGTGACCTTAATGTGTACAATCCTTGTGTGCAATAGCTCTCTCTGGTTTGTGATTACAATATTTTCATGTTAATCAGTCTACTTAGGAGATGATTGGGGTTAGGGGGGAGGGGGGAGGTCCTTTAACCCCCCTTTGAATATGTGTGTACTATAACAATTGTTATCAAGCACAAATCAGCATAAATCATTTCTCCATGTTAGAAGACACTTAAAGTAGCAAACCTCATTTTATACATTGAAAGATTTTTTTTTAAAATTAACATATAATTTCAAATTACTAACCGAACTTGTATTGCTGTAGTCAATCACAAGTAATATTATAAAACAGTTTTTTTTTTAAAACTCAGGTAATATTAGCTAAAGTGCTGATAATTTAATTTATATGTAGCTATTTTTAGTCAACCATCCTGTACCATTGTATTTGTATATACTGGTAAAAAAATGTTTTTGTTTTAAAATTTTGGCTTTGTGTTATCTGCCTGGTTGTATGTTGAATGTTTTCCCTTATGTGTAAGTAATAAGCTGTAAATAATGTGTACAGTAAAATGCTTTATCAGGTCTGGCTTTGTTATGTTTTGATTTGGTTTGTTTGTTTTTCACTAAAGGGTGCAAGGGAAAGGGTGAAGTTTGATTTGCAATGGTTTTGAATACCCCAACATTGACTTTTGAATCTGGTATGGACTACTGTTCTTTATTTTTAAAAAAAAATAGGTTTTTATTATATCAGCTTTGAAATAAAATACCTAAACCTAGCACTATCATCCAGAGTTTCCTCCAGGCATCTCTTCTGGGGGAACAAAAAGGAATTTATATAGATAGAAAATATATTTTTTATCAGTGTCCACCCCCCCCCCCCTTTCCCCGAGAAAAAAGTCTGGAAAAAACACTGCCATCATCTAAAGGTAATAGTTTTTTTTTTTAATCAGATTTGAAATAAATGCCTAAACGACTATCATTTGATTACATTATGTTTGGGGTGGTCAAGTCGGCTGGACACCGTGCTATCCACCAGAGATCTGGTATAGTAGCCCTGTTCACCAAAGATTTAATTCTACTACCATCATGAATGATTTACTTTTTCCTGAGTCGGGGAATATTTACAGTGATCTCCCCTTACCTAGTTCACACGGTTACCTGACCTTTACACTGCTGCATTCATTGGAGAGTACTGTATAGAAAATTAGATTTTCATTGACCTTCACCGTCTGCAACTTCGATACAGATGAGGAGGGAATAGGAAAAGTATTTATTTTAAAAAAAATCAAGTCAACAATTGTAAAATTTATTTTCAAGCATGAATCAACAGGAACATAAATAGAAAAAAAAAAGTACATTGTAATGTAATTGCTGTATAAATAATACGAAAAATCCTGTCACTTAAAAAGTACGTAATAAATATATGCTAGCAACAGCTATGGTTAATTTATAAAAGTATATGAAAACAACATAAGTAGCCTACTTCTCTTTTTTTTAAATACACCTTATGATGACATAATTATGTCAGTACCAATGGCGTCACAAGGTCAGGTGTCATCCGGTGCGGTATGACTATTTCGCATTTTCAGTTTGGTGTCACCCCAACCCCCTACTATTTTATCATTTAAGCTGGATAAAACATTATTACTATTTTCGATTTGGCGTCACCCCCTAAATGGTGTCACCTGGTGCGGACCGCACCCCGCTCAAGACATGTGACGCCATTTGTCAGAACTGATAATACATTAATAAACAGGCTAACAAGCAAAGAGCTTAGCCGAAAACATTGTGTTAGTTCTACGGCTGATTAGGAAATACACGTGTATTCAACATTCAATACTCGGGCAGATGAGGCTCGATAGCTAGGGACAGCAACTCTTCTATGAGAGACAGCTTCAAAATCAAAACAACTGCCTTGCACAGAGTTTCCATGCATCCTTTTTTAGCCCCTTCCCCCCAAAGAAAGTCTAACCCCCCCCCCCCCCCCCCCCCCCCCCCAATGAAATGGAATTTATAGACCCAGAAATGGTTTTAAAAGTCTAGAAGAAAAACTGGCCTTGTAGTTTGTTCTTGGTTGGACAAAGGCTATGGAACCAAATCCAAAAAGAAAAGCAGGCTGAAATCGGAGTCAACGGTCTATAGTCTATACTATATAGCGCATAAAAAAGTTGACACGTAATACTTAATAGTGTTAGAGTGAATCCTTTCCAACACTAAAATTAAGAACGAAGAACAAGATAAAAAAAAAACATTCAATAAAACCATTTAAAAATATGTTTTTAAACCAAGTCTTTTCATTAAAACAAGGCCTGCGTTAAGATCCTATAGGCCATAGAAATGTTGATGCCGAGACCGGCAAAAAACACCATAGCCCGACTGGGCTGGGGGATGGCGAAGATGTAGAACACCGTGTGGAAGAACCGGCTGATGGTGAAAATACGGAAGTGGATTCTGGCCGTCTCGTAGGCGGGGCCGGTGGCCACGTAGAGGAGGCCAAGTAGGACAAAGGGGATCACGTTCTCAAGGTCGTTTCTGTGACATCTGTCAGAGAAAAAGATTAATATATTCGTGGGTTCCAGTGTTTCTTCCAGACTTTTTTCTCTGGGGGGGGGGGGGGGGGGGGGGACACTGTTAAAAGTTTATATTTTCTAAATAAATTCCCATTTCGTTCGGGGGGGGGGGACTTTCTTCGGGAGGGCTCCGCCCCCCTCCCCTCCCCCTCCGAAGAGATGGCTGGAAGAAACTGTTGATATATATTCATATTTCTTTCATATACAAGTTTGGTCATGTAACTGTAGGAAGTCCCTGAGTCCACCCAGCTCTGAATGGTACCTGACTTAAATTGGGGAAGTAATGGCGGTTGGGCATAGTTCTGGCCTTAACATGATAATAACATCCATTCATATGCCGATGTAAAGAAACATGTGAAGTCTACTTCATCTGCCCTCTGCATCGTTAGGTCTGAGAAGGGAACTTAACTTTTTTTTTTTCTATTTGGATCTCGGTTCGGACCTGTCAATGTTTGACGTTCTAGAGTACATCCCAACTTACCTGTGGAAAGTAAAGGCAGATGGGCATAGTGCTGACCACACTATCCCTTCATGTTTCGATGACATGAATAGACAAAAACAAGTGTGAACTCAAATGCCGCCAAACCTTATCAGTCAGAGGATAAAAAACTAACCTAGCACCCCACAGTTCAACAACTCCACGGGTCAAACAAACAATTTGAAGACGAGCTGCTATAGTGTCAATAAGGATGGGGACGTAAAATATGGCGAAAAAAAAAGTCTGACCTTCGAACTCTATCGACGTTCTCTGTGCTTGGTTTGTTTTTCTTTACATCTTTAGAATCGTCGTCCTTCGTTTTCTGTGAGATAAACATCAAGTTTAAGGTTATATTCAGGTCTAATCAGAGGTGGAGGGGTTGTGTCCAAGAGACCCGGGAATTTTTTAAAGGGACCCCCCCCCCCCAACCACAGATTAAACATTCTCATTGTGTATTTTCCCCCATCAAAGCTTGATGGTCAACCTCAGCTTGATAGAAATTCACGAGACCAATTAATTTTCGTTAATTAATCAAAGCACTAAAATGCCTCGTACAGCACCGTTCCTATAAAGGGGGGGGGGGGCACCGGGGAAAATCCCGGTAGAGGGGCGGGCAAGTCCACCCATGGGTCTATTCTAATGGCTGACATTTGGTACTAGGGAATGGGCACGTATTATATAGGAAAACAACAGATGTCAGCCTCCTACCTCATTCATCCAACCAGCCTAATATCAAAAGAGCATTTATTTTGCCATAAAATTTAAAATAAAGAAAAATCAAAAGATATGGCTACGTAATATTACTTTAAATAGCCATCTACTGCATATAACATTAAATAAATTTTCCCCGTTGTATTTGATAAATAGTATATTATATGAAATATATGCACGATTCTCACTTGACATAATAGTTGTATGAAAAGAGCGGGAAACGAGCCACTAACATTGGTGAGTTATAAAATAAGCAAGCACCCAATGGCCTGGGAGATATTGAAGAAATATAATTTTTTATAGAAAATTTATTTATTTTAGCAAGTGTACTCCCCACCCCCACACCGGAAATTTTTAGTGCCTCTTTGAAAGCTTCACGAGAGAGAACAATATATGAAAGCAACCCTGGTCGATACTCGATGATGATACTTCGCTGTATAAATTAAAATGTAGGCCCCCATTATGTTCTTTACTTTATAAATCTGATTGTAAGTTAATAAATTAGTGCTGGATTGTATGGGATGAAAAACGATGTCTTATAGCTCTATCAAGATTTAACTGATAGTCTTATTAACAATTGAGACAGGGGCCCCTCTTTATCTAAATCAACCCCATTTGATTAGAAACTGGATTGGCCGTGTTTAGTTTAGCTACGCCTCTTCTGTTTTTACATTCACAAGTTGTTTTTTTTTTTAAAAAAAAGGGGGGGGGGGGTTGGTCAGTAAAGAATGCGCCAACTTTTACAAAAGGTTTGCAACATCTGAATAAAATAATACCAAAAAAAATATTTGACAACCACTTGTGTGTCGAGGTGTAAAGAAGAACCAAAGTTCTCGTTCAAAAAAAAAAAAAATTATTAGCCCCGCCCCTTCACCTTGATCCAGTTACTTCACCAATGATAACAGGCGTGTAGCAGCGTCTCCAGGGGAAACTACTCTTCCGGCACGGAGAGCGAGAAGTAAATAAATTCAAGCTTGGCCAGTTAGGCTATGTATCTAAATTATTATTAATTATATGATGTAACTGGCATTTAATATAAAAAATAAAAATATAATTAGTCTATAACAATCAGTTTAAAATGTGTATTCGTGTAGAAAAATTGAATCATAATGCCTACCTGTTTTGTGTTTTTATCGAACATATAAAACGCTGCCACTGTGATCAGACTCATAGCGCATGTCTTGAGAAGAACTAACGCGCAATGTCCCAAAAATAGACGATAGACAGGATTTTCTAGCACTAGTAGGTCGTTGGCAGACATAGTTTTAAACGTAGTAGTAGATGTAGGCCTGTTACTGCCAAGCAAGCTGCTGAACGCTTTAATTCGATTCAGACTACAGGCCCTATAACACTCTATATTTTGTTAAAATTTTGTTTGTTAAATTTCTACCTCAATACACATCTCACTGTGGCGAATAACACAAAAACATTGATATTTTAACCTTTAAATTGAATATAAACTGATCACCAGTTACATTTACTTATAATAATACAATGTAACTAATTATATTTAAATATTTTTTAGCTAAATTCCGTTTATAATAACTATACAACAAAAAAGAGAAATTCACACAAGCTTTTTTTTAAAACACATCATATGGCCACATTCGTGACTGGTATTCCCCCTGTGCACTTGGCAAGCTTTGAACTTTGGACCGCGATAACATAACTGCTACAGACTATAAAAAAGCACAACACCATAATTTACAAAGTCCGTTTATTTTTATCAAAGGTGAATAATTAATCAGTCCATTTTATTTTTAATCGAGGGGTAAATCTAGGCCATGCTGGAGATTGGACCATCCGGTTCTGACTAGCTTATGGGTGTGTTTTTTTAATAGGAAAAAAATTACTCTTTATATTAATAAAGAAGGAAAAAAAGCCTCAAAGTACTTTGAAAGGGTGGTAAAAAAAAGTTTCCCTTTTCAAACCAGACGGTCTATGGGGTAAGAAAACCAAAATAATCGTTTGGAGAAAATGCTGATCATGTAGACTAGACACTAATGTACACCCCCGCCTACATCTGCCGTGTATAAGCTGGAATTCTCATAATAAAATGATTAGGCATTGTGTAGAATGTCTGACATGGACGGCAAAGAATACCAGACTGGGGAACTGGCAAAGTATTAAATAAGAAGGCAGTGTTTCTTCCAGACTTTTTTCTCCGGGGGGGGGGGGGGGGGGGGGGGCGACATGATATTTTCGAGGTGGGGGGGTCAACATTTTCCGGGGAGGCCGACACTAATAAATGTATATCTTTACTATATAAATTCCATCTCGTTCAATGGGGGGGGGGGGGGGGGGGGTAGACTTTCTCCCCCCCCCCCCCCCCGAAGAGATGCCTGGAAGAAACTCTGCAAGTAGGGCTATACTCTCTCCAGAAGTTTTCTCAATATCTTACCCAAAGTGTCATTTTCAACACTATAAAGTCCAGGACCTAACTAGACAAGGTGCTGAACATATAGAGGGACGCATATATGGTCATCCATAAATGACGTCACGCTTTTAAAAAATAAGTTTTACCTCCACCCTTCCCTATCGTTACACATGATTACAAAAACCAAGCCCCCCCCCTCCTTTGACAGTGTCCGCCCCCCGGAAAACTTAGTCCGCCCCCCCCCCCCCTGAAAATTTCAAGTGCATCCCCGGTCTGGAAGAAACACTGCTGCTCAGTCCCCTCAAAGTTGTAGTTTAGTTGTTTTTTAAACATCGATTTGTTTCTAAAATATTGACTTAGTTCGGTCAAAATAGAGTGTTTATCAATTTCGATTACATTTTTACAAAATAAGTTTTTTGTTACGCGAAGTAGCGGCTAATACCCCTCTCCCCCACTTCTATTAGTATAATGTCATTTATGGACGACCCTTATATCTTTGTGAGCGCGCACAAAATACAAACAAAAGCTGAGTCCAAATGAAAACCAAATAAACAACGCTTAAAAGTGCCTGAGATTTTAAAAGTGCTTTCATAGCGGTAAAAATGTTCAGCGCTCTACAGACCAACTGACCATTGGGAGCATTGTTTCACACTGAATCTATTATGCCATGGTAACAGTTTCATGCTACTCCCTAAGCGCTAATTGCCAACCGTATTTCGAGAAAGGGGTTTAGTGGTCATCCACATCTCAAGCAGTGTTTCTTTCAGGCCTCTCTCCGAGAAAGTGCTGAATTGTCAAAGGCAACTCGAGAAAGTGCTGAATAGTGAATATTATCTCGAGAAAGTGCTCAATAGTAAACCGTATCTAGAGAAAGTGCTGAGTAGTACATATTATCTCGAGAAAGTGCTCAATCGTAAACCGTATCCCGAGAAAGTGCCGAATAGTAAACCGTATCTAGAGAAAGTGCCGAATAGTAAACCGTATCTAGAGAAAGTGCCTCCACGCTTATATTACGATCTACGACTATCGATGAACTTTTCTGTTTGCCATCTGATAGTATAGTCCTATTCGTTTAAAGCAGGGGTCTCCAAACTTTTCAGTCCGAGGGCCGCATCAACTATCAATTTTCAGTTCGGGGGCCAGTTTCTTCCAGGCATGTCTTTGATTTTTCTGGTCAAAGTTCCTCAGCCATCATCAACAAACGATTTTTTCGGTGGACAAAAAGATCTCCGCGGGCCGGATGAGAGGACCTCGCGGGCCGCATCCGGCCCGCGGGCCGTAGTTTGGAGACCCCTGGTTTAAAGGCATGTAATGTACGTTGAGATGAGCAGAGTTTCTTCCAGGCATCTCTTCGAAGAAAGTCTACCGCCCCCAGAGGCGTAGCGACCTTTCCCGGCGCCCGGGGACAAACTTTCGATTTGCACCCCCCCTCGAACTTTTTATTTGCACCCCCCCCTCAAACTTTCAATTTGTTTTTCCAACCCATTTTGGCGCCCCCCCCCCCTAAGGTCGGCGCCCGGGGATATATGTCCCCCCGCCCCCCTCGCTACGCCTCTGCCGCCCCCCCCCACACCCCAACGAAATAGAATTTATATAGAAAATATAAAAATATATACTTTTAACAATTTTAGTCCGCCCCCCCCCCCCCCGCCCGAAAATTTCAAGTGCTTCCCCCCCCCCCCCCCCCCCCGGAGAAAAAGTCTATAAGAAACGCTGGAGATGCGTCTGGTTGTTGCATGTATTTTGAGCAGGGTACTCATGAGACATAGTGCCTACATGTTTTCTCTCATGTCTCATTTAGACCTGCGCGTCTATTGAATGGGCCTATATATGCGAGGCCGCCGGTCACGTGATCAGTATTTTACCATCTGCTTCCCCACACTGCCGATTTAGACTTGTTGTGAACGAATTGGTTCTGTGCTGCTTTTTTTTGGGTGCACAAACGCATCAGCAGGGCAGGGATAAATTAAGCTTGAAATTAAGCCTATGAAATTTATATAAGAAAAAAAATCTTATAATTTTATCAATACGAGAACATTCTAGGTGGGGGGGGGGGATCTGGGTGGAATCCGGTCATCCACGGCCCTTTTAATCCGCCATTGGCCACGTGCGTTGAAGTTGAGTAAGGTTTTAAAAATAGGAACAAAAATCATGACAAAACGGCTTGGGGGTCATCTGAATTCTGAACATTGAGTTTGCATTTTTTCTTAATCCGGGAAATGCAGCATTGAACTGCTCACGCAACCCTTACACTAATCGACTTCACAGAAACGCATGTCCTCTACTTCACCCACCACGCCGATTGCTATTTCCTTAGTGGTGCCTGTTCGAACTAAGTACCTATTCTTCTAAAAATAGCTTATTCTGATCTGTGATGACTACGACGATGAGCGACTAAAGCCTTCCAGCGATATGGCGTGAACTACTGACCTAAAAATGTGGAGGTAATCTGTTAGGAAGTATTGGGATACAGGTTTAATAGAGTATGTGGTAGCGTGGCCGAGCGGTCTAAGGCGCTGGTTTAAGGCACCAGTCTCTTCGGGGGCGTGGGTTCGAATCCCACCGCTGCCAAGTTTTTGTTTTATTTTAGCAAATGACTTTTATATCGAAAAATAAATGAATGTGGTATTTTCTGTTCCCAGCCTTCAAGAAAACTTTGTCAAAATGATTTTAAAAAACCCCACTAAGTAGGGTATGCAATAGCATAACATTGTAAGAAAATACACACACCTCTCAGTTTAGTTTGGGGCGTGGTTACTGTAATAAGTAGGCGAACGTAATAGAATAGAAAAAGTATTCAAATAGAAAATTAGGCCTAAAAGCGATCGATCAGTAGAAACGTATACAAAATGTTAAGTAGGGTACTAAACAGTAAGCCAGAAATTCTACACTGGGCTTAATAAATTGTTTCTGTTGCTGTGGCATATAAGGCTGGTAAGCAGGTCACCGAACAGTTCTACAGCTCAATAAAACCTGCATGAGCCATATACCAGCCCATAATGTTTCTGCTTCTGAACATCGAAATCTGTATGTAAATTTAGATACTTTGATCTAATCAATTCTCAATTTAATAAGACAAAACTATGGCAGCGGTGGGATTCGAACCCACGCCTCCGAAGAGACTGGTGCCTAAAACCAGCGCCTTAGACCGCTCGGCCACGCTACCACTTAAGAGTTCCGGAGATCCAATTGTTGACACTAATTATATAAAAAACAATAACTTTTTGTTATTGATTTTTATTTTATAGCCATGTTTTTTAAGGGATTGGTAAAGAAAGGGGGTTACGTTGTTTTTTTTAATGCTGTATTTAAATTTAGTCTTTTCCTTTTTAATATTTTATTGTAGGCCTATTTATTTACTTTTTCTTTTATAAGGTTATTTCGTATTCTATTCAGACTTGGCAAGTTCATTTTCACTGATAGACCTGTGGCCTGCTTTTACTTTCTTTCACCTAATCAGTCGTGTTCGTTGCTTTTATTTATTTTAATTACAGCATCACACCATCCTTTCTCTTAAGTACAATAGCTTGCTTCTTTTTGGATACATTTTATGATAATTTAATATATGCTTAGGGCTAAAGGTTACCTTTTTAATGGGTTGTACTTGATTGTTGTTAACAGTTTTTAAAAAAAAAAACGTCCCTACATAACGGATACAGAAGTTTTAGATATTTTAGAAGATAATTGTATTAAGATTAGGTCTAAGCTAATCCCAAGGTTAGCCATATACCGTTAGGATCAGGATTAGGCTATATTTGTATTAAAGTAGGCTAGTAACCGGCGCTACTAGCTATACAAATGTCAATCTATGTTTGATTAATCTGTGAGTAGTATTGGTCTTTCAAGTTATAGATTTCATTTTACTTGTTAATTTTAAACCAAATTGGCAGGTTTTTAAAAAAGGTTGTCTCCCATAATGTGTGTTATCGAGTGTTAATTAAGCAGTTGCATCCCCTGTTTGTCTATTTTGAACAATAGATAATCTGATTAGATGATAATAAAGTATATTACGTCTTTTAAATCTAATATTTAAAAAAAACGATAGTAAAAACTAGCAACATAAAGTGACGGCGGTACATAATTTCGCATGCATGCCTTTTGTAGAGTACCGGGTCAGCACTTTTAAACTTTTAACTTGCGAAGTGTTAAATTTGTACAGCACAAACATAATATTCTATTTTGAAGTTTGATCTCTAACATTTTACAACTTAGTTTAAGAAATACAACATCAATGGGGTGGGGGGGGGTGGACAGAGGGAAACTGTTCTAGTTATAGGCCTCAATTTTCTGTTAGGTAACTTCATCAATCTTCCATCACCATTTAAAATTCCCCCCCCCCCCCCACACACACACATTCATCCCCTGTGATTAATTGAAGGAGTGTAAGTAAACATGCAGGTGCCCATTAGATATGTGTCTGTTGGAAGTCCCTGGTCATCAAACAAGCTTGGACAATGCACATAAAGTGACCCCCCCCCCACCACCACAACTGCTTTAAAAAAACAAACAAAAAAAACTAGATCTATATTGTAAATTTCAATGCCTGATAACAAAGAATTACTTGTTGATACTTTTCTGAAAGTTATCAAGACTACAATGGTAATCTATAAATAGACCTGAGTTCACAGGGTCATTTTCCTCGATTTGTGTCAGCACCACAACGTAATGCTGACGTGATGGACTAACGACTCGGAACAGGGGCGGCAACCTGCACCCGCATCAAGGGCAAGATGTTTCGGTGATGTCCCATTTATTACATTTGATGGATTTTTCCGATGGGGAGAAATTCAGAGGCCCATATTACACCAGTCGCTTAATCCGCCCATGAACCTTGCTTACTTTAATTAAACTTTGAAGACGAATTTTTAATATTTGGTTCAGCACTAGATATCTAGATCTAGAACGAAAACTAGATATTATAGAAAACAAAAAAATCAAATCATTAACGATTCTAAATGCGAATTTTAAAAAGAAATATAAAAATCTTATAACGTGGAGTTAGAAAATTTGGCTTAGTTGATTGCATTCAAATGCGGAAGCGATCGTTAGCTTTGGAAAAACAAACATAGCACAGCGACCAAATTGTAATTTACAAATTTTAGGATTGCATAAATCTTGTGATACTGTTTCAAACAGTGCAGTAAGTTATGTTTAGGTGATTCTTAGGATTAGACTTAAAATAATTTTAGTCATGCACTTCCCAATTTAATAAAAAAACTTCCTTAGTTCTGAGCAGCAGTGGCTGAAATTCATTGAGTTCAGCAGACAGTTCAGCAGTCTGCTGTAGACTCAGTCAAAATTTTTTTAAAGTCAATAACTTTTGTGTTTTTACGAGTCTACGAAAAAACGACGTTTAGAATATTAAATCTACAACTAGACTCTAGATCTATTATCTAGATCTAGATCCTACTAGATCTAAATCTGGATTTAGATATCCCAGCATCTAGCCTAGATCTATAATTTTTTTTAATCTAAATTTTTAATTTAGTAACTATTAGATCTAGACTCTAGATCTAATTACATTTAGGGCCTATAGGACTATAGGTACAATATACAGTAATAATTACTAATTAGGCCCTAATAAAAATTGACAGTAGGGGGCCTAATTGTAATTAATTAGGCCTACTAGATTCTAATTATTTGGCAATGAAAAAAATAAAAACAACAAATTGTTGGCATTTTTATCATTTAAAAGTTTTTGGAGAAGAAAATGTTTAGTCTAGATCTAGTTTCAATTTTAGATCTAGTGTGTAGTATTACTAATTTACTTAAAATTCCTACTAGGCCCTACATCTAGTAAGTTTGTCCAGTTTTAATTTGTATAACTACCTATAGTATAGCCTAGTTAAAGAATAGTATTGATAAATTCTCTTACAATTACAAAACTATCAGTATTAGACCTACAATATAAATTATAAATATTATAAATTATGATGTGATGACAAGGTCTAAGTAAGTAGGCCTATTAAGTTAAAAAAAGGAAAAGTGTAAACTTAGGTTATTGTTACCAGTGTGGAACAGCGTATGACTGTTATGATGTAGTGCTGGTACAATTACAGGCTGTACCTAGCAGTGTTTCTTACAACTATGCCTATAAGCTGCAATAATGAATTTTCAAAAGCCCTGTGGAGTAAATTGTCTGGAAGAAACACTGAACTTACTAAGTTTCTAATACCCTTAATTTGAAATTGAATTGGAGCCTAGTTCTTCTTCAACAATATTGCAGGATTTAGTGCATATTAACATCACACTTTGCTAGTATTAAAAATAAACACTGGCTTTAGCAAGCCCTGTTCCTATCCTTCTCTTTTTTCCCGAATCTTAATCTTAACACTGACATTAGTCTAGACGCAAAAATCTGTACTCTTAGAACTATTACCTGTCCAGACTAATTTAAAAATTGTTATTTTAAATAACTAAAACTGTATAATATTAAAGTATAACAATTATAAGCTAAATAATGTTGATTGTTAATGTATCATGTTTTTTTTTAAAATTATATACTTCTGGTTTTATTAACAATTCTTGATAAATGTTTACAAGTTTTAATAGTTCTTAGAGCACTTAAAGCCAAATTTTACTGCAGAACTATTTCTTATACCGGTTCTTACTACTACAGTAATAAACAAATCAGGAGGTTAGTAGTTTACTGAAGTGTCGCACTGTCTTCGTGACTGACTGATGTGCTGTGGACTGTGGTTAAAATAAAACCATGTCTGCCGGACAATCAGAACATGCCAGAAGAACGCAAATAGCACCGGAACCCGATGAGGAGAAAAAACTAGTCACTAGAAGTCCAGAGAAATTTCTAGAAGGTTCTTCTGATGCAGATGTAGTTGATGGCCGCATTCTCAAGGAGTATGGTGAGTACACAAAGTTTATAGTTGTTCATCAAACACTGATGTTTTTACTGGCGTTTCTTTTATTGGATGTTGTTGTTTAAGTTTTCTTTTGTAAATGTTGTTTAAATTTTTCTTTTATTGTATGTTGCTGTTTAAGTTAACTTTGGTGTCTAACATGAAATGGCCATATGTAGATTTTATATGTAGTAATCTGTTGTGAATAGTAATACACTGTAGCATCTAACTCTAACCTTTACTCTCTATAATACACAATCAGTCAACAAATTTATATACCATCTTCCCAATGTTATATTTCAAAAATCCAGAAACAACCACCCCCAAAGAAACAAAAGAGCTAAAAACATTTGTTTAAGTACATATTTTATTAAATAACAATTATCAAAGAGCTAACAATATATTGAAAAATAATTTAACATACTAGTTCCTGCAAGTCTTTGGAGATGGGAGATGAAACCCTACTGAGTCTTTATTTTTAAAGTTTTAAAAGTTTTATTTTAACTGGGAACTGATCACGGTTTTGTCTACAGATCTTGTGGTTCATTTTTAGCGTTTTTTTAGGGGTGAAAATTGTAAAATAAAACTTCATCAACATACCTAATCTTACCCCGTATTATAGTATTAGCAGGTTTAGTAGTAAATAGCGAGAGTGATGTTTTCAAGAAGAAAATAACAAACATTGGGTAGAGGAGGGCTGAAGTAGCCTAATTGTCATGGGGTGTGTGTGACTTTTTGTACGTTTGTGCAGTCACAAATAGATTTATCACCAGCATATCTCTCACCCTCCACATCGACCCGTGCATTAAATCAGTGACGTCATTTACGCCCCCCCCCCCCACCTGCACCCTACGGAATTTATCTCCTCACGTTGAGAATGACCCACCCAACACAGTTTGTCTCCCTTGTATTATCCTCTTAACGTTTGTGTTAGCATCGACGTGTGATTGTGTTTGTGAATTACTTCCCTTGGACTTTGGAGTTGTTTTTTCTATCACTATGTGCTGTTATTGAGTCATGGCACTAAAGCAGTTGTTATTTAGGCTAATAAATATTCATTCCACTCGTCCAGCTATAGCGCCGTCCTGTACTTGATAGTCTATGACAGCTGTGTTAATTGTATAAGCGGTGGCGGCCGATTGTTCGGTTTCCTGGTTCACTATACTGTTTTGTTTTGGTGAGAGAAAAAAGGCCAGTCAATGCTTACAGAACCTTGTCTGGCCCCGGCTGTTTTTATCAATACAGTTGCACGCCCGCTTGTGGTTGATGTTGTGTTTGTACACGCTGTAGATCCAGATCACAGTTTCTTTCAGGAATCTCCCACCCCCACCCCTCCCACCTTCAAAGATAGTCCACCCCCCACGGGCGAAATAAGAAAAAATATATAATTTTTTTTAATAGAAAAGATATACTTTAACACCCCCCCCCCCCGCCCCACGGAAAAAAAAGATCTGAAAGAAACACTGACCAAGATCTAGTAGCGTAAAAAAAGAAATAGGGAAAAAAAATAGAAATGGCTATTCAGAGTTGCTTACTTTAAAATAGCTAATCGGACCTGGGTGTAGCCTGACCCTAGCATCTGTATACTATCGATCCAAATAGCTAACTGCCAAAACAAGGAATCTGGTACAGATGGGTACTTGGTAATGGCTCTAGAATGGGTATGTAATACGTGGCTTCTGTTGTATAATCGGTCAGATTTTTTTACTGAATCTTTTAGTTGTGTTCATAATGTTTCCTTTGCGTGACTTACGTTTGTGGCTAGGTTCGGTGAATTCGTTGTTGTATAGTCATCCCTCGCTACTTCGCGGTTTATCTATCGCGGCCTCAGGGGTCATCTATAAATGACGTCACACTCGTAGGGTGGAGGGGGGTCCGTAATTTTGTGCCGATGTGTGATGAGGGGGAGGGGGGGGGGGTTCAGATGTTGCGACGTCACACTTTTGCATTATAAAAAAGCAATGTTAGAAAACGAATTTTAGACGTTATTTCGCGTTTTAGATAACTGTTTTAATAAATTGTAATAGTTTAGACAAGATTTTAGAAAAATACCGATGTTTAAAAAAAATTCAACTGCAATTTTGAGGGGGGGGGGGGGGTTTGTAGGTTGAGGTGTGACGTCATTTTAGGGGGGGGTCTGGCTTTTTGTGACAACGTGTGACGGAGGGGAGGGAAGAGGGTAAAAATCGTCCCAAAACAGCGTGACGTCATTTATGGATGACCCCTCAGTACATCGCGGATTGTTCAAAAATATATTCTTCAAAATTGATGAATTATGTCTTGAAAGTTGCCCACACGCCAGCAGAAGGCAGGTAGTGCACACACAATTCAAACTCCACTACAACATATTTACAGTATGTACACTTTAGTTACATCTAAGGCTGTTACGCACATATCAGATTTATATTGTTTGTACATTATTTTATGTTTGTTATTCATACTATTAATATTTTATGTTTAAAACTATTCTTTAATGTTCTATTGCTAACATAAGCACGTATCTGGTTTCATATACTTGTATTGATATTATACATACACAGAAATGTACGTATGTTAAAAATGAGAGGGTAACACTACTTTGCGGTTTTTCACTTATCGCGGCCAGTTCTGGTCCCTATTGACCGCGATAACTGAGGGATGACTGTATTGTCGAATTCTAGATACACGTTGAAGCTGTGCCGTGAGTACACACACACACTGTGTCTAAGCATAAGTATAATATCGAGGCGGTTTTTTTCTGGGTTTTGAGTTTGCATCCACTTTTAATATATGTTGTTGTTTTTTTTCCTCTATGAGCTCGTGACTTTGCTCACCTCCCAAACCCCTTCACCAGCGAGCTATATCAACCAGTGTTAAGAAATGCCTTGAGCTCAGGCAAGTGACGGGACATCGCGTTTCCGGTACAGCTTGTTTGTCTCTCGTTTGATCCGCCAGCTCCCGAGTTGTCGAACTTGACTGGGTGGAACTCTCTTATATGCGCGGTCTGTTATACACATGTTGGTAAACAAACTCGTCTCTGGTGAGAAATCACACATTAACAAAAAAAAAAAAATTGCGCTCGTACTCACACACGCACACACACATGCAAGTTTATGTTCGTCAATTGTTCCTTATTGTAGCGTGATTTTGTCCATTCATAAGCCCCGCTAAAAAGTTAACCCCCGCCACCAAAAAAAAAAAAAGATTATAAATAAGAGGATATGAAACTTGTACTTTTAGATTTTATTGAAGAGGGTAAAATTGAGACATGTAATCAATAATGTGTACGAAGAGGTTTGTATTTTGGTACCTTTAGCCCCAACACAAACCCTAACCCTCAAAATCGCGTGCGTGTTTTTAATTGAGGCTGGTTTAACTTGTCGCGCATGCACTTTTTGCATTAGTGGCGGGGTTCATCTGGACAAGACCCTTGTAGCGTTTGCACAACCTAACGTTATCGTTCTTCTAGATCTAGTATCCTGGATCTAAGTATACTTTTGTATACTCTACCTTTTGTTTGTTACTGACTACACCCAGTAGTCTTGTGTTTGTTTACTCTCTAAATGTTACACACGCGTATGATGGCTCTATGAGTAATCCTCTTAGTCTACCAGCACTGATTTGTTTGTTGACGCATGTTTTTTGGTATCTAATATGTTTAGGTAGGTGGTGATGGCTCGTGACTCCCCCCCCCCCCCCCCCCCCTCCATAATCCCTGACTAAGATTGATCTGGTAGATACCTGTCAAGTGTGGCTCCCAGTTTGATCAATCTTGTACATGACCTGCAGTAGTGTGATTCCTGTCACCTCCCCTCGCAAATGACCTGTAATTCCTGTTCTCTCTCTCCCCCCCCCACTTAGCCTATCTTATACTTAACCTGCAATTCCTGTCTCCGCCCCCCCCCCCCCGCCACACCTATCTTGTACATGACCTGTAATTCCAGTGTCCGTCCCGTCCCCCCGCCCCACCGAGCCTACATTGAACATGACCTATACATTCCTGTCCCCTCCCATTACGTCTCATTAACACAAGTACACAGCAGGTTAGTAGAGACATGGTGCTCACCACCACGTTCATAGAGTCACGGGGTTGGCGGGGTGGGGTGGATTGGGTTACATGTCTAATGTTTGGGTCCTTACTTTCCTGGCGTAACATTTTACAGTTTAAAAAAAAAATCTTACAGAAATCTATATAGTTGCAAAAGAAATATACATGTACATTTTAATTAAGAATTGGCTGTGGTGCCCCTGATACAAATGGCACCGCTGGTAGGCATGGCGCCCCTGAGAGGCACGGCGCCCCTGTGAGGCACGGCGCCCATTAGATTCACGGCGCCCCTGAGAGGCACGGCGCCTCAATAGACACGAGACACCTGATAGACTTGGGCTCCATGATCAGACACTTACCAGTAATGTTTTATACTCATTCTGTTATATCCCTTACTTCGGTATGAGGGAATAGTTTCTAGACAAGCCATATAATATAGGCATAGTACGTAATATGTTATGTATAGGGTGTTGGATATATATATATATATATATATATATATATATATATATATATATATATATATATATATATATATATATATATATATATATATATATACATATATATATACATATACCGACAACTCCAGACTTTGACATTTCCTCCGCTCTGGAAAAAAAATGGGACACAACCTTTTTTTTTTAACCCGTGAACGAAGGTTTATTTGTCGGGACAAACAAAAGCAACATACGACAGTGTTGAAACATAATTTAGCAAGTTGCTTTTTGTTGTTGCTGGTTTGAAAATTCTGAGTTTGGAATGGAAATAAGATTAAGATTATAAAAGTATTCAAGCCTGTGGGGAGGGGGAGGGGGATGATGCGAATGTTTTGTCACGTGGTATCCATCACCTGTCAGGGCAGTGACGTAAGATCGGCTTCAGATGGGCCAGCACGCCTTAAGGTCAGTGTGTGTGTGCGTGTGTCTCAGTCTGTGTGCTTGTGTCTGTGTGTGTGTGTGTGCGTGTGTCTCAGTCTGTGTGCTTGTGTCTCTGTGTGTGTGTGTTTGTTGACTTCAGGGGACCTTTATTGTGGCGGTTTGGGAATGTATGGATACACCACTGGTGATCGCGATAGGTTAAAAACTGGGTTTGTTGTGTGACAGTTACCTCCCTTTGAGTGAGGTTGTGTCCCTTGCAACAGAACAGTGGATTTATTTGAAGGCAAAAATCGTGTTTACATTTTTTAAATTCTCATTTCTTGAAGCTATATTTAGATTCATTAGTTGCGATCTATGGCTGTGTCATAATGTAAACAAATTAATTAAGACTCACAGCGTCGGCGTTGCATAGTTTTTTTTTTCAAAGGATTTTTACGCTTATTTATAGCTCAAGTCTATTGTGAAATCGTCGCGTTGTGTTTCTGAATATATCAAGAGTTATATTGTGTTTTAACTTGTGTTTTCTTATGATAGTCGTTTATAGCTTGTGCTTTATTTTATTTGAAGTAACTATTATCTGCTTGTGTTCTCTTACGATAGTCGTTTATAGCTTGTGCTTTATTTTATTTGAAGTAACTATTATCTGCTTGTGTTCTCTTACGATAGTCGTTTATAGCTTGTGCTTTATTTTATTTGAAGTAACTATTATCTGCTTGTGTTCTCTTACGATAGTCGTTTATAGCTTGTGCTTTATTTTATTTGAAGTAACTATTATCTGCTTGTTCTCTTACTCGAAGTTTAAAAAAAGTTTTGTAGTGTGTTGATCGAAAAACTGCACTGAATCATTGTCACAAAGTACTCTCCCTTCCTCCTCATTAGAATAGTTTTTGTTTTTTACCTGTCTGTCGTGTATCGTTGATTAGCTCGAACGTCCGTCTTTGCGATTCAGCTGTGTTGGATTATAGACTGTTAAAAATCTTAGCGTCTGTCTGATTATAAAGGTTGCATACTTGGGTCAAAATTTTGTGAAGGATTTTAGTTGCCAATTCGCAACGATATGCAGTTATGGGAACAAAGTTTTTTTTTTTTTTTTAAATTGGTATTATGATCAAGGGATGATTACATGTGTATGTTTAATTCTGTGAAGTTTTTAATCAAACACACGACATAATGGAAAGTAAGTGCATCACTTCTTATTTTTTCTTATAAATGTGTTATGAAAATATTAGAATTGTGATTTATAATAATGTTCGTACTTCCCTTTCGAATCTAACGATCCATAGGACAAGTGAAGTAGAGTGACCTCGGTATGCGAAGAGATATTGTAATCAGCACTTTGCCGAGGCGCCTTTGCTTTCCCTAACGTGAGTTAGGTACCCATCAGAGTTGGGTGGACTTAGGGACGTTCTACGTACTTGAACCCGGATTTGAACTCGAAACTTTCGGGTTAACAGTTTTGTGTTCTACCTTTCGACTACTCCGTCTCATGCTGCAGCGCCTTTATGTCTGTTCATTTTTAAAGTTATCTTGAGCACACGTAAATAAAAAAAAATATCCGTGAATCATTCACATGCACAAAATATATGTAAACTCTACGACATACAGAAATAGATATTCTTCGTACCTAAAATTGGTGATAGCGCCTATTATCATACACAAATCTTCATGGCAAACAGAACTTAAATTACCCAAAGCTAATATGCAAGTCCGGCCTAATGATAGGAGTCAATAGTTGTGTTTTTTTAATTCGATGTGTGGGTCTGTTTGTTATGATAGAGATTTAGAGTTAGTGTTGAAATTAATTACCGTCCAACATATGTAAATGTATGTATTTGTGTGTGTATGTGTGTGTGTGTTAGCAGGGACGTCTCACCGCTTAGGGTCTAAAGGGCACTTGCCCACGGCCACGTGAGTTAACGGGCCCCCGCCTTATTAATTATAAAATCTACAGAAAAGTCATCCTCATACATAGCACACGTTATGATCAGATGAGTTGGTAGTGACTTTTACTAATGTACACGCAATGCTTGTCTTCAGCTAAATGAATTCTGTGCTAAGAAATGATGCCAGTACTTGTTTAATAACTCAGTGTATGAAGTCAAGATCACGGTCTTTAATTTAAAATTGAAGCGAGTGTAAAGAATACACGGTAGGGAATGTCAAACGTGGTCCAGGATTTATGTTTTTATTTCAGTGGGTGGTTGTCGTTCATAGGTAATGATTGCGTGGTAGGGGGGGGGTGTTGTACATAAAGGCTAAGCAGGCTATGTTTGGGGCTCATACAGGCTAACTTTGTGAGCCCACGTGGGCTTACTATAATTGTGGGACCCAAATTGGCTAACTATGATTGTGGGACCCAAATTGGCGAACTATGATTGTGGGACCCTAATTGGCGAACTATGATTGTCGGACCCAAATTGGCTAGCTATGCTTGTGGTACCCAGATTGGCTAGCTATGATTGTGGGACCCAAATTGGCGAACTATGATTGTGGGACCTAAATTGGCGAACTATGATTGTGGGACCCAATTTGGCTAACTATGATTGTGGGACCCAAATTGGCTAACAATGATTGTGGACCGAAATGGGCTAACTATGATTGTGGTACCCACATTGGCTAACTATGATTGTGGGCTCATGTAGGCTATTTTTTGGGACACATACGTACGTTACATAGGCTGACATCTTTTGGGGGTCCATATTGCTCTTCAGACGACTAGCTCGCTTGTAATCAGCGGGATTTGCATTAGGGAGGGGAAGGGGGGGGGGGAAGCCATAACGAAACCTATCTAGCGCGTGAATTGGTTGGTGACAGACGATACATATCCATCAACAAACACACGGGAGAAAGCCTCGTTTATCACATCACGTAACACAGCTCGGCGAAATAATCTCGGAGATAAAATGTCCGACGTCTAGAGAGCGTGGCTCTATTTTTAGACGGGGTAAGCGTGTCTAACCATCAACAGCTAAGGTTGTTTAGCTGATTGTGTTGATGTTGTTATTGCTCTAAGCGGCGTCGCTCATGAATATGTGATGATACGTCGTGTGCTCAGGCTCGATCTATTTATTCATCCGCCGTCTTCGTTCGTGTTCATAATGGGGTAGTAGATCTGTTAGTAAATACAGAGACAAAGATAGTTTTGACATATGAGGCTCGTTAGCTGGGGAAGCCACTCTTCTAGGAGAGACAACTCCAAAATCAAACAACTGCTGCCTTGTAGTTTGTTCTTGGTTGGACAAAAGCTTTGGAAGCGAATCCAGAAGAAAAGCAGACTGAAATGTTAGTCAACGGCCTCAATGCCACAAAACCAGTTGACACGTATACTTAATTGTGTTGGAGGGCACGCCTTCCAACACTAAAATTAAGAACGAAGAAGAACACAAGCAAGTACTATCATTATGGGCAAATTGCATAAAATAAATTGGTTTTTTTTTTGGGGGTGGGGGGGGGGGGGGGTTCGCATAAATGACGTCAGACATTTTTAGCCGACCCTCACCTATCCACTGTCGTCACAACTAATTATAACGAACACATAGGCTATGCAACTTTATTTATAATATCACATGTAAGTTACGTCACATTTATCCTCCACCTCTTCACCATTTTGTCACTGTCACAAAAGTTAAATCTCATTTCACCAAAGCCGTTTGTTGTCAGTTAGGGAAACCCCCTTTATGATATCAGAGGGTAGGGGTGAGAAATCACATGTTAATGTAAGGGGAGGGTTTAGCTCATTACAATTAAACTATGTTATTGATGCTTGAGCCTGTTTAAAAAAAAAAAAAACTGAGTGTCGAGTAAATACACGAAAACTATCCACCACCAGTTTACGAAAGCGCTAATCGTGCGTTGGCTGACAGCTATGCTTTGGGTGAGATGAGCTAACTCCCTTGAAGTTCCCCCGTTAATTACAACCAACCTACCGTGAACTCAGCGACCCGTGTAGATATTACTGTAGGACTCTGTGAGTCAGCCTAGCATTAGTGCCAGCTTCCTGTGTGAACGTGTGTAACTTTTTAAATGTGGTGCAACTCACTGGGTCACCATATAGTGCTTTAAATAGTTGGTAGTGTTTGAAAAATGGTGAAAGGGGTATGGATAAAGAGCTGTGCGAAAATACATAAATATTAGGGCAGGGTTAACAAGGTGTAACCTAGTTGTAGACTGCTAGCCTGAAAGTCTTGAGTTTGAATCCGGGTTCAAGTCAATAGTTCGTCCCTGAGTCCACCCAGCTCTGATGGGTACATAACTCACGTTCTGGAAAATAAAGGTGGCTGGGCATAGTGATGACCACACCTATCCCTTCATATGACGAGGTCTCAACAACTCTATTTCATTTGGGAACTTCACTTTTACTTTACTGGTTTTCTCACATGACATGATTACATTAATGATAATTTAATATTGATAGTAAACATGACAGATCATAGGAGAGATGAAGTAGAGTTCATCTGTTTTTTTTTAGACCTCTGCATATCTAGGGATGGTGAATTCAGCACGTCTTAACTTTACCTGACTTAAGTTAGGTACCCATCAGACCTGGGTCAACGAGATGTTCTATACAGACTCAAGACTCGTTGGTGCTATAAGGTCTACAAACACCTGTAACAAAATGAGTTCTATCTGTCATAAAAGAAAATTGGGACAAAAACTGTAACAAAAAGGGATATGTTGTGTCATGGAAGAAAAGTGTGGGTCTAGGTTGTTGGTGCAGGAATAACATTAAAATGTCCCATGCCTTTATGGTCAAAATATCTTGTACTGGAAATTTGCAGTTAGTTTAACTAATTGTACAACACCAATAACTTGATGGTTTTGAAATCAGCAGCCTTTTTATTTTGTCACTAGTAATATGACTGTTCTCTTTCACTTAAGCCCAAATTAAAAAAAATACTTTTTTATTTACATGTACAATTTTATTTTCTACAGGCGAGCCCATCAAATTTGATCCAAGTTTTAAAGGTCCAATAAAAAACAGGTGAGGTCATGTGATACACATGTTTGGTTAAATTGTCTATGTGCAATAGTAGGCTACTAAATGTTTTCGGTACTAGATGTACTCATGAACTTTAAAACAGAAACATGTGATACACGTGTTTGGTTAAATTGTCTATGTACAATAGCAGACTACCGAATCTTTTAGGTACATGATGTACTCATGAACTTTACAGAAACATGTGATACACACGTTTGGTTAAATTGTCTATGTACAATAGCAGACTACCGAATCTTTTAGGTACAAGATGTACTCATGAACTTTACAACAGAAACATATATGGTTAAAATGTCTATGTAGAAAAGTAACCAAAATGTTGTAGGTACTAGATCTACACATGAACTTTGCAACATAAACTGTAAACAATGTGCACTGTGTATCTTACAGGTTGTGTACTGATGTCATCTGTTGCATCATCTTTGTTGTGTTTCTCTTTGGCATGGTCGTTGTCTCCATCATTGGTGAGTACAATCAACTCTTAAGGGCCCTTTATATTCTGTTGGTGTGGTTTTATTATAGTGGTCACCTTTATTGGATGGACTTTATTATAGTGATCCTATCCCTTTTGTGCGTGGGCCTTTATCATTGTGGTCCCCTTTAGTGGCCCTCTTTGTATATGGGCCTTTATCATAGTGGTTCCCTTTGTTTATGGGCCTTTAATATAGTGGTCCCCCTTTGTTTATGGGCCTTTATCATAGTGGTTCCCTTTGTTTATGGGCCTTTATTATAGTGGTTCCCTTTGTTTATGGGCCTTTATCATAGTGGTTCCCTTTGTTTATGGACCTTTATCATAGTGGTTCCCTTTGTTTATGGGCCTTTATCATAGTGGTTCCCTTTGTTAATGGGCCTTTATTATAGTGGTTCCCTTTGTTTATGGGCCTTTACCATAGTGGTTCCTTTTGTTGGAGGGCCTTTATCATAGTGGTTCCCTTTGTTTATGGGCCTTTAATATTGTGGTCCCCCTTTGTTTATGGGCCTTTATCATAGTGGTTCCCTTTTTATAGGGCCTTTACCATAGTCGTCCCCTTTGTTTATGGGTCTTTACCTCAGTGGTTCCCTTTGTTTATGGGCCTTTACCATAGTGGTTCCCTTTGTTTATGGGCCTTTACCATAGTGGTTCCCTTTGTTTATGGGCCTTTACCATAGTGGTTCCCTTTGTTTATGGGCCTTTACCATAGTGGTTCCCTTTGTTTATGGGCCTTTACCATAGTGGTTCCCTTTGTTTATGGGCCTTTACCATAGTGGTTCCCTTTGTTTATGGGCCTTTACCATAGTGGTTCCCTTTGTTTATGGGCCTTTACCATAGTGGTTCCCTTTGTTTATGGGCCTTTACCATAGTGGTTCCCTTTGTTTATGGGCCTTTACCATAGTGGTCCCCTTTGTTTATGGGTCTTTACCATAGTGGTTCCCTTTGTTTATGGGCCTTTATTATAGTGGTTCCCTTTGTTTATGGGCCTTTACCATAGTGGTTCCCTTTGTTGGAGGGCCTTTATCATAGTGGTTCCCTTTGTTTATGGGCCTTTACCATAGTGGTTCCCTTTGTTTATGGGTCTTTACCTCAGTGGTTCCCTTTGTTTATGGGCCTTTACCATAGTGGTCCCCTTTGTTTATGGGTCTTTACCTCAGTGGTTCCCTTTGTTTATGGGCCTTTACCATAGTGGTCCCCTTTTTTATAGGGCCTTTACCTCAGTGGTCCCTATGACTCAGTAGGTGTGACTCTAGAAACAAGGACAAATCTTGATAGACCAGTTATTGCATCTGTGTGTGTTGTCATTGGAGCCAGGGAAAAGTCTACAGGATCAAGGTTTCTTTCAGACATTTTTCTTAGGAAGGGGGTGTACACTGGTTGGGGGGGGGGGGGCAACGCCCAAGTGTGCATTCCTTTCCTCCCAAAGAGATTACTGAAAGAAACTCTGTACAAGATCCAACACACTAACAATTGACATGTTTCTCTCCTTGTCTGAATTCTCACTAATTGCTATAATTAATTAATTAATTGTCTTATCTCAGGCAGACAGCATGTTTCATGTCTGTCACTCTACCTTTAATTTGTTGACATGCAGCCTATCTAAAGTAAACTGTTTTCTTTATCCCACAGACTGTTAAAACCCCCTATTATTTTATCTGTACAATGCTCTCTTTAATTTGGGCCATGTAGTATGGTTATCTAAGCAAAGGTGGGTTGTATTCAGGTAGAAGATCACATGAATTTAGATCGTGGGGCTTGAGTCACTAAGACTCTAATGGCTAGCTACTTGATTCACATTAGGAAAAGTAAAAGTGGCTGGACATTGTGCTGCCCTCACTATATCTTCATGCTTCAAGGTCATAACAACACATGACTTCTACTTTATCTGCCCCATGTATTGCTAGATGGCACGGTGTAGCCTAAGTGGTAGAGCGCTAGGCTGCTAGCCCGAAAGTCTCCAGTTCGAATCCGGGTTCAAGTCAGCAGAACGTCCCTGAGTCCACCCAGCTCTGATGGGTACTGAACTTGTTAGGGAAAGTAAAGGTGGCTGACCACACCTTCCCTTTATATGCTGAGGTCAAGAAACATGAACTCTACTTCATCTGCCCAATGGATTGCTAGGTCTAAAGAGAACTCTTTATATACTGCTAAGTTCAATAGGGTAACTTTACTTTTAAGTAGCACCTCAGCTAAATACTTGATTATCTGCAGGCTATGCCAGAGGAAACCCCAGGAGACTGATCTACCCTACTGATTCACAAGGCTCTATCTGTGGTGTGGGCAAACATGTGTAAGTTACAGATCTTAAAAAACACATTTTTTACTGTTTTATTTTTTCTTATGAAAGTTGAGCCTCCTGCAGCCAAGTTATGAAAGGCTACTCTAGATTCTTGACATCATAATTATCTCCCATCATTTCCTGGTTCATTTGACTTTCAGATTGCCACAGCATTCAGAAAAAATACTTGGCACTTGATCTTGTAAATAAGGGGAGATAATCTTTTGATAAATAGGTCACATCTATTAAGGGAGTTTACTGTTTTGCCACTTTCCTTTTTATGATTTCTTCCTGTGGATATTATAACTATAACTGAAAGAAAATTATTCTGATAATTAAAGAATTTTATAAATCAGCATTTAGTTTTTTATTTACTGTCCTCTTTCGTTTTAAATATTACTTTTCTGCTAATGCTGACCTGCTGTTGTGTGCTCATTATTTAGTTTTTGTAGTAGCTCATACATTGTTCTTGCCATGTTTTTAATCAATTTTGCACTATTTTGTTAAATACAAGTGTTATGCATAGTTAACAATAGTATTGTATATATATGTACTTTCAATTGTTACAATATTATGTTTATTTTGACAATAATTTGAAAGATATCTTACAAAAAGTGTATGGTAATTAAGACATATCACACTTTTAAATGCATTTAATTTTTCTATTCCCAAATCTGGATTTATAAATAAATGTTTGCTATAAAAAAAAATCTAATAGAGAAGAGATTAAAATAACATGGTAGAATAAAGTGTGATCTGTCTCTAACATTGAGCTTGATCACAAGCATTAAAGGTGTTGCTCTGATGTTTTAAATGCTAGAAGATTAAAACTAATTTGTTTTGTAGCAGGTGAAACAGCTATTTAAAAATAGATAAAAACTTCCAATACAGCTATAAACCCCAGACTACCAAACCATCAAGAAACCATTAAGTTCCAATAGATCTACAAATCCCAGAGTTGTAATACATCAACAGACCCCTGACTACCAACAAAACAACCAGAAATCCCTCGAGTTCCACAACATCTACAAATCCCTCAGTACCTATACACCAACACATCAATTCTCACATTAAATTCTACCTGTTGTACTCCCAAGTTGTACCTATACACCAACACATCAATTCTTACATTAAATTCCACCTGTTGTACTCCCAAGTTGTACCTATACACCAACACATCAATTCTTACATTAAATTCCACCTGTTGTACTCCAAGTTTCCTCATTCATGTAACTTTTCCATGTTGATGTTTCTTCCCCCCCCCCCCCCCCCCCCCCCCCACCCCACAGAGACAAGCCTTACCTGTTCTTCTTCGACATGGTCACCTGCGCCAAGATGGGACCAGCCATTGTGTCTGGATGCCCCACCCCTCAGGTACCCAAGTCAATTTTTTTTCCCCAGAACTAAATAAAACAAATTTAACTAAAATAAGCCCTGCTTAAATAATGTTAGGAACAGTATAGTTAGATGGTAGAGGTTATGAATGCTAACCTGAAAGTCTTGAGTTTGAATCCAGATTCTAGTCCCTGAGTCCATCCAGCTCTGATGGGTACCTTACTCATGTTAGGGAAACAAAAGTGGCTGGGCATAGTGCTAAATATAACAAATTCAACTAAAGCTGCTATATAATATAAACCCTTCTTAAATAATTGTAGGGAACTGTATGGTTTGATGGTAGAGCTTATGGATGCCAACCCAAACGTCTTGAGTTCTAATGCAGGTTATAGTCAATAGAACGTTACTGTGTTCACTTAGCTTTGATGGGTACCTGACTCCAGTTAAGGAAACAAAGGTGGCTGCTCACACACTATCGCTCATACATCAAGGCTATTGAAACAGCTGAACTCCACTTCATCTGCCCCATGTGTCACCAGCAGAAAAAGATGATGATCAAATGAAGATGAAATGAAACGTTTTAAATTTCTAGGTTTGTGTCAAGGAGTGCCCTAAAACCAACTATGTGTATTTACAAAATGTGGCTGACAACGATCGCTCAAAGTTGATATGTAGATATGACGTGGACCACTCTGTATCACCATATAAAGAGGTAAGTAAATACTTCTGAGTAACAGATCAATTTCATTTTGCTATGTGACATTTTTTGCCGGTTTCATTTTCAATTATGAAATTAAACATTACAATTTTAATCTTTTCATTGTCTTTCACTGACCATTTGTAGCATGTATTGATAATTGTATGGGTGTAGACATTTTATAAAATTATATTTTAACCTCTAGATTACCATTATAAAAATACATTTTGACCTCTAGATGACCATTATAAAAATATATTTTGACCTCTAGATAACCATTATAAAAATATATTTTGCCCTCTAGATGACCATTATAAAAATATATTTTGACCTCTAGATAACCATTATAAAAATATATTTTGCCCTCTAGATGACCATTATAAAAATATATTTTGTCCTCTAGATGACCATTATAAAAATATATTTTGCCCTCTAGATGACCATTATAAAAATATATTTTGACCTCTAGATGACCGTTATAAAAATATATTTTGACCTCTAGATGACCATTATAAAAATATATTTTGTCCTCTAGATGACCATTATAAAAATATATTTTGTCCTCTAGATGACCATTATAAAAATATATTTTGTCCTCTAGATGACCATTATAAAAATACATTTTGTCCTCTAGATGACCATTATAAAAATATATTTTGTTCTCTAGATGACCATTATAAAAATATATTTTGTCCTCTAGATGACCATTATAAAAATATATTTTGTCCTCTAGATGACCATTATAAAAACATATTTTGACCTCTAGATGACCATTATAAAAATATATTTTGTCCTCTAGATAACCATTATAAAAATATATTTTGTCCTCTAGATGACCATTATAAAAACATATTTTGACCTCTAGATGACCATTATAAAAATATATTTTGTCCTCCAGATGATCATTATAAAAATATATTTTGTCCTCTAGATGACCATACAAAAGCTGGTAGAGAGTAACCTCTGTGCCTCGTACTACTTAGAGTCAAAGTCCAGTAAGTTCTGTTTTTTTTGTTTTTAAGTTTTGGCTCATTATTTCTATTTTCATATTCATTAAACAATTTATACCTGTAAAACTAAATCAGTTTTAGATAGTTGCTGATTAAACTTCTTTTATTATTGACTATTTCATGTTATATTCTGTATTAAAATATTTTCCAGTTGTTGGCCGCTGCATGCCCATTATATTCTCCAAAGCCTTGGATATGGCCAATGTCCTTAAAGATGACGCAGGGAAAAATATAGTCAGAGCCAATGGAGAAAGTATCACAGGGGGTCTTATACAGAACGGAACATTGTACGTCATTGCAGTGTTCTTTTATTGGATATAATTTTAAAAATTTAACTTTCCTTTTTTCTTGTTGTAACTTTTATTTTTGGGGTGTTTATATTTGTTGTTTATTTTTTATTGCTTTGGATCAGAGTTTTATTTTTATGCCTGCAGGAGTTTGGCTGAGTTCTACAAACTGAAAGGTACAATGGAACTCTTGTTTAAAGATGTCATAAACAGCGCACACTGGATTGCTATGTAAGTTCTATGGTTGAGTTCTGGAGGGATTTACTTTGTTTCTTTTTAAATCTTAAAACTTATCTCTAAAAAATGTGAATGCTTATACTTTGAGTATTCAGGATGTATATAATTATTATTTAACGAGAAAAATGGCCCGTTGAGGAAGGATACACCGGGCGCTAGGTTGATAGTGCTGTCTCTTTTCTCTAAACTAAAACCAACCCACCCCCCCCACACCCCTCCCCACCCCCCCCCCCCCCCCCCCACACACCCCAAAAAAACGTCTACCGTCCCATTCAACAAAATATAATTATATACTTTTTCCAGTGTCCGCCCCCTCCCCGAAAATTCTACCCCCGCCCCCGAAAATTTCAAGTACCCCCACCCCTCTCCGGGGAGGAAAAAGTCTGAAAGAAACACTGGTGTCGCGCTTAGCCACTACCCGAAGAATTGCATTAAAGAAATTGCAAGAAAACCACTTTTTAGATTAGACACATTAATTAGGCGGTAATTTTATTATAGAGTATCGATGAAGAAATTTCTTTTGAGTTGGGGAGGGGGGGGGGGGCTCAGACGTTCTTACGCGGGGGGTGGGGCTTCGCCCCTACCCGAAGAATTGTATGCAAGAAACTCTTCACGCAAACCATTTAGATTAGGCAAAATTTCCTTTTTATTCAATGTTTACTCGAAAATCAATGACGTCATATTACTGTGTGCACTCTCCGGCGTGAGATTATTTTCTACTCTATGCTAAATGTGACCGCGTCATACTTCGTTTTTCGAATTACTATGCATGTTTTTATTTTGCTTGTGTTTTCTCTACAGCGTTCTTGTCAGATAGATAGATAGACAGACAGCAAAACTATTATTATTTAATTTATGATTCCAGTTTTAATTAATGTTTTGAGATATTTGTACCATTTTTTTGTTGTTTAAAGTAACATGTTTGTAAAGATTGCCAATTCCATTTTTGCTTAAGTATGAGAGCTTTTTATTTATTTATTTATTTTTTTTAAATAAGACTGATAGATGGAATGAATTACTGTGAGAGAGCTTAACATTTAGCTCTGAGAATATATAACTTAGTTGTCATAGATATGATTTGGGTTTTCATTGACAGATGTTTGTTGGTTGCCATGGTGGTAGCAATGATCTGGATTGTTCTACTCCGATGGATTACTACCGTCATGGTCTGGGCCACCATCTTGCTCTTCATTGCGCTGTTTGCCTTTGGTAAATAAAAGTTGCCAAGTTTTTATTTTAATTTTTTTTGTTGTATAGATTATAGCATAAGTCTGTTATGTCTTTTTATCCCCATCATTATCTTTTCCTGTTCGTGCCCAAAAACACATGGGGCAGATGAAGTAGAGTTCATCTGTTTTAGGGACCTCGGCATATGAAGGGATAGTGTGGTCAGCACTATGCCCTGCCGCCTTTGCTTTCCCTAACATGGGTTAGGTACCCATCAGAGTTGGGTAGACTCAGGGACGTTCTGACTTGAACCCAGATTCGAACTCAAGACTTTCGGGTTAGCAGCCTTCTCTCTAATGCTATGCCACACCATCCCTCTTTTATCTCTATAGTTTTGAATTAAAATAAAAAATTTAGTTTTAAATTATTTTTAAAAAAAAATTTTTCTTGTATTAAAATCAGTCTGATAAATCACTTTAGAAAAAAATGGTGTTATTGTTTATTGTCAAAACATGATGTTTTGTATTTACTCACTTGATGATTTAGAAAAACAGCTTTGATTTTTTTTTCTTAATTTGTCTAAATCTTGAGATAATAATATTAACCAGAATATTTTATTACTGTAAAGTAAACAATGGTAAAACCAGACACCCTGTACACATGACACACTGCCTGCAAGACACCCTGTACACATGACACACTGCCTGCAAGACACCCTGTACACATGACACACTGCCTGCAAGACAAGCTGTACACCAGACACTGCCTGTAAGACATTGTACACCAGACACTGTAAGACATTGTACACCAGACACTGCAAGACATTGTACACCAGACACTGTCTGTAAGACACCCTGTACACCAGACACTGTCTGTAAGACATCCTGTACACCAGACACTGTCTGTAAGACACCTTACATACGCCCCACGTATGTTTTACTTTATGTGTTCCAGGCACGTACTACAGCTACGACAAATATTACGAGCTGAAGAACATGAACGCCACAACAGAGTTTGGTCTGCCGCAGGCTTTCATGTTCAACTTCCAGTATTTTCTCTCTCTCAAGCAAACCTGGCTGGCGTTTGGTAGGTGGGTGGGAGTGGGAGGGTGGCAGGCAGAGGGTGGGGGTCGGAGGGGGAGTGACATTTGGTGGGTGGCATTTGGTAGGTAGGTGGCTGGAAGTGGGAGGGTGGCATGGGGGGTAACATTTGGTGGGTGGCATTGTGTTGGGGTGACATTTGGTAGGTGGGTGGGAATGGGAGGGTGGCATGGGTCTGGGGTCTTAGGGGGGTGGCATTTGGTGGGCGGCAGTGGGAGGGTTGGTTGAAGTGGGAGGGTGGCATAAGGCGGGGGGTGACATTTGGTTGACATTTGTTGTGGGTTTGTTGACATTTTGTGGGTGGGTTGTTGGCATTGGTGGGTGGGTGGTACTGCATGAGTTGAAAAAAGTCTTGAAGGATGTTGAGCATTTGGTTGATTTTTTTAAATGTGAGATGTCATTTGGAGGAGTGATTGCATTGATAGGTGGATTGAATTTGATAGAAATTTGACATTTAGTGTATTTTTGTTTAGGTGTCATAAAATCAATGTTTCTACTACCCCCTCCACCTCCACCCCTAGGTTGTACTGGTGCAACAATCCTCCTCATATTTCTCATCATCATAATGGTGCTGTGTTCTCGTATAATGTTGGCTACCAAGTTGATATCAGAAGCCAGTGTGTACGTATAATATGTACATAAATGTTTTTTTTTTCCATTGATCATCCATTTTCTTTTATTTATGAGATCGATTTTTTCAAAATAGCTAATTAAACTTCTTGATTTTTATTTACTAACTCAAACCTATATAGAGCAACTTGGTTAGTTTATGTCTAATTATCCCCTTAAATTTCAATAATATTGTCAAACTGTGCTAAATATTATGCTGAAAAAAAATTAGTGCTGAGATTTTACTGAGGACTTTGATGAGGAGAAGCTATTTCTTCACAGGAAAAAGTTGCAGTTTTTTAATTCTTTATATTGTATTTCAATAGCATATATTTAGATTCTTTGCTAAGCAAAAGGAAATTAATCCATGAATGGAGTTGTACTTAATGTTTATAAACTTAAAATATGTGTCTAGAAGTTTTCTATAGTATAGAATTTAAAATGTTACAAATATGTGTCTAGCAGTTTACTGCAGTTTAAAATTTTAAAATTACAAACATGTGCCTAGCAGTTTTCTGCAGTTCAAAATTTTTAATATTTCAGAGCCATCAGCTACATGTGGTGTGTCTTGTTCTGGCCACTTGTTCCTTTTATTTTACAATTCCTCATCATTGCCTACTGGATCAGCAGCATGGTGTATCCTTAATGGCTGAAAATTAGTAGCACAAGGTGGAAAATTGGTAGCACAAGGTGGAAAATTAGTAGCACAAGGTGGAAAATTGGTAGCACAAGGTGGAAAATTAGTAGCACAAGGTGGAAAATTAGTAGCACAAGGTGGAAAATTAGTAGCACAAGGTGGAAAATTAGTAGCACAAGGTGGAAAATTAGTAGCACAAGGTGGATAATTGGTAGCACAATGTGGATAATTAGTAGCACAAGGTGGATAATTAGTAGCACAAGGTGGAAAATTAAAAGCACAAGGTGGAAAATTAGTAGCACAAGGTGGATAATTAGTAGCACAAGGTGATTAATTAGTAGCTCAAGGTGGAAAATTAGTAGCACAAGGTGGAAAATTAGTAGCACAATATGACTGTATCTTTAGTAGCCACTAATCTTAGCATTAGTAGAACTTTGGAGGGCATTAATCTTTACATTAGTAACACTTTAGAGGCTGTTAATTTTAGAATAGTTAAACTTTTGAGGGCGTTAACCTTAACATTAGTTAGCCTTTAGAGGCTGTTAATCTTAGCATTATGTTGAACCTTTGTTTCTTCCTGACTGGGGGGGAAGGTGGGTGGCGGTAGACTTTCTTCAGAGGGGGGGTGGGAGGCGGACACTAAAAGTATGTTTTCTATATAAATTTCATTTTGGGGGGGGGGGGGGCTGAGCCCTCCCGAAGAGATGCCTGGAAGAAACTCTGTTGAACTTTGGAGGGTGATAATTTTACCATTAGTGAAACTGTGTTGGGCAATAATCTTATCATTACTAGAACACCCCATTGTTAGTTATCTGGATACTCTGTATGATTCAAATGGTGGATTGTATTAAAAATATGTAAGCTACAACATTAAACTAACGCAGGCGCCATTGTGCTCATGGGATAACCCAGAGTGCCAAATAGCACTTATCCTGATTATGCGCCTGATTCAATTTAGTGAGCGACTGCAACGCCTCATTTTATGCATTGTCTATCACACTGTTTAGAACAAACATAGGCGCCATTGAGCTCACAGGAAAGCCCAGGGTGCCAAATCTAACCCTGCAGGAGCTGCCGGGGGACTGCCTGGTTTCATATAGTCAACGATTATTGTTGCCCATCGTGTCTTTAGTGTATAGCCCATTTTGTATACAAACGTAAGCGCCATAGTGCGCAAACAACAGGGTTCCGGCAGTTGCACCTGTTGCAGTTTTACCGCTGAATACAGTAGTACCCATCACCAGCTATTCAGAACGCCAGATTAACGGATGCCAAGTGCCGCCCATAAGAAAAGTTTTTTTCACAAATCTTCTTGGGAGTATTTGGCGACACTCCTGCACTTTTAAAAAAAAAATTCGCAGATACCTCCCCAGAACTTCCCAAAGTTTAATGATGATCGAATGAAAGGTGTTGTAATGCATAAAAGACAAACACACATACATTGCTTCTTATAAATATAGATAGAAAATTATTATTAATCTTTTGATTACTTCCCATTTACAATTTTAAAATAATCAAGGGAAACAACCTATAACTCTGCACACTTAAGTCGTAAATTTAAAATACAGTAAAAGTTAATTGTAACAAAAAAAAAGGAAGGGTTCCTGTTTATTATTTTACTAAAGATGAATATTGAAAACCTTTTATGATAATTTGTCTATTTTTGCTTCGCTGGTTTTAATATTATCATTGACTCTAATTTAAAAAGATAAACATTAGCTGTATTAATTTTCTTATTTGTAGACAAGTCAAATGTTTAGTAAATTAATTCTGATGCTTCCTTCAATTGGGTTCTGATTTGTCCAAAATTTTCCAAAAGATGCAAGTTATTAACCTGCAAGTAATATTAGGTGTGAAAAAATTGCATTAGTAACATTTTAATATCAAACTTTAATGTTATGATGCACTAATCAGGAGTAAATAAAGTATTTTCTTTAAATATATAATACTTCACTACTTTTTAAATTACTGTAAAGAAAAGTGTGTCACTTTATTATCTATTGGATACCTTCACAAATATTTTCTTTTTAGTAATTAAATTTTTTTAGTACTTTAAAATTTTTATTTACAATATGCCGCTATTTAGTTGTTTTATTTTCTACTTTTCAGTGATACATAATTTGTGAATTGGACACTACTAATGCTGCGACTAAAAATATTTACTTTAAAATCACTATGAGTAACTCGTGATGGACAATAATCTTCCACCCCACCCCCCACCCCCCAGTGAAAGCAGCCTCTGCTGAGTTAGCTCCCCTAAGTTTCAAATCGTTTAAAAATTAAATTATCTACCATAATAGCCGTCACTAATTTGCCCTTGGTCTACGATTGTAATCAGTTGGCGTGAACCACAGCTCATCAGACTGGTGGGGGGGGGGGGGGGGGGGTAGCTATATGCCTAGAGAGGAAGGGAGGGTGTGGTGAGGCGCGCTAGGTGGTGGTGGTGGTGTCCTGCATAGTCCCCATATAGAGAATTATATATATAGTTTCATGACTAACAACTATTGTGCACCTAATGCGCACCTAGTGCATAATAGTAAGATAAGACTGCCTACTAATTTCAGAAAATTTTAATTAAGTCATAAGAAATTAATTAGTCATCAAATCAAATTTAATGTCATATTGCATTGTCATTGGGTCTTGACCCACATGCCGAATGTCAGAAATTGATCTGTTAGGAGTGCCCGAAATTTTGGTCTACTGTGTTAATACACCCTTCTCAAAAGATATTCTAAGTTTCTACTTGCGTCATCCATTTTTTTATATATATTTTTTTTAAAGATTTTAATATCCTAATAGTTAAATCAATGTACTGAAAAAAAATATAACAAAGCTTTATTTTTTATGTAATGTTTATTGTAATGAAGTTAAATATACTGGGAAAAATTATGGCTATTCTGTCAACATAACCCTTGACCTTTGAACTTAGTTTCATCTCATCCATGGGTGAACCTGAGTACCTAAACAATGGAACCAATGAGGTGAACAACCTGCTGTCTAGGGTGCCATGTGACCACACGGTAAGCTTTTTTACATGCCATCCATTATTAATACCACGACCTAATCAAATTCTTCAGATTCAATAACTATGAAGATTTTATTCTTTAGACTTTATAACTATCAAGTTTTTTCTCACTTAGTATCTGTGAAGTTTTGTCAAGTACGTTGTTTATATATGTACGTGTCTCTGTATCTTCCACCAGGTAAATGGCTCACTTAGTGATCTGTGTAGTTTTGTCAAGTACGGAGGAGACATGTAAGCAGTTTTATACTTTTCAAAGAAACTTCACATATAAATGTATTATGTGATTTTCATAACTTCACATACAAATGTATATGGTGACCTACATAATTTCACATACAAATGTATATGGTGACCTACATAATTTCACATACTAAAGTATTTGGTGACTTACAGAACTTCACTTACTCATGTATTTACAGACCTTCATAACGTCTCATATAAATGTATTTTGTGACCTACATAACTTCAAATATAAATATATAAGGTATCCTTCATTACTTTTGGTACTCTGCTGATTTTTACAAATTGTTACTGTTAAGTCAATATAAGTTGACTGAAAGATTTGATATTTAGATGACTGATTAACTTTCTATAAACTGATAGACTTGATATCAAGATGACTGACTTCTAATAAACAGAAAGACTTGATATCTAGATGACTGACTTCTAATAAACAGAAAGACTTGATATCTAGATGACTGACTTCTAATAAACAGAAAGACTTGATATCTAGATGACTGACTTCTAATAAACAGAAAGACTTAATATCTAGATGACTGACTTCTAATAAACAGAAAGACTTGATATCTAGATGACTGACTTCTAATAAACAGAAAGACTTGATATCTAGATGACTGACTTCTAATAAACAGAAATACTTGATATCTAGATGACTGACTTCTAATAAACAGAAAGACTTGATATCTAGATGACTGACTTCTAATAAACAGAAAGACTTGATATCTAGATGACTGACTTCTAATAAACAGAAAGACTTGATATCTAGATGACTGATTGACTTATCCACCTCCCCAGGTACAAGACCCCCATGCTAATCTTCATGACCTTCATGTTCTTCTGGCTCATCAACTTCATCATTGCCCTTGAGCAGATGACCTTGGCAGGAGCTTTTGCCTCCTACTACTGGGCCTGGGATAAGAAGAAGGACATCCCTGCCTTCCCATTGGGCTCGTCATTTTATAGGAGCTTAAGGTTGGTGTTTAGGAGCTTAAGTCTGATTAGTAGGAGCTTAAGGCTGATTAGTAGGAACAATGTGTGTATAGAAGCCATAAGTTGGTTTGTAGGAGCTTAAGGCTGATTAGTAGGAACAATGTGTGTATAGAAGCCATAAGTTGGTTTGTAGGAGCTTAAGGCTGATTAGTAGGGACAATGTGTGTATAGAAGCCATAAGTTGGTTTGTAGGAGCTTAAGGCTGATTAGTAGGGACAATGTGTGTATAGAAGCCATAAGTTGGTTTGTAGGAGCTTGAAGGTCAGTGTGTGTGTTTAAGGTGTTAAATGTGTGTATTTAGGAGCTTAAGGTATGTTTGTAGGAGCTTAAGTTGGTTTGTAAGAGCTTAAGTTGGTTTGTAAGAGCTTAAGTTGGTTTGTAAGAGCTTTAGTTGGTTTGTAAGAGCTTAAGTTGGTTTGTAAGAGCTTAAGTTGGTTTGTAAGAGCTTAAGGTGTGTTTATACATGGTTACAAGGTTGGTTTGTAGGAGCTTAAGGTTGGTGTGTAGGAGCTTAAGGTTGGTGTGTAGAACCTTTATAGTATCTTGGTGTGTAAGAGTGTACTGTATGGATCATGGGAGCTTATGATTTTTTAAATATTTCATTGATTTGTTGGTGGTATGGGATGGAAAATCAGAGGAGTGCCATAATATGTCCTGTTCGGAGAGAACGCAGTTCAGTTTTCATTTATAATTTGCTTTTGGCTGGAGCCAACTCAGCACAGATGGGTACCTTGTGAAGGTTTCAAGAAAAGTTATGTTGGCAGGGGCAGATAAATTCTACATACTTTTTCAGAAGTTGTTGTTCTTGTTTGAACTAGACCTTTTGTTATTCCAGGTACCACATGGGTTCACTGGCCTTTGGGTCGTTGATTGTGGCAATCATTCAGCTGATCCGAGCACTCCTGGAATATGTGAACAGGAAGTTGAAAGGATCAGAGAATAGGGTGGCTATTTTTGTTCTCAAGTAAGTTTGGTTTTTTTTTTATATCACTTTTAAAATAAAAAATAAGTTTGGTCATCAAATAATATTCAAGTTATATCCATAAAATTATTTTTCAAAGACTGTGTAAATTTTAAACAAGAGCTTAAATTTTAACATTAAAAAGCAAAGTCTGTTGCCCTACTTTTTATTATCTGTTCACCTAAAAAGACCAAGTCTTGTTTTCATTATTTACAAAGTTTTGTGGCGATTGAAACAAGTACTTTAATCAGATTTTATTTTGTGAAGTCTTCATTGGTACTTTTCTGATAATAGTAATGGGTAAAAATTACACGACAACTCCACTAGAAAAAAAAATTGGTGTATAGTACTTTTAGTAGGTGAAGCTTTCTTTGAATTTTTTGTACTAGAGTAATTGCCATCAAAGAAAAAATAATGAAAGATTTAAGAAAAATGTGTTAAAATGAACTAATTCATTAGGTATTAAAAATGCAAATGTATTTAATTTTAATGAACAAAACATCCAGTGTAGTTTGTTTACTTTTCTCTCTCCAGGTGTTTGCGCTGCTGTTTCTGGTGTCTAGAGAAGTTCCTGCGTTATGTCAATAAAAACGCATACATCCTGGTTAGTGCTCATTTGTTATTGTATGGCTGTGGGATGATAACAATTGCTGTTCAGATTAAAAGTTATGTTTTTAATTTATTTTGATTTTTATGAAATTAATTGAAATTACTTTTTACTTCGTTAATTCTTTATAATTTTACTAACTTGACTTGTTATGGTTATATTTTTATAGTTAATGTTATCTTTGTTGGGTTTTTTTTTTATAATTTAAGTTTCAAATTTATTGGAAATACAAATATTTTTAAAATTTCAGATTGCGATTCATGGACGTAACTTTTGTACTGCAGCTAAGGATGGATTTTTACTAATCATGAGAAATGTGCTCAGGTAAATCTGTTTTACTCTAACACCAGTGATTCTCATCCTATCAGCCCAGGTTGTTAGATATATTCCTTTTTAAATTGACAATGTGATAAGACTAAATCACTAATTTTTGTTGCTTTAATTTTCCCATCAGAGCTGCAGTCCTGGATAAAGTGTGTGATTTCCTGATGTTGATATCTAAGCTGATGATCACAGGGGCTGTTGGTAAGTGGGGCAGTGCCCTGTTTTTTTTTAATAGAACAATTACAGAACAGTCACAACTTGTCTAAAATCAAATAGGGACAGAATGGTTGGGTGGGAGGATTCATATTTGCCAACTCCAAAAGTACAGAGTTCGGAACTGACCCTGGAGAGATGAGGTTTGTTAGCTGGGGACAGCCACTCTTCTAGGAGAGACAACTCAGAAATCAAACAACTGCTGCCTTGTAGTTTGTTCTTGATTGGACAAAGACTATGGAAGCAAATCCAAAAAGAAGAGCAGGCTGAAATCAGAGTCAACGGCCTTTATGGTGCATAATATTTAATTGTGTAAGAGGAAATCCCACTTCACTATTAAGAAATAAAAAAAAAAAATGGGACTGAACAGTCTTGATATGAAGTTAAATGTCGAGGCTTGACTAAAAGATGTCTGAATAATTCCACAGCAATCCTGGCTTTCTTCTTGTTTCAAGGGAAGATTCCACTCTTTGCTGAAGTTATTCCACACATGAATTACTTTTTGTTTCCTGTTCTTGTGAGTACATTCTTGTTGGGTGGAGGGGGGGATGGAGATAAGATTGGGGGAATCGTTTGATGGGAGGAACAAATTGCAAAAACACCTGGGAGTTTGTCTTTCTAACTTTACTTCCCTTAATCAACTTTAAACCCAAATTCAAGCCTACATCCTCTAAACCCACACCCAACTCCATACCTTTAAATCTAACCACACACCTTTAAACCCTGCACCTTTATATCCACATTCAACCTCACTTCACTCTGAACCCACACCTCAATCTCCAAACCCACATTCTAACCCACCCACCCCCCTCTACATCACTCTTAACCCACACCTCAATCTCCAACCCCACATCATTCTAACCCACCCACCCCCCTCTACATCACTCTGAACCCACACTAACCACATCTCCTCTACCCTGACCCTCACATGTAAACCTACAACCACCCATTATAAACTTCTGTAAATTAATTACATATAAATTTTGTTTTGAATCCGCTGATTATCTCCCTTCTATCCCTTCAGCTGACAGCTATAGGTACCTACCTCATCAGTGACAGCTTCTTTGATGTTTACAGTATGGCTGTGGATACAATCTTCCTGTGTTTCTGTAAGTCCTCCATGTTTCTCTGTAACTGGCACTGGTTTTATTGCTCTTGGTGTATTCAGTATTGTAGTTTATCATCAAACTCGTTATTACAATAAAAAAAAATCCCTTTCTAATTAAAAAAAATCACTTATTTAATTTTGAAGAATTAATTAATAGAAAAATATAATGGCATTTTAAAATCGGCTTTAAAAAGATAAAAATCATTTTAAATTAAATTAATTTAAAAAAATTTTTTTTAAATAATTTCAAAAACAAAACAAAACAAAAATTTAAAAGTAATTTACAAGTAGTAGGAAATACAAGAATATTTTAATGGGTAGAAAAAAAAAGCATTTAAAAAGAATAAGAAAAATAGAAAGGCTTTTTACCTTGTAAGACATTTTGATACCATTCAATTTTTTTAAACTTAGGAAATGTTCTGCGTGTTGGTATGTTTGATTTCTGTTACAGTGGAAGACCTAGAGCGCAATGACGGCAGCGAAGAAAGACCCTTTTACATGAGCCGCAACCAGAACCTGAAGCGTCTGCTGTACAAACCTCCCAGCAGTTAGACTAAATGTTGCATCTTGATTTGGCTTACAAAATTGTTTCTTTTTTGTTTCAGCCCATTTTTTGTCTACCAACAAAGTGTCTAGATTCACTGTGTTTGCTTACACCGCTAATGCTTCTCTTGTTTTGTTTTGCCTTGCATTGATGTGCTTTTATTGTCTACGAGAAAAATGGCCCGTTGAGGAAGGATACAACGGGCGCTAGGTTGATAGTGCTGTCTATTTTCTCTAAACTAAAACCAACCCCCCCCCCCCCCCCCCCCACACACACACACACCCCAAAACATGTCTACTGTCCCATTCAACGAAATATAATTATATACTTTTTCCAGTGTCCGCACCCTCCCAGAAATTTCTACCCCCGCCCCCAAAAATTTCAAGTACCCCCACCCCTCTCCGGGGAGGAAAAAGTCTGAAAGAAACACTGGTCGCATTTGTAGATCATACAAACTAAAGGAAGAACCTGGGCGGGGCTTCGCCCCTACCGGAAGAGATGCTTGAAAAAAACTGCACGCTAAACATTTTTTTTTAGATTAGAAAAAGTTCCTCCCTCAGGGAAGGAAAAAGTCTGAAAGAAACACTGGTGTTGCGCTTAGCCACTACCCGAAGAATTGCATGAAAGAAACTGCATGCAAACCACTTTTTAGATTAGACACATAAATTAGGCTGTAATTGTATTATAGAGTATCCATGAAGAAATTTCTTTTGAGTTGGGGAGGGGGGGGCTCAGACGTTCTTACACAGGGGTGGGGATTCGCCCCTACCCGAAGAATTGTATGAAAGAAACTCTTCACTTTTAAAATTAGACAAAATTGGCTTTTTAATTCAATGTTTACTCGAGAATCATTGACGTCATATTACTGTGTGCACTCTCCAGCTTGAGATTATTTTCTAATATATGCTAAATGTGACGTCATATTTCGTTTTCGTTTAACTATGCATGTTTTTAATTTGCTTGTGTTTTCTCTATAGCGTTCTTGTCAGATAGATACATAGATACACAGACAGCGAAACTGTTAGTATTAATGCCTTATTTTCTCACAAGCTGCTTACATTGTTTAAATGTGACTTACCTCCCTTTAACATGACTTACTTCCCTTGGTTCAACCATTTTTATTTTTTAAGGCTTTAGCTTGTCTGATTGTTGTATTTTTGCAGTGGAAGATTGTGAGAGAAACGATGGTTCAGCGGAGAAGCCTTACTTCATGTCCAAAACTAAGAACTTGAAGCGGATGTTGCACAAGTAAAACCCCCCCATCAGATTCTTGTAGGATTTATTTTTCTTTGTAATCAAAGGTTAGCCTGCCAAGGGTTCATTGGTTTCTCTCATTCATTCTAAGGCCGGCTCTAATTGTACCATCATTGTCTCTTCATGAAAAATTATTGAGCTAAATTTTGTATTGAAAAAATATGTTGTGATCTTCACCCTTAAACATCCATCACTTGTATCACTTTTTTTCTCCATCTCTTTATGTCATTTAAATCTGTTTAGCTAATTTGGTCAAAAGTTAGTTTGAAAATTTATTTTTTAAATTTAAAAAATAAAAAGATTTTTAAATCATCTCAAGAAATGTTTCAAAACTTGGAATCCATCTGGTATTAAGTTTCCTTTAATATATTTTGTCCTCTGGCTGTTAAAAAAACAATTAATTTTTAATCCACCAGTAAACTTTTGTTTTTAACATTTAAAAAAAAAAGTTTATAGTATTACTACTATCTTTTTACATCCCTCACACTGGCAGCATGTATATAAGTATTAACCAACCCTAGCTAACCAAACATGAGCACCAAATGCATCAAATAGTTGTTTTAAAAATAAAATAAAGGTTTTGGGTCAATATATTGCGCTCTTGGATTAAATACCATCACAATTTGTCTGAAAAATAAGATATATAATTGCTGATTTATTATTAACAGATCAAATATGGCAAAATAAGTTTTACTAACAATTTCCTCTTAAAAGTTAACTTTCCATTCTTTATGCATTGTGTTTGTGTCAAATCTGAATCTTTTTAAACAAATTTTTGTTGAAATAGTCACTAGTTGTTTTTGTCTATTAAATGTTTGTGTTCATTTGATGTTATTGTATCTTCTAATTTAGACAAACAGCTTCATATTCAATTACCTTAGGTGTTTTAGGAAGTAAATTCTGTCTGTGAAATCAAATCAACAACCTGTTTTTTTTTAAAATCTTATTGTCACTGCATTTTCAGGTAGTTGAGATAAAATTTGATGTATAGATTCAATGGAGGTGTGTATTTTTTTCTCTTTATGTTACTTCATTAATTTTATTCATTTATTTGCATTGATATTTACTCAACATTTGTTCAGAAGTTGATATTTTTGTTTTACTCTAAGGTTGAAGGTTTTGTTCTATTTTTAAACTAAAAATTGTATGTAACAAAATTGAGGTATATATCTAGGCTTAAAAGTGATCATCACACACCTTGTGGTTGTGGGTCATTAAATAAAGCAGGGTCTATGTCTTCAGTCCTAATTGTAATATTTTAGCTGAAATAACTTATGGCTACATCACATGAAAATTTACTATATGAATAAATATCTATCTTTAAATTAGTTTCTATCCTACCAAAACAAGTAGTTTGGGAAACTTGAATGTCTTGCGAAATGTTTTAATCAACACAGGAGGAAGGAATCTCTAATGTTCTTGTATTGCTGTACCCTCTTTGATAAACACTATTGACTTTCATGTGAAAAAAAAGTAAACGTTTTCAGTGTATATGAATTTAATGACATTGCATGAATTTCAAATTATTTTAAAATATTTTTTAAACATGTGTATGATTTTCTTTAACTGCAAATATACTCAGTTAAAAATGATTTAATATCACTTTTAGACTTTTGTATCATAACACATTAAAAGATGACACGGTAAAGGATTTTAACCAATGCTACTTTCATTTTTACTCCCTTTTAAATGCTTTTGATTAATATTTTTAAAATTTCTGTTTTTTTTTTTTAAATTTGTGCATTTGTAATTTATATCTCACCAATGTTATGTAGTATTGATCTTATGAAACAATCTTGTAACTTGATAGTAAAAGCTTAAATAGAAAAATTCTGTTTAGTCTACTCTGCCCCACCTAGTTTAAAATATGTTACATTATTTTAATTGTTCCTCTGTTAAAGATCAGTCTAGTCTTCATTTGTTGACATTATCAATACACTTTGATATTGCTGACAAGAATTTTTTTTTTTATATCATTCTAACCTTAGAAACCGTCAGCTTCTTGTTGTATTTTTATTGCATGTTAACCAATTGACATTAATTTAAAAAACACTATGCTGTTCCTAGAGAAAGTAAAAATTTCTTTTTGCATTTCCAAAATCTAGATCTAAATGTATGTCCTCTATAATGAATTAAATTGTAGTTTTTTTTAAAAAAAGTGCAATTGTTAATTTATACTGCTGTGTAGTATTTTTCCAGGGACACCTTATTTTTCTCACTACCATGAAACACCTTGTTATGTTACTAACACTTAGAGTTAGATGCCTCATACAAGTATAGAATTCCTTTTATAATAAACCTAATGTTTAGGTCAATATAGGGGGAGTTAACCCATGCAAATTTCCTGATATCTTAATAAAATTGTAATGCTGTCTTCTGTCGATAAAAATACTATAAACTATGTTATTATTCTATAATTCATTGTTTATCAATTTATTACATTTGAAATGCCTTAATTAGTACTTTCAAAAATTATATTTTCATTAAAGTTATACATAAATTGTGTACATGTTGCTTTTATTTAAAAACAAAAAAATAAACTTTCCACTATATTGCCTTTATTTGCTCAATTTTTTTAATACTATTTTGTAATCCAATTGCATTAAAATTTTTCCAAATGGGTACTTGACTTAAATTGGGAGAAGGCCGCAGGTCATTGATAAAATATTTTTATATACTTTTTACAACTTTCTCCTTATTTTCTTCAATGTATGTCATCTCAGTGAACAAGCAAACTTGACTTTCTTTACATCCTCATCAATGCTTTTATCTAAAAACTTTGAATGTTTGTTTCATTACATTGCCTCAACTGTCTTTTACATTTTTTTTTATATCCTGCAGCAACAGGCAATACACTAGTGGTCAAAGAAACAGGTGAAGTAGAGTTCCCCTGCTTCTAATCAATAAGTTGCATCCATTATTCAATGGCTACTACTTCTTTCATGTGGGTTTAGAGTATTTATCAAGTACTCAAAAACTGCTATACTAATCCTTTTTTAAAAGTGGCATTTGATTTATCTTAATCCATCTTTATTTGTGATTTTTAAAAAATTTTTGGAAGCTAAATTGTAGAAATATTTAGCTGAAATAGTTTGTTTTATATCTTAGTTATCTAAGTTGAATGTATCTTAGCTATTGTCTCATAAGACGACTTTATTGTTGAACAACACTTAGAACGCAGTTGTTGAATATTCAAGGAATTGAAACCTGTATGTCATGAAACCCCAGTTTTTCCTTCCCCGTCCCTTTTGATCTGTCTGGCATTTGCTCTAATTTTTCTTTGAAATATTTGTATTACCCCAAACAAGTAAAATAAACAGATTAAAGTCAGACCAGAGTTTCAAAGATGTGACGACCTCCCAAAAAAAAAAACAACCTATTATTATAAACAAAATTAACTTGTGTTCAGCTTTTTTATTCTTCTCCCCATCCAATCACAACCACACATCCATTATCAACCCCAGGGGATAATAAATTACAAATTCAAATTTTGTTTCTAGCATGAAGTTACTTTTTTTAAAGTTTTCAAGTATAAATTTTAGCATGTCTTTTGTATAACTTTTTAAATTCTCACTTTTTCATAATTAAATTTCAGAGAATCTGGATCAATATAAATGTATTACTGTCATGTTTATTACAGTGTGCCTATATATAACTTCAAAATTTTTATAGCAAAGATTCTTATTCTGTATTTATTTGATGTTTTTCCTTAGTGGCATATTAGTTTTAATTTTGAAACATTAACAATGGGTTCAATTAAATGTGTTTCACAACAATTTTCTGTTGCTTGATATTTTTTTACGTTAAAAAGTCTCACTGGGCAGAACAAAATTTCTTTCACTGATCTGTGAAGAAATGCTGTCCAGGTTAACCAGTTGTAAAAATCACAGGACTACTAAACTGATAACGTTAATGGTTTATTTCATCATTATTTAAACAACAAAAAAAGGTATGCTCTTAAACCCACCCAGAAAATGTCATTCAAGTCTCACAAGCAAGTAATAATTTAACAAGAAATCTTGGCAACAGCAACATTAAGATTTGACGAGATCTCAGTACATTTAACAACCATGAAGTCGTAAAAACCTGCATTTTTAGAATCAAATTTCTAAATTTCTCCACTGAGATCATTATGATTAAATATGATGGATTACATTCTTGAGAATTTAATATTAATTATTAAATACATTGTATTCTTGCTTAAGATCACACATAGATACCATTCTCTTTGTTCTTATTGTTAACTTATTTTTAAACAAATCCCATAATTAACAAAAAATGAATCTGAAAAACAAACATTCTTTATCTGAAGCACATGTAATACAAACAATTCAAGTTACAAAATGAAAGTCTTCCATCAAAGGGTATGTAATTAAAATTCTACAGAGATAACACATTGAATTAAAATACATCTAGAGTGTTTGACACTGCAGATTTTTTAGAAAACTTGTAACACATCTTACCACAACCACAACCAATTATTTAAACTATGAAAATAAATACTGCAAATTAAAAAAAAATGCACTCACTCAAACATGAAGAGGGTTAAAGGTTTGCTTTTTTTAAAAATTCTTTTGATTAATTTTAATACTTTAAGTTTTAAAGTTTAAGTTCACAAGAGAATGCTTTTAATTTTTATTTCGGTTTTCTCGAGGATTTTATCCCTAAGCTGAGTTAGGGTTAGCAAAGTGACACTAAATGATTCTGTGAAAACTTAGGGGAAATAAATACTAGTTGTAATAAACAAGTGAATGCCAAGACAAGAAAACAATGATCTTAACGATGTTCACAATTCCCAAAAAAACTCATCTAAAGTTTTTAATTTTACTAATTTTATTACAAAAATAAACTTTAAAAAAGCTATAATTTATCATTTCATTTCAAATATAGTTTTCTAAATGTAGGAATGTGAATCTAATCTGAGCTACAATGGAAATATTTTAAAATATTTTAGGTGAAAGGAAAGTGGAATATATTACACAGCTGTGAGCATAATTATCTGTGGCAGGTTCTAATCTATTACTGCAGCTCAGAACTACTTGGTATGCATTTCTTTTAGTCTGAGCATTGGTTACTTTAAAATAAAGAACTACAATGAACAGGGCTTTCTTTAGGAAAGCTATTATTAAAATGAGCAAAAAATCATTCTTTCTAATTACTTATGTATGTATTTATTTTTTATTTTTGGTGATGCTCATTAAATCTATTTTTCATTGAATGTTTTTTTCAAATTATTAAGAATCCATTTTTTACAGTAGCAGTATGATTAATTAATTAAAGATAAAGATTGACTTAGAATCAGTACAATAAAAACTTTTATTGTAACTGACAAAAAATGCATTAAAAAATATATTAATAGAAAAACGTTTGTGCGGCATAATGACATTACAAGAAGAACTGCTAAGTGATTATTTCAAAAAAATTTTACAATTGATTTAAAAAGAAGGCTTAAAGACTAGTTATAAGTTCCACTTCACCATTTTGTGGGCAGTGTTACAAATATTCAAGATAGAGCTGATTTTAATTTTTTTTATACAAATAAAATCAAACAAGAAAAAAATCCTCAACTTAATTTAATGTGTATAATATTCTTGATTACCATTGGTAGAAATATTTTTTAACAATCAGTCATATAAAAGTAATACATTTTTTTTTCTAGCTATTTTCCCTAATATCATTACAGCAAAATAATTTATTGAAGAAACTAAAAAATTTTGTCAAGTTTGGCTCAGGTTAGATGACATGACTACATGCGGAATGATTGGGGCACCTCACACACCATTTGTTAACTAGGACTGGTGTCTATAAAATACACATCAAATATTTACTCAGCTGTCTCAAACATACAGCAGCACCACAGGATTCAGTACATCAATCAGCCAATCTCTCCCAGGCTCTGCTCATTACAAGCGGGCGCCTGGCATCCAAGGTTTGTGGAAAAAGTTGACTGGTAAAGGTGTACAGTGGGTTGATTCAAAGTTCTCCATATGGGCAGTAATCTAAAAAAATAGCAAATGTTTTTTAACCAGCGTTCAATGATGTTTTTTCTTATTTACAATGTTTAGCAAAATGATGTTTTTTTTTATCAAAGATCATCTGAAGAGAAAAAATGTATCTATTTTAGGTTATTATTTTTGCTACATGTATTGTTGAGACAAAGGTAGCAATACTAATATAAATTATAGGTTTGATAAGCACCACCTGCTTTGAAAGGTGTGCACTTCTTTTTATTTAATATTTTTATAATTAAGTTTAGTTGTTTTTACTATCATTAAATATATTTTTACTTTAAAAATCATGTTTTAAATTTTCTAAGATTATAGCTGAAACTTTTTGTAAATTTCCCCTTTTTAATACCTTTTCACGTCCTGATATTGACAAAAAAATATATCCATCCTTTAAGTGACAGAAATGTATAAACATAAGATTAAAACAAAATACCATATGTAAATTAACAACCCATGACATATTTAAAAACAAACCCTGTTTACATATTAATTGATAAAAACTCACCAAAAACAAAGCCAGTTTAACTTTCAAACTATGATCCACCACATCTGTGAAAATCATTACATTCAATTATAAGATGTCTTAAGGTCAGCTGTCAGTTTTAAAAATTTGTTACCTGCTTGTGGACAGTCTGTCTAGGTCAACTGTATCTGCTTGACATTCCTTAATTTAAGCAGCTTTTAGCAGAAAGATACCATTAACTAAGAAGATAATCCTCTATAAGTTAAACACTAACAGATAAACAACAACTGCCGTCTCTGAATTTTGTCATCTATTTACCAATGAGTATCAGCCGTAGACTTGAAAAACAAACAAAAACTTACTTATATTCATAGGGAAGTGTATCCCTTTATCCTGTACATGTGCACTGAAGTGTTTGCTACATTCTTGGTAGACCACAGCCTTTTCTTCTAACATTTGAACTGGTGGAACAACAACATTAACACAATCATTGTGTGGAGGATAGTATTAAATCCACACATAAGTTGTATATATTATATTTATATGTAAGTGAAAAGAAAAAGGTCCCACAATAATTGTGTTAAATTATGCTTATTTAACGTGAAGATGATGGCATCATAAGAAAAGTGATATATATATATATATATATATATATATATATATATATATATATATATATATATATATATATATATATATATATATATATATATATATATATATATATATATATATATATATATATATATATATATATATATATAAAATAATATATATATATATATATAATCAAGGTATAAGAACAACCCTTCAGGGAGCAAAAATGGTTCCAGCTGACAAACAAGTTATCAAGCTACACATCTCACTGAGTAGGCCCTATGTTAGTGAAAGCTAGTAGATACAAATATTAAGTATTATGGTGCAGCTACTTTCTTTTGGAAAAATAAAATGTTTAAGTCTTACTTTGACTAATTGTTTCTTTTCCTAAAAATTCTCTCATCACAGGTAATGTGGTGTCATCCACAATGGTGGGATATCTGGAAAGAATAAAACGTAATTTTAGACCTCACAGCTAACCAGTACACACATCACATCATAACTGCATGACCTTTTGTTCTCATACCTGGTCTCAAGTTATCAAAATATTTAGAGTTTTTTTCAGCATCTCTTTGGGGATTTATATACAGGAAGTGTACTTCAACCATAAAAATGTCTGAAATAACACTGTTTACAACAGGCCCACTTTCAATTCTTATCTTGGTCAGATGAAAATAAGATTTTTTTTAGAAATAATTTCAACTCCTGAATGTCATTCTAGGAAATTTTTCAGCTAATTGACAAAATTCTTGTAATAATCATAGCTGGTGAAGGTTGTTCTCTCAGCTAAGATAGATAATTCTCTGGATAATTTGAACCACTAAAGATAATTCAAGCGATAATTAAACTGAGCGCATGAAGGTTGTTCTCTCAGCTAAGAGAGATAATTCTATGGATAATTGGAACCACTGAAGACAATTCAAGCAATAATTAAACTGAGCGCAAGAAGGTTGTTCTTACCGGTGTTGTAGTAACTTCAACAGCAAAAAATTTCCTCTGTTTGATTGCAGTACTGGGAAGGAGTCTGGGGGTGATCTGGAGATTTATTTAAATGTTACACATTACTTTTTTTCAAGTGAAGATGTTTGTTTATTTACTTTTTTACTGTAGTATAATAAAAAGTAACATTTTTTAAAATTTACAATAAAACAATTGAACCATGATTCACAGCTCAATAACTAGACTCACTCTGTGGTTATAATTTCATCCCTAGTTCTCCTTACAAGCAGTATAGGTCCCTGGTACCTGTTGAATAAACACACATCATTATGGTTTACTTGTTACATGTTGTGCAGCATAGACAGCTCTTAGGAGTTGAAATGTTTAACTAAACTTTCTGTCACAGCTGTAATGGGAATCTAAGTTGGCATAGGTGTACTTGTTGAGCATCTTATGTTTTAGATATACACATCCTGATATGCTGAAAGTAGTGACTGGAAAGATGCGCAAGGGAAAACTGCTTACAAAAAAGTACCCACAGGTATTAACTCAAGCATTTATAGACTTTAACCTTTATATCCTGTGGCTTTGCTGTTACATAACTTATAACGGGTAAGGCCACGTGGCCCGCTTTAAGGGTTAACAAAGATTGGCTACATGTAGATTGTAGCATAATAAAACTAATTCCTCAATATACGACAAAATTAATCTGCACTGGTATAATTAGCTTGTATTTGGGCATTTATCTGTTTGCACAGTTTTCTGATTGCACATTTTTCTGGGAACCACTGAAAGTAACATTCAGCTGTTGATTGGTTAAAGTAGAAATTGACAGAATCAATGGATATCAGATGTGTATTTAAAAAGTTACTCACTCTAAAAGATTATCTGCTACATTCAAGTCCATGTAAGTTCTCAGACTAAGTGCAACCAAGTTTTCTGAAATGAAGATTTGGTTGATGGAGAACATTTAAACAGTCTTTAAATACAAATTAACTATCTAGTTTTATCTTCAGAAATTGTGTTAATGGAAACTATTTAGACTGCCTTTAATTATAAAATTAGATATCTACTTTGAATCAGAAAAAATATTTTAGTATTTCACTAATATTCAGCTTGTTAAATGATGAACATAAATAAACTCCAAGGTATCAAAGGCCAGAATTTATTTGTTTAGAAAAAAATATATATCAAGTAAGCTAACAAGTAAGGCTGAAGTTAACAGTAGATAACTAGCTTAGGGTTAAATGTAAAAAACAACTGCTCACTCCAAGACTGAGGCATCTTGGCAATAGCCAGTGGCACGATGTCATCAAAAGTTGCATCCAAAACCTGAAGAATTTAACATTAGCTTAGTCTCCAATCCAACATGTTTAACCAAATAAGATTATAACATTAATTTTGTCTTTATTCAAATTCTTGAAATATACTTTACAAAAATAATTTATTTAAAGTAATTGCTTTGAAAAATGTAAAATTTACACCTTTTGAACAGATATAACAACTCTAGAGTTTTGATCTTTCAGTTCATGAGATAAAAAAAATAAAGCACTGACCACAAACTTGATATCTGGGTATGTCTTGGCCACCCAGGAAGCTGTGTACCCCCCTATAGACCAGGCAAACAGAGCAATGTCCTTGGGTTCAAACTTGAGCTTGTGAATGGCATACTGCATCACGGCATCCACAGCTTTCTGTTCTTGGTCGGGGAAAGCTATTCCCTGTGTTGGTTACAAAAATTTTAAGGCTTGATGATTAGCTGCTTCACTAAGTTCCTAAAATTGTTGGTACTTGTGGCATAGCTGTTTCACACCATGTATATTGTAAGTAATTTACAAAAATTTTGGTACTTGTGGCTTAGCTGCCCCACATAATGTAATTAGGCATGGCCCTGTTTCTACCTTAACCTCTGATCATGTGGTAAGGTATATTAGACTAAGAATATCAAAAATGTTTATAAATTTAAAACATATTTATTATTAAAGTGAATTTATCTGATGCAAAGTATAATTCACAGTCATATTCAAATGAAATAAAGATAAGCATCTCCCAATCAACTTTGAATGGCATGGTCAAATGATTGAGCATTGACTATTAGCCCGAAGGTCTCAAGTTCAGATCTGGTTCAGATTCATGACTGCAGTATGACTGTGAGTTAACCCAGCTCTGATGGGTACCTGACTCACGAAAGGGAAACAAAGGCAAATGGGCATGGTGCTGACCATACTTCACGTGATGAGGCCATTGAAACAGATCAAGTCTAATTCATGTCCCACATGTCTTGGGGAAAAAAAATTAACTTTGAATGTCATATTTGAAAGCAGTGTGACTGGGTCTACAAAACCATAACCAGAAAACAAAGATTTAAAAATGCCAGACTTACAGTACTCCCACCAAACCCAGGATGGTTCCACCCCAACACAGAGTAGTTGAGATCTAATGGAGTGTTTGAGCAGCCCATCTCATAGAAGCCAGCATTACCTTCTGATGTTATAACCTATTCGTTTATGATACACACAAAAAATTATAATATAAAAATCATTATAAAAACTGTTTTATTTAAATGACTCAAAAAATTATTTTAAAAAAAAACCAAAAGAAAAAAAACTGTTATCATTAGTCTAAACCAAGAATCTAATTGTTTTAAAAATAATCAAACTTTATAAACACCAGTAATCAACTATTTTTTGTAAAAAAAAACTTATTTCATTTTTTATCATTGTAGGTTTTAATAAAAATAAAGCTATCTGAAATCTGAAGCAAATAACATTTTTTTTCTGAATAATCTATTAGACTGGTCATGATAGTTCAGTATTTAATTAAAAATAAAATCACGGATGAATTACACAAAACTTACTAAGGTACTACCATTTTCAGACGATCCCTTCCTATTCATAAACATGGTGTCAATCTCGTTTCCATCCTCTGTCAAAACTTTGGCTCTAATACCCCCTTTCTGAAATATAAGAAATTCACAAGCAAATTTTTAAACAGTGTTCAAATTGAAACAACATATTAAAGATACATTTCCAACTTTACAAGCTTAATGTAAATAAATCAATAAAATTGTGCCATAAGTTACATTACTTTTTATAAAGAAAAACAATTTCATACAATAAATTAGTTACCTAATTTGCAGAGAACGTCATGTATTTACAAGATTAATATACGTATACATAATATACTTACGTAACGTCAATCATATTTTTTTTCAATGTCTCTCCCCTATAGATAAAAGCTAAACAATTATCTCACCTCTCTCCCCTATAGATAAAAGCTAAACAATTATCTCACCTCTCTCCCCTATAGATAAAAGCTAAACAATTATCTCACCTCTCTCCCCTATAGATAAAAGCTAAACAATTATCTCACCTCTCTCCCCTATAGATAAAAGCTAAACAATTATCTCACCTCTCTCCCCTATAGATAAAAGCTAAACAATTATCTCACCTCTCTCCCCTATAGATAAAAGCTAAACAATTATCTCACCTCTCTCCCCTATAGATAAAAGCTAAACAATTATCTCACCTCTCTCCCCTATAGATAAAAGCTAAACAATTATCTCACCTCTCTCCCCTATAGATAAAAGCTAAACAATTATCTCACCTCTCTCCCCTATAGATAAAAGCTAAACAATTATCTCACCTCTCTCCCCTATAGATAAAAGCTAAACAATTATCTCACCTCTCTCCCCTATAGATAAAAGCTAAACAATTATCTCACCTCTCTCCCCTATAGATAAAAGCTAAACAATTATCTCACCTCTCTCCCCTATAGATAAAAGCTAAACAATTATCTCACCTCTCTCCCCTATAGATAAAAGCTAAACAATTATCTCACCTCTCTCCCCTATAGATAAAAGCTAAACAATTATCTCACCTCTCTCCCCTATAGATAAAAGCTAAACAATTATCTCACCTCTCTCCCCTATAGATAAAAGCTAAACAATTATCTCACCTCTTCAACTAATTGTGTTCTCCCAATCTTCAACATATTTGCTGAAAAAATATTTGTTTCATTGTCAAGAAAATTTGGATCACATGAGTGTTAGTTTTTAATTTATAAAACCTTTACAACAATTAGTAGGCCAGGAAAAAATGTTCACTTACAGAGTAAATAATTCATGAGAGACGTGCCACCAGGATAAACCATTCTGCGACCAAATGTGTGCATGGCCAAGTAGCTGAAATATTTTAACTTGTTTTAGCTAAGAAAAAGGTTGCGAAAGAAAACATCAAGAAAAATTAAGTGACAAGAACTAACATATACCAGTTTCTATATCTAAACAAGAAGCCTAGATAAAATTCTATTAATACTTATAGTTTCGCTGTCTGTCTATCTATCTATCTATCTATCTATCTATCTATCTATCTATCTGTCTGACAAGAACGCTCTAGAGAAAACACAAGCAATTTAAAAACATGCATAGTAATTCGAAAAACGAAGTATGACGTCGACACATTTAGCACAGAGTTGAAAATAATCTCAAGGCGGAAAGTGCACACAGTAATATAATGACGTCATTGATTCTGGCGTAAACATTAAAGAGGAAATGTTGTCTAATCTAAGTGGTTTGCGTGAAGAGTTTCTTTCATACAATTCTTCGGGTAGGGGCGAAGCCCCACCCCCGCGTAAGAACGTCTGAGCCCCCCCCCCTCCCCAACTCAAAAGAAATTTCTTCATCGATACTCTATAATAAAATTACTGTCTAATTAATGTGTCTAATCTAAAAAGTGGTTTTCTTGCAATGGGACGGTAGACATGTTTTTTTTTTTGGGGGGGGGGGGGGGGGGGGGGGTGTGGAGGGGTGGGGGGGGGGGGGTGTTTTGTGTGTGTGGGGGTGGTGTGTGGGGGGGTGGGGGTGGTGTGTGGGGGGGGGGTGGGTTGGTTTCAGTGTTTCTTTCAGACTTTTTCCTCCCCGGAGAGGGGTGGGGGTACTTGAAATTTTCGGGGGCGGGGGTAGAATTTTCTGGGAGGGGGCGGACACTGGAAAAAGTATATAATTATATTTCGTTGAATGGGACGGTAGACATGTTTTTTTTTTGGGGGGGGGGGGGGGGGGGGGGGGGTGGAGGGGTGGGGGGTTGGGGGCGGTGTGTGGAGGGGGTGGTGTGTGTGGGGGTGGGGGTGGGGGGTGGTGTGTGGGGATGGGTGGGGGTGGGGTGGGGGTGGGGGTGGTGTGTGGGGGTGGGGGTGGGTTGGTTTTAGTTTAGAGAAAAGAGACAGCACTATCAGCCTAGCGCCCGTTGTACCCTTCCTCAACGGGCCATTTTTCTCGTTAGGCTATGTTGGTTTTTTTATATGGCAATAATTAGGTTAAATTGTCATTAGTTGAAAAAACATTTTTTTTTAATCAATAATGATTTTAAGCAAATGTATAGAATAGGCCTCAATCTACCATGTATTGTCCTAAAATAACATAGCTTTCCAACCAATCTGTCTATACAGTTGTAGTCTGATAGTATGACTAGTTAACTAAGAGACCATTGCAATGATCAAATCTCTCCTGCCGCCATTATGTTCTCAAAAAAGCCAAAGCTAATGCTTGCAGTTAACTTACCTGAGAATTCTACATGGCAGGCTACTTCTCTCAATGGCTTGAGCCCTTCTGCTCGAAGGGGCCCGTGCAGGGGGTGGAATTTTCTCCCTATAAAGGAAATAGAATTGAACATACTAATTGAAATAATGAAAATTAATATAAAAACATTTATAAAATTACTACATTAGAGAAAAATATGTATATCAATGCCTTTTTACAAACAAAAATCTGCATTGTTTTAATCTGATATAGAATAAGAAAATTAAAAAAATCTTACTTTATACTCCCTTCATCCCATCTGAAGTCCACAGGCCAGGCCCAGAACTCAAAGTCGTAATTTGCAAGTTGTTTCTACAATTTCAAGAAAGTCAGAAATCTTGTTTTTAATTTCGTAAAATATCAAATCCATATTTTTATTTTGAAATAGAAGTTTAAGCAACTCTTTCTCGAATTCTTTTTAAGTTCTTATTTTTAATGAGAAAGTTATTAATTTAAAAAGCAACTAAACGAACAACATTTTTGCATTTAAACTGCATCTCACCTTTACTTGAACTGAAGAATTTTGCCTTGCTTCAACGAGTACACTTATAAAATTTCTATAATCAATATTACTTAATCGCCCTATTCCTGCAAAATATAAGAAAACAACTATATATATATATATATATATATATATACATATATATATATATATATATATATATATATATATATATATATATATATATATATATATATATATATATATATATATACATAAATACAATCCTGTTCTTGTTCACATGAAAAAGGAACTATCGCATTGTGTTTTAACATTGTAACTAGATTCTGTACTAATTTTTGATAACTGCTGTCTATTGAATGGCACATAAATCCAGCTTAGGTTACCTTCTGTAGCTTGGCTTTGCTAACTAATGTCTTTACTAAGCGTGGTTTTTAACAGGTGCACAAACTATCACGGTGTTTCCCCCCACAAGCGGAGATTTGCCCCCTAATGACTGACTATGAATTAGGTGAAACTACAGTACAAAAGTAGATGTACAGCATCTAATTCCAGAGATAACAATACTGCTGACTAGAATTGGAAGTGCAGGCCACGATTCATCATACAGTGTAATGTCATAGATGATTTTTTATCATGTTTTGTCATAGATTATTTTTTATTATGTTTTATTATTATTTAGAAGTCTTAAGTGTAAGTCTTACCCCTTAAAATGTAGGCTGCTGTGTAGACTATCGCAACTGACAATGCAACTCTAAGTATACCTAAAGCTCCTTCAGGGTTAAAGTGACCTAAAGAAAAAAAAATTCAGTAGCATTTGAATTCGTTTTGTACACAGCAGGTTAGTCAGACCGCTGGTCCATTTAAAATTCTCACAGAACTCATATTTTTCATCTAGAAAATGATAACAATCGTACAAGTTGTAAAATGTAATTTCTATCATGCATGACAAGAGTATAATGTTTCAAACCTCTCTTGTAGAGAATGAAGCCAAATATTGGTGTAGTCAAGTAAGTCAGTCCAAAGGCTGTGTTAAACTAAAGGGAAAAAATAAAAAATATACTCAAAAAAGATATATTACCAATTTTAAACATGTTTTCAAAAGATAATTGATTTAGTAAATATAGTAAAACATTAAATAGGTTATTCAACACTAAAACTAACATATTACAAGTCATTCAATCTCTAATGTTAAAGTATCTTAGTGTCCCAAAATTCATTGATATGTTTCAGACTTAAAACAAAAGTACAATATTCTGTATTTCTATAAACCCTGGCAAGTTTTTTTTTTTTTTTTGCATGTAACTGAACAGCCATACTGACAACAAAAAACCTTGATAAGAGATTACATGGAATACTGCTCTGCTGGTAAACAAAGAAGGCCCTAAAAATAATTTTGATGTAGGCCTAATTATAATATATTTACCGTTTGGATCACACGATCAGGCCAAGATTCAAGATAACCAGGCACATAGTCATGACCCTGTAAATTAAAAACATCAGCATTTTAAACACCAAATTAAAGGGCATTATTCTAATGCCTCTTAACAAAAGTTACAACAAAAAAACCAGTTGTTTTCAAGACAACAATCTATCACTGTTTTGACTGAGAATAGGTTTAGCTTGCCTATAATGTACTGAAGTGGGGACTCAAGACCCTCAAAATTGAGCCAGCTGTTCATCTTAAAATAGATATTCCTTAATTTAACACCAAAACGGTGCATTTTTAAAAAATATAGAATGGAAGAGCATCTATACCATTATTTAATTTATACGCCTATACTTATAGTCTTAAATTTAAAAAAAATAATAGCCAGTGCTAACCAGCCAGTGCTAAAGATGAAATTGAAATTGAAAAGGTAAAACTGGTTCATCCATTGTTATGGTCAGAGATAATTTACTCTTTGCTGCTAGCAGACTCTGTCAGATAGGGTTAAGAATAAGATAGAGGTTAGTGTGGGTAATAATTAGGCTAATTATTCTGTAGTTACAAGTGATATACCAAGAAAAAGAAGAAAAATACTGGTAGTACTAGACTGGTCTATTTAGGCCTACTAATAAAGACTAATTGAGTAGACTAGTAAGACTTAGATCTAGATCTAGTAAGTAGGCTGATGTAAAAATTATAATTGTAGTATAAAAATACAATCTTAAAAGTTTAAAAAGTGATTCAGAGGTATGAGACTCTATGTCACAGAACATCAAAATCCCCCCCCCCCCAACTCCCTTTTAAATTCAGTTCAGATTAAAAAATTTAAGTCTAGAACAGTGGTTTTTAACTGGGTTCAATCAAACCCCAGGGTTTTGGTGAGTCACTGGTCAGTCTCAGGGTTTGGACGATGTCAAGACACACATGACTAACATGATTCCGGTTTGGATTTTGTCATTGCAGACGATAAAACCTTTATGAAGGGTTTGGTGAATGTGCATTTGAAACTGTTTGACGTGTTTGTGGTAGGTTCTGTGCCTCCAAAAAGGTTAAGAACCACTGGTCTAGAATTCTAGATTCTCTCTAGAATACTCTAATCTAGATCTAGCTAGAGAAGCTAGATTGGTGTTCTGTAATCTGGATTAGATCTAAAAAATGAAAAGGCTGAACTAAATAAACTTTTTTTTAAAATAAACTCAACTGAACTGTTACGTTACCTGTATCTTGTACTCAACTTGTTTTACTTGTAGAGTGTAGATCTAACTAAAAAGTATCTAGTATCTACTTAGTAGATTCTACTAAATCTAGATATCTACTAGATCTAGAATCTGCTAGACTCAATCTAGAATCTAGATTCTAAATCTGTTTTTTTAGATCTAAATCTGCAATCAGACTAGATTTCTAGATCTAGTCTATAACAACAGGAGTCGTACTAACAGTCAGTAGACTGTTACTGTCGGTAGTGTAGATCTAGCTAGATTCTAGATCTAGATTGTTATTTTGTTGATTTTTTGAATTTTATTTTGTCATTTTGTGATTTTGTTGAGGCAGGAGTAGGAGGGCTTTCTTTTACAAGTTTTACTTCTGCCTTTTTGGCTGATAAATTACATAACAGACACACAAACACAAGACTACGTATTTTATAAATTGTCGAAAGTGACGCTTTGATCTTAATCTGTAAAAAAAACTGCGAACGAAAAATACTTAAACCTCAATGTTTTCTTTCTTGAAAATTCGTATTAACCGAGGACCATGGAAAGTCCATAACATCTTAGACGCCATCTTAATGATGGCAAGTCTAAAAATATGGAAGTGATTTCCAGGAAATCGGAGTTATGAACCTTGGACAATTTTTTTTCCCTTTATCTAGGCGTAACAAAGGCCTAGCTAGCGATAGGCCTACCAAACAGAAGCAGTATAATACAGTTATTGTGTAGCCCCATCAGTATAGTTACAGTATAGTAGGCAGAGTAATTTTTTAAGAAAACAAAATAAATAATCGCATGGCGGTATAATGATAATAATACAGGCAAAGATTTGAGCCAAACATATTTTTTTAGATTTTTTAATCATTTAATTTTATTTAATCAAGTGACATTTAGGCCTACTTATATTTTAAAATCACACGTTTTGTACACTTATACAGAAGAAATGCCACAATGCTGGAAACACCATATTCCATATTTTAGGAGTTGCCAACATTATACTATACAGATCGAACAATGGCCCATAAATTGTGTGAAACAGACAAGATTTCAAGCAAATTTATACCCCTCCCCTATTGTTAAACATTCTCGCAAAATGTCAGACCCACCCCTAGCTTGCTCCTGTGACTGCCAAATTGTTTAAACAGACATTTTTTTTTTACACATTATGAAATGAGCTTGGTCAGGTACATGCATTATAAATTTAAAATTCCTATAACAATTTACAAAAAAAAAAAATTATTCCGAATAGACAAAATAAGTTCTACATTACTTTTTGAAATGTCAAATTGGGACATTACACTTCCTAGTGATTAAAAACTCCACCCTCTCCTCGTCCAAGCATCAGGTCATTTTGGTAGGCCACAAGGCAATCAAGTAAAAGTACCAGAGTTTCTTCCAGGCATCCGAAGGAAATGAAATGTATATAATTTATATAGAATATATATACTTTTAACAGTGTCACCCCCCCCCCCTCCCTGGAGAAAGGGGTCTGGAAGAAACACTGAAAAGTACTCAAGTGGGTGGGGGATTGGTGGTTTATGGAAATACCAGATGTGCGTTAATTTACATTTATGAATAAATACAAGCCAAATTAACAACAATAAACAACTTTATTCCAAACAAGCTGATATTTACAATGGCGGATATGGATCATCAGTCCTGTGATATATTACTTAGATTAAGCAAATGGAGATGATGAAGCTTTGAAAAGTGGTTATCTCTTTTAGTTTCCTCATATTAAATGGCAGTATATAAAAAACATACCATCAAAATATTTTCTCTAGATTTTTAAGACATACACCTGATGTAATGACCCTGTATTAAAGTGATGTTTTATAAAGCTATACATCTTGCTACTAAGAGATTTAAGACAGATTTGGGTATGTTCTTCTAACTCAGCGCATTACCTCCCCTTTCCTTGTTCAGTACCCTTTAGGCCTAACCAGGGTAAAAAAAATTTAAATATATCAAATATAAAATGTTGTTGACATACCCATAATGCACAATAATTTACTACATAAAACATATTGAGCTTGGCTAGGGAAAATAAATCTTTAAAAAATACATCTCACTTTCAAGCAAAAAGAAAAATTGTAACTGAAAATTTTGCATTAAAAACTATTATTTATTAAACAAAGAAATTATTTTATCCTTTTCTTTTTAACAGTCTGGATTTTTTTTTAAACACAAGGAATGGCATAATCGTAAATATATAACAAACAATTTTACACCAATATTTTAATATTGCTAGGTATGGAAACACCAAAAGCTGTTTACAAAAACATACCTAAATTTCAGTGCAGAATCTATGGTCTAAATAACAGTAATAACAAAGATTGTAGTTACTTTAAAACAGAATTAACCATACTTTTGAAGATATGTTTTCACATAAGTATATATATATATATATATATATATATATATATATATATATATATATATATATATATATATATATATATATATATATATATATATATATATATATATATATATATATATATATATATATATATATATATATATATATATATATATATATATATATATATATATATATATATATATATATATATTAGGCTTTACATAAACATGCCTGTTTTTTTTTTTAAATTGAAATTATTAAATTTATGAATGAAAATCCTATGTAAATGTAACTAAATATAATCTTCAAGCACAACCAACACTGTTACAATTAAATAACATCAGTGATTTACTTAGCAAATGTTATCACAACTAGATTCTAACTATCAAGGCACCAACATTTTTAAGGTTTAACATTGAACTGATTATCACACATCTAAAACATTTGCGCCTTTTATGATCAACCTAACCTAGTTTTGTTTATCATTGAGAGCTCAACCACCTTAATGTCTGTTGACCTTTTTAAAAAAAAAAAGTGCTTAGACCTTTGTTTTAAGATTTTAAATTTTATTTTACAAGAAATTATCAATCAACAAAAGTGCTTATCAATGTATCAGTTGCAGTTGATTTTACTTCTTTTTTAATATGTGTAAGTTTTAAGGTCTTCTGATTACCAGGTTAACTTATCTAACATCACTTGATAATGGACTCTACCAAATAATAATGGTGTATTGTTGTACATTCTAAAGTCGAGTCATATAAGAGATTTACGGTTAATTTTTATGCTTAAAGTAAAAAAAAAGTTGTATGCTTTTTTAGAACTGATTGTAAATAGAGAGGATTAAGATAAAGGAGCAAAACACTGCTGAAACACAATACCCAAAGATGTAGAATAATGAAACTGAAAATTAAATATCAAGTCAAACACAAAGTGGATAGAGTAGAGAGAATAGTAAGAAATTAAAAAGCATTTTAAATATATATTTATATATATATAGAAAACAAAAATTGAAATAACTGGATGCACCCATTAAACAAGAAATATAACACATATGTGAAAAATAATGAAAACAGCAGAATGTGTAGTTTTACATATGCCAAACTCAAATATATAACATATTTATGAGTGTAGTCTGAATTCATTTTTGATAACCTCTTTATGTATTCATACAGAAAAAAATGTCACAATGATGCCCCATGCTAACTACCTAATTGGTCCTAACTCACTTTAAGAACAGATTAATTAACACAAGTGAACACAAAAGTTTGAAGTAGATGTTAAGATGAACCATCTGAAACTGGGTTTTCAGCAGTGTACACTCAACTAATAGACAGTGATTTTACATGATTTAAACACTATATATTTGTACTGAATATACCAACATGAAAAAAGAACCAGTGGTTTTAAATATGAATGACTGAATAAGAAAGTGAAGTTCCTGCTCATGTGAGATGAATTACAGAATTTTAAAACAAAGCACACCGATGGTTTCTATAATACACCTGGTCCATTATATTCAAAACACCTGATCCATGACATAAGAAAACAGCAAAACTAAAAATTAAAATAGGAAATGTTTACAAATCAAATTTAAAGAGATTATTACTGGCCAAAAAGAAGAATAGAAATGAGTAAAAAAAATATATAAGTAAACAGTAAACCCAAGTAACAAGACTTTAAATTGCCAGATCATATTTTGGTGTTGCCAAATTATATTTTGGTGTTGCCAAATAAGACAATGACAAAGATGAATGCAGGTCGTCACTAAAAAGAAATAATAAATTGCATTCTCTTACAGTTGCCTCCAGGAACAGTAGAATTAAGATAAAATAGACAAAGAAAATTCAAAGTCATGATAATTTTCAACAACACATGCATTTACATACAACAGGATGAACCTCATTTACTCAACAAAAGGGACATAACAAAAGTCAATTGACATGTTAATTAGCTCTGAAACAATACTTAGAATTACAGAAACAAACAAAAATCATTTTAACATTATTTAATTAATTATTAATTATGGCAGAGTGAGTCAGCATTATGTCAATAAATCACATATAACAATTGTTATGAGAAAAATAAATTTACATATATCACATACATTGCTTTGTTGTATTTTTTTCTCAGCTCAATTTGTTTCTAGGGTGTTGTTACAATACCTGTTTTATACATGCAGCATATGTTTAAAGCCTAATGACGCCCAACATTTAGAAACAAGGTGGGGAAAAAAAATTGTTCAAACATTCTCGTTTTGTAACGTGTGGAGGAAAAAAGTATTACTTTAAACCACATAGTACAACCTATGTAGTATATACAGAATGAACCACCCCCCTTTTTTTATAATCAGATGATGACATGTATCAGAGGAGGAAGTAAAAAGAATTGTGGGAACAAAAAGGTTGGCAACATGGGTGCGGTGAGAAAGGCTCATCCTATTTGCAGGCAGCATGGCATCTTTACTTGAGCAAGGTAACACCCAGGTAGAAGAAGAAGAAGAAAGAATTCTATTCCTAAAAATAGATCTCTAAATCAGTAAGCAACTAAAAAAAAATCTTTTACAATTTACAAAAGCATGTTAAATATAAAAAATTAATGTAAATTAAAATCCGTTAGTCATTAAACAATATTTAAAGTTTTAAAAGAAGTTTTATCCAACATCTTTTCATACTTCTGTGATGTATAATGTAAAAGTAAAAAGCTATTTTAACGTAGCTATGTTGGAGTCTTAGGCTAAAGAATTGTTTAAAAATAAACTAAGATATTGACACAAAACAGAAAATTACTTTTGAGCCAGACAAGAAATGGCCGGAATAAAGGGATTGGTCAGTTGAAATACTGTGATTGACCACTGGGATTGTGGCAAAGACAAGCAGATCCCCCTGGACATTCCATCCACACTGGAAAGGCCATCAATAAGTGCCAGTTAGAACCTATTGAGTTTAGAACCTATAGAGTTTAGAACCTATAGAGTTTAGAACCTATACAGTTTAGAATCTATAGAGTTTAGAACCTATAGAGTCAAACCTATAGAGTTAGAACCTATAGAGTTTAGAACCTATAGAGTTTAGAACCTATAGAGTTAGAACCTATAGAGTTTAGAACCTAAAGAGTTTAGAACCTATACATTTTAGAACCTATATATTTTAGAACCTATAGAGTCAAACCTATAGCGTTAGAACCTATAGAGTTTAGAACCTATAGAGTTAGAACCTATAGAGTTTAGAACCTATAGAGTTTAGAACCTATAGAGTTTAGAACCTATACAGTTTAGAACCTATAGAGTTTAGAACCTATAGAGTCAAACCTATAGAGTTAGAACCTATAGAGTTAGAACCTATAAAGTTTAGAACCTATAGAGTTATAACCTATATTAGAACCTATAGAATTTAGAACCTATAGTTTATTACTGTAGAAAACATCTTGGCAGTTAAAATTATGAGAAAAACAAACAATACACATCTATGGCAAATAAACAAAAACAATGGAACAAGAAGTAAAACAAAAAGGTTCATCTGAACTAATTTACATCAAATTAAACTAAATAACATAAAGCTAATTCTACTGATTGAATGGTAAGTAACTGACTAGTCAAGACACGTCTTGTAAAAACACACTATTTTTTTAAGCCATAGAATTATTTTTTCAAAAAAAAAAAAAAAAAAAAAAGACAAAAGGTTATTATACAGTTAAAATTATCAAATAGAAACCTGACTCCAAACAAGCTTAGTGAGATGAAAATGATTTCAAAGAAAAATTACAATGAATTTAATTTTTATAAAATAAAAATGTATTACATTAAAATTTTAAATTAATAATGTGCAACCCGCAAACGGATAAATACTTAAAAATTAAAGATAATTTCTTGAAGATAGCTTTAATTAGTATATCATCCTAATAAAGTTTGACCATATTTTCATTTCTCATTGACAGAATCATTATAAATAGGCAACGGATGACCCTCACTGTTAAAAACAAAATCATCAAGGGAGATCAAATTAAAATCATCACTAAATATCAGATACAAATATTTGAGTGTTTCCGACAAGAAAAAACTCTCCATTTTATCCCGGAACCTGGGGTTCCCAGCATCCTTGACATTGTTGATTGACGAGTACCCTGACTCCGGCAGCTTGGTGTGCTTCTCAAAGGCCAGGAATATCTGCCATGCCTGGTCCCTGTAGGTCTCATTCCTTGTCAGGCGGTACAGGTAAAACATACTCTCCACAGTTTCAGGTCTCAGTAGGTTGTGGGCATCTAGGGGCTGAAACAGAACAAAACCAATTAGTATTCAAATGTTTCTACTGGGTATTGAAGGGTTAACACTAAATATTTATTTTTAAAATATTTAAAATGGGTGTAAAGGATTTTAAAAATTACATCAAAATAAAGTATTAAGCCCAGCTTCTAACTTCTAAGGAATAAAAAAAAAAACTATTATTATTCTGTTTCTATTGGGTATTTAAGTGATAATACTAAATTATTATTATTATATATTTAAAATGGGTATATAATGGTTAAAAAATTACATTAAAAAAGCCCAGCTTCTAACTTCTAAAGAACAAAACAAAAAAAACTATTATTAGTATTCTAATGTTTCTACTGGGTATCTAAGGAATAATACTAAATTATTTTTATCAAATATTTAAAATGGGTATATAATGGTAACATATTTACATAAATAAGCTCAGCATCTAACTTCTAAGGAATAAAACAAAAATATTATTTCAATATTTTTTCGAGGGGAATAAACATTTAATTTTTAAAATATTTTAAGTGGGAAATTAAGGGTTAAAACAAAAAAACAATGCATTAAAAATGTTAATTGGGCAAATACAAGCATATGAAAGAAATCTATCGTGCCAGCATTTTCTACCTTTACAATAAGATCCTCTTCTACTCCCTGGGCCAAGTTGAAATAAACTATTTCAGGGCTGAGCTTTGTCGGCATCCTGTTGTACATCTCATAGCAGGTGTTCAACAAATCTTTAGCGTCTTCCAGGTACTCATTGCCCATTCCGTGATGGTAGGCCAGGGCAAGGGTGGCAGGGTAAAAGCACACAAGATGGTCCTGGAATGAGATTTGTAGCATGATGGTGACACAACATTCATTAATTTTCAAGGTCAATTAATTTTCGAACAGATTTTTAAAACTGAATAGATTGCATTAAGGATAGTATGGGCCTTCAACTAAAATGCCTTTTATATATCCAAACCTGGGGGGGGGGGGGGAGGGTGGAGGGAGAGAAAAGAGACGACATACAACTCAAAGGTGTAGCAGCAGCCAACATTTAATGTTTGAGAATTGCTTAATTCTTTGTCCTGTGTGCCTGGCTAATGAGCATAGTTTGAGCCAGGTTAAGTAAGTTAAGTCAAGAGACAGAGAGAGTAGGCAAAAGAATAATGGAAAATATTTTTAAACACAAGTTGGATTAAAGATGAATGATTTTTTTCATCTAAAAGATTTTAAAATACTGATACAAACTGGATAGAAGCACAAGAATTTTAGGAACAGATAATATGATCAAAGTGACTTCTTTAAACAACAAATCCACTTACCATTTTGGGACTAAAACTGCGGCCACTTAAGAGCTCGCCTATAAACAACAGCTTGCTTGGCTCTGAACGTCTCATAAGTGATTTTTTAACTCCACGATAGCTTTCATCAAAGTCCTCTTTGAAACTGTTTTACAAATAAACTATTTATAAATTCACTAAAATCTAATTAATTCTTTTATTAGTATTTTCAAAATCTATTATAGATTTCATCAAAATCATCCTTTAAAGTGTTTTAAATAAAAATGAAGTTCTTGTCTACATAAAAAGCTAGTAATGCAGAATCATCATCATCTGTTCCTGTTCATACCCAAGACACATGGGGCAGATAAAGTAGTCTATCTGTTTCAGTAACCTCGGCATATGAAGGGATTGTGTGGTCAGCACTATGCCCAGCCGCCTTTGCTTCCCTAACGTGAGTTAGGTACCCATCAGAGCTGGTTGGACTCTAGCACGTTCTATAGACTTGAACCCGGATTCAAACTCCAGACTTTCTGGTTAGCAGCCTAGCTCTCTACCGCTAGGCCACGCCGCCCCAGTAACACAGAATAATTATATAATAAAAGTTTTCTAAATAATAATAGTATCACTTATTTTTATCACCTAAAACAGCAATGACCACACTATCACATATATGACTAGGTCATTGAAACAGATGAACTCTACTTCATCTGCCACATGTCTTGGAAGCGAACAGGTACCTTGTATAAATCATATTAGAGTGTCAAAAACTCTAAATACACAAGCACATACACTTTTGATCCTTCTGGCTATGGTGTAAATATATTGCTTTTGTGATTGAAACATCATTATATGTAAAACACACTATCCCTTCAAATGCTGAGGTCACTAAAACAGATGAACACTACTTCATCTGCCCCATGTGTTTTTTGGGCAAGAAAAATGGTGATTATGTAAAACATTTATCTTTGAATCCTTGTTCAGTAAATAAAATGAAGTCCATTCTCAAGACCAGTCATCAATGGGGCACAAATGGTAAAACTCACACATGGTATATCAAGAAGAAATATACCTAATGCTCACTGGAGTTTCTCAAGCTGAATATTGGATTATTACCAGGATTTTTATTTCATTTTTTGAACTAGTTTATCATATATAATAGTTTATATTTAAAGATTTTTTTTTAAATAACCATTTGCAATCATTTTAATTAGATTTTTCAAAAAAAAAAATATTTTAATTAGTTTGAACTTCTTACACTTTTAGTTTCTTCCCACTCTGAAGCCATTGTTTTAAAAGATACTCGTAGTAGCTGTCACCTCTAGCACCCAGGGTTATGGTCCCTGCCGGCCGGAAATCTCCAGAATTGGCGTTAATAAAGATTGGGACAAGGCCATCTGTTTTAGGAAGCTCATGGACATGCATGGATACCTCATGCACAGCATCCTAATGATAGAAGAAACATAAATAAATAACAGAAAGTTCCTTTGTTAATCCTATAATAGCTGATTTGGTGATTACATGATAAGATCAATGATAGGATTAGGCCATAGAAGAATGATTTTTTTTTCATTCAAGCAGAAATATCTGCTTAAATATCTGCAAAGAGCATATGTTTAAAGTTTAAAAGATGAATTAATGTACCGACATTTGAATTGCATAGAGGAGTTAACCATTTTTTAAAAATTAAAACATTTTTGACACAAACTGAAAGTTAATTATATAAATGGATACTATGACACCAGCTCATTTGTTTACATGATGGAATTAAGTTTAAATATTCGTCAACATTTTTTATACAACTATTCTTCAGCTTCTGTATACAGACTAGGGAACTACTAGTCTAAGGGACTACATAAATATTTAAACTAGGAACTGCATAAGTATTATAACCACGTGAAAAGCAGAAGCTAAATTATAAATATAATAACCAGTTTCTACAACAGAAATGCTGAACACTAACTCCACACCTGTCATTATTTATAGCATCTTTACTACTTCTTTAATCCTGACACTACGCAAAATTAAAATGACAATTTTTAAAAGTAAAAATATGGTACCGCAAATCTTGGATTTCCTGTTATCAAGGACAAGTCCCTGAACTCTAGCTGTATGGTTGTCACCTCTGATGTACTGCTGTCTGGGCCCCATTTTGGTGGCCTTGCTATCCCATTAGCGAGGTTCACATCGGAATAAGGAATCTTTGAATTGTGGTTAAACGCATTCAGAAGCCTTTCGCCTAAGTCAATCTGTAAAGATTTTGTTATGATAAATAAGATTTTGTTATGATAAATAAGCTTTTGTTATGATAAATAAGTTTTTGTTATGATAAATAAGTTTTTGTTATGATAAATAAGATTTTGTTATAATAAATAAGATTTTGTTATGATAAATAAGATTTTGTTATAATAAATAAGATTTTGTTATGATAAATAAGATTTTGTTATAATAAATAAGATTTTGTTGTAATAAATAAGATTTTGTTATAATAAATAAGATTTTGTTATGATAAATAAGCTTTTGTTATAAAAATAAGATTTTGATATAATAAAAAAGATTTTTTTTATAATAAATAAGATTTTGTTATAATAAATAAGATTTTGTTATAATAAATAAAATTATGTTAAAACATGATTTTGTTATAAAAATATATTGCTCATTGAAAATTTAAAGCAGGTAAAATAAAAATTGTATAGTAAAGTTTTTGGTAACTTAAGGATAAAAAAGCAAGAACAAAATGGTTTGTTGTAAAGAACGATAAATTTTGTTAATGTTGCAAAGCCAAAACTTTGATGAAGAAAACATATTGTTGATCTGTCTAATTTATTTCATTGATGTTTTTTTCTTCATAATAAAAATTTTTGCAACATCAAAATTTTATGTAAATAACTTCACATTGTCAGTCTTTCTTCTTCTTCTTTGTTCTTAATTTTAGTGTTTGAAGGGATCCCCTACAACACAATTAAGTATACTTGTCAACTGGTTATGTGCAACTGAGGGCATAGACTCCAATTTTAGCCTGCTTTTCTTTTTGGATTTGCTTCCATAGACTTTGTCCAACCAAGAACAAACTACAAGGCAGCAGTTGTCTCTCCTAGAAGAGTGGCTGTCCACCATGAGCTTTACCGACTCAACCATGCCGACCCCGCATGGCCAGTCTTATTTGTATACTGTCAAAGCCGTGTGAGTATGAGGATTTAAGTGTGGATGTAACAGGAAGCACTTACTGCCTTAATTTTCATCACTTCATGCCCAGTCAGATGATAAGCAGCAAGCAGCGCCCCCAGGTTGCGGATGGTGATCTCAAACAAATTGACATATTTATCAACATTGAAGGTCAGCTGATCTTCTACCCAGGCCTTTGCCTCGTCATACTCTGGAACAGATCAATGCAAAGTTATTTCAAGCAAACCTCACACAATCTCAACTACCTAAAACACATAGGAGCCTAGTAACTTCCATTTAAAAAACACAGCAAATAATGTTTTAATTTTAGGGCTACATCACATTTTGTTTATTTAAAAACATCACACAATCTGAATACCAATCACATACAAGCGCCTAGTAACTTCAATTTGAATACAAAGCAAATCAAGTTTCAATTTTAGGATTTCATCACATTTTTCATATTAAAAAAAAATGATGCAAGTAAATGAAATCATTTTTAGGTACCCCTGAGACAAAAAACAAAACAAAAGAGAGGTTGTGTATAGCCAAGTATTGTCCAGGGCAGACAACTCTATTCAATCTGTTCAACTATCTGCCCTTAGTCTTCAGGGCTTCAACTAACTAAATAACTGCATCTTTTTTTTTATAATTTGTTTAAAAAATAAACAATACCAGAAGAAAAAATCCTTACCTTCTTTGAGTCCCATAATGATCAAGGTATCCAGGGAGTCAACAAGAGTCAGACCAGTCCCAAACCACTCTGAAGAGGTTTTACTAAGGGGATGTAACTCGTCCTTACCCCAGGCATACTTTTTATAAGCACTCCATGCATGCTTAAATGCTTCAACAACCTGTTTCTGCCTGGGGGTCTGTTGCTGTCCTGTGTGAAAACAAAAAGAAAAAACACAAAAACATAAATGTATATGAATATTATGATTATAATCCTCAAATTTGTATAAGAGCAAAAAATGTTTTCTCTTTATTTTATTTTAAAGCATCTTTAATTGTAAATATTAACACAAAAATTAACATGATTTCGTTAATTAAGTTGCAAGGTCATTTGTTCTGAGCAAAACAACCATATTCTGGGATCAAAAATAATATATAATTTTATTTAAAAAAAAAATTTCTTGTTAGCATAACAGAAATGTAAAATATAAAGTTTAATGTACCTCCAAAAAAGTCGTATGTTGAGATAATATGTTGTTTAACTGGGTCCTAAATAAAAAAACAAGTGATACAACATTAAAAATTAGCGTAATAAATGAAACTTAGAAAGAAATAATTAGAATAAAATAAATGCCTACACCTGCAAACTAAAGAAATTAAGAATTGATAAAGATCACAAATTTTTGAAAACACAAGAAGTGGGGACGGAGTGGTCTAGTGGTAGAGAGCTGGACTGCTATCCCGTAAGTCTCGAGTTCGAATCCGGGTTCAAGTCAGTAGACCATCCCTGAGTCCACCCAATTCTGATGGGTACCTAACTCACGTTAGGAAAAGTAAAGGCGGCTGGGCATAGTGCTGACCAAACTATCTCTTCATATGCCAAGGTCACAGAAATAAGTGAACTCTACTTCACTTGCCTTATAGACCGTCAGGTTTAAAAAGGGAATTTTACTTACTTACTTATTAAAAAGCTAGTTTAATATGTATTTTTCTGATTACCAGACTTAAATTCAAGTTACTGATTAGTTAATTTTTTTTTATCCAAATTAAATCTGCAGTATAAAGGGTACAAAAACAAACTGTTATGTTTAGCAAGTCACAGAAAGAAATTTAAAAAAAAATGTTAATTGAATTAATGGGATAAATCACAAAATGATTATTTTCTTTAGTTTTTAATGAATCCATATATATATATATATATATATATATATATATATATATATATATATATATAAATATATTTATATATATATATATGTATTTTTCTTCTTACCAGGCTTACATTTAAGTTACTCATTGGTTAAATTTCTATCCAAATTAAATTTTCTGTATAAAACACAGGGGACAAAAACAAAAGGTCTGGCTTAGTAAGTTACAGAAGGAATTTTTAAAAAAAATGTTAATTGAATAAATGGAATAAATCATAAATTAATGATTATTTTGTTATAGTTTGTAATGTTTATAAAATTTATTGTATAATTTATTTATTCAAGGAAAACAATTATATATATATATATATATATATATATATATATATATATATATATATATATATATATATATATATATATATATATATATATATATATATATATATATATATACATATATATATATATATATATTGCAAAATGAATGTGCACAGTTTTAGTCTTGTTGGACAGCAGATTATTGAATTTTGAAGTCTGTGAAAAATGCAAAAATGAGAAAACATAAAAAGAAGGGTGGAAAAAGCAGCAATTCCCTTTTCCCAAAAGACTTTCTTTCTATGAAAAATCCATGTTACTAAAAAAAGTACATGTATATGTTAAAAATAAATTTTAGAAAGGGGGTTTTTTGTTCAGGGTGAAATACAAAAGGTAATGAATTTATTGATTCTAATGGTTAAACCTCATAAAGTCAGAAATCAAGTACTGTTTTAAGAACATTTATTGACACACCAAGTTAAGCTTTGTTGTTGGCCTATCTACTAATATTATCATCTCATTAATTAATTTTAATTTATAAAAGTTTGAAGATACTAGCTGCTTGTTCTGACATTACTCTATTCCTTTATTTTAATTGTCATGCTAGCCTACAGCCCCCACCCCCTCTGCTTTTTTTATTAACGCAAGAGGATCAGATGAGCCTAAATTAACAAATATTCAATCAAGTGTAATCAAGTATCTATGCAGTTAGGGTCATTTGCTAGTTCCCATAAGTAGTTTCCATCAAAGAATAGCACATTTCTAAAAAATAAACACACTGAGACTCTATTGTATTATTTTCAGACTACAAATGAAAGCGTAGATTCTAAATAATATATGCAAGTTTATACAGGCGATTGATTTGTTTATCTAGTAACAAGAAGGCCACCCAGAACATGCAGTTGATTTATAACCAATTGAATTGTTTAGGTTAACTCTAATCAAATAGGATTGGTCAGTTGTATGAGTGAATCTATTCCCAGTCATTATTTACTAGCTTATACTATGCAAGCCAATAGATGGAGCTTGACATCAAATCTTAACTTCTATTAAACCACATTTATCCATCCTTTTTTAGAACAAAGAATAAGGTCTCTATACCCAGTAGGTACAAGAATGCTTAACAGATGTATAGGTTAAGGAACCTTATTATAAATATGCTCAAAGATAGAAAATATCTGAGAGAATTAAATTATTTTTGATTTTTAAAAAAAGTGTCTTTTGACCTTTGACCTTAATAAACAACACAAAAAAAACATGCTAGTGTACCGGATTATTTATGAAAGGGAATTTTCTTTCATTCTCAATTAGCTGGTCTTGAAGTGCCTGTAAAATATAGTATATTTTTTAATGTTAAAGCATTATTTTTCATCAATCCTTTTGGAAAGCCAACTTGCGATTTTGAAGTCCTTCCAATGAATGACGAAGAATAGTTGAAATCTGAAAGATTTCAACTCTTGCTTTAAAGAGACATGTAAACAACGGTCACTCTTAAAACTACAAAACAAATGCTCAAATTTTTTAATCTTTAATAAGTTAATAAAGAAAAAGTACTTTTTTAAAAAGTATTTTCTTTATCAACTATATATCAAGTATAAAATATATCCACTTATAAAATTTGATTTGAAAAAACCTATTCTTGTTGGGGTTTTTTGCAATGTAAAAATAATAATGTATCAAGCACTTTGCCTTTTTCTTAAGATCTTCCAGATTTTTGTCCAATTTCTGTACATCTGCTATTTGATGTAGTTCTTCAAAGGATTCCGATTCTTTCTTGGGCTGTACTTTATCAAATTCTGGCCTGTTTTCATTGGACATTAAACTTGGCAATACAAATAAAGCTATCACCACTGTTGACAGAAGCACAATGCCAATAATCAAGCGTTGCAAACTGGATAAACGACGCCAAGACTGTAAAAAAAAAGTGAGAAGTAATAAAAGTTACAATGCCACAAAATTTTTTTTAGAAATAAGGGGACATAAAACAACCCGATATGCCATTATTCCATTTGTGTATTGGAAAATATTTATTTTATTTTATCTAATGCTGGGCAGGAGAGATAACACCACAAGTCCCCAATTTGGACACTGGCAGATGAGGCTTGTCAGCTGGAGACAGCAACTCATGTAGGAGAGAAAATTCTCACTGGAGACTATAACTTCATGAGTACAAACATAAACAACGGCTGCTTGTTCTTGGGTGAATAAAGGCTAAGGAAGCAAATTCCGAACGAACGTCTGAGTCAACGTTCATATGGTACAAAACATCCTCACACACAACACTTACGAACATCTGAGTCAATGTTCATATTGTACAAAACATCCTCACACACAACACTTAATTGTGTTGGAGTGAAATTCCCTTCAATAGTATCAGAATTTATGTTGTAATGTATTTGTAAAACATAAGGTTAAAGAATACTAACCCTAAGTATAGACTGCCGCTTCCTTGTAACATCACTAATCGAGTCACTGAAGGCGCCCAAATTTATAGTCACATCTCTTTTGAACGTAGAAGACATAGCTTCGGTTTAGTTTATATCTTTAGCTTTATTAAAGTGAGAATAATTAATTATGAATTAGCATAGATGTACTAGTTTATTTAACTTTTATTTTTTTTCTTGTTATAAAATCATGTTGCATGTTTCATTCTGCGAGTGAATAAACCTGTAAAAGAGGAGAAGAAAAACCATTTTCAAATTTAGTAACTAAAAAATAATCACATTTATCTGGGTTTTTTTTTTTCAGAAAAGGCTTTAGGTGGTGGCTGTAGTGAAATACAGATTTTCACCATAAATTATTTGAAACTAACAAACTTCCATGGCCATGCCATCCCCTTTTCAGGCATAGAACTAGTACTAAATCTAAATAGGTTCTAGAACTACTAGTATGTGATAAGCTACTAGATTAAAAAATTAGATCAGTGGTTCTTAACCTGGATTCGATCAATATGCTTTGTGATAGGATTTTGTCAGTGCGGATGATATAATCAGCGTCCTTTGACAGCTCAAATTCTACTACGACATAGTAATAAAATTGTGCTAGACCTAGATAACACAGAGTGGTACTGTGATATTTCTATATTGTGGAACGATGGACTTCACAACACACATGATGCACCAATCGTGTCATCTCCACCTATAAAGCGTGTAATTATATGTTGTGGCAAAATACTTTTTACTACTATTCTAGATCTAGTAAGACTAAGAGCCTTTTCAGAGGTGTTTTACTATTTTCCATCATGTATTCAGTTATCAGTCTCACTAGACTATAGTCACTGACTATAGTGACACTATAGTCGTAAGTCATTGTTTTTAAGTTTCTAATCTAGCAAGATTCTAGATCTAGCCTAAGACTGAGTCAGTGAGTAGTAGATCTAGTACTGAGTAGCCTAACTTAACTTGTATACCACACAAACATGTTGGTTGTTAGTTGTTGACTGAATGAATGTAGCAGGCTGCTCCATACTACTACTACTATGTACTATGACTAACTACTCTAAAAACTCTAAACTTAATTTAATAACTTAACTTAACTAAACTAGATTAAAGTCTAAATTATTTAAAATCAACCAAAGTAAAAACTTTCTTATTTTTTTATAGTCTAGATCTAGATTCTAGAGGTAAAACTCCATTTTAGCGCATTTTATTCGCAGCTTTGCATATTTTATTATAAACACAACCGAAACTCACACAAACGTTAGGAAAACACCAGGATTACAGCAAGATCTTGAATCTACTTATTTTTTTTTAATAAAATGTGAGTTTTAATTAGAAAAGGAAAAAAAAACATTAAAATGCATTAGGACAGTACCAATTAAATAACGTGTGATCGTCAGCGGGAGAAAAATCCCTACACGGTTGAGGGTTCACAGTGAGTTCATATTGACTTTAATTATCAGCATATGTCATAGCTTGAGCAATAGCTATTTGAAATGGTACTGGCCTCAGTTTTGGGGTCATTGTGAGTTCATAAAAGTTAATTTATAGTATCATGCGTGGGAGATACTTGTAACAATACAACCTTAACCGCCTTGCAATTGTAATGTCACTTGTGAGTTTTACACTTCACCCATTGCTATATAGATCTACTATATGAATATCTTAACTGACACTCGAACATAGATCTAGCACATTCATGGAGATTGAATATTCCAAATTGTGATTTTTCTCAAGTTTTGACAAAAGTAAATCATCAAAACTAAAACATAACTTCCTAAAGAAATAAGCCCAATGTTGAATGTTTTCCTACCGTTTTTGTGTGTTTCGGTTGTGTTTATAATAAAATACAAATTAATACATTAGTTAGGCCTAATTATTTTTAATACGCTCAGTCTGTGACTGGAGGTGAACGGGAAGCAGGGAATAAAATACGTAAAATTTTAAAATGGAGATTGAGTTTTACCGACCGATTCTTAGTTCTAGATCTAGATTAGATATGATCTAGAATCTAGATCTAGATTTTCTAGATTCTATCTGTTGAATAATTTTGTACTGATGGTTCTGCAGATCTTGACTCGATTCTTGATCTAGATCTACAAATTCTACATTTAGATTCTCTAGGCCTATTCTTTACTTTGGAAGCAGGGGGGACCAGGGTGAGATTTTTTAAAAATAAATTGTATTTATCGCCCCTTCGTTGATGTGTACGATTTTAAAAATAAAATTTGCAACCGGAAAATAATTGCCCATAGGCCTACTAGATCTACGAGTTACTTTATCATTGGTCCTTGTATTTTCTGCCAAAATGGCGGACTGGCTAAACTTAGCTCCTCCGCTTTTACTTTTAATGGTATAGTATTTGAATCATTCTTTTTTTTTATTTATAAATTGATCATAAATTGTATAATTTAAATCTCTCTCTTTTTCTAGAGTAATAGACAGTAATAGAAATAACGAGTGTACTTATAAATTAAATTCACGCGAGTGGTTTCAACCCAGGCTAGTCCGCGCACGGTAGTCCGCTAGTCGGTCAAGTCTAGCAAGTAGTAGAGTCTAGATCTAGATTTAGATCTAGATATCTAATCTTAGTAGTACAAACTACAATAACTACACGTACTCGTATACCTAGATCTAGATTCTACATGTTAAGGGTTATCCATCCATAAATGACGTTAGGCTTTTTTGACGATTTTTACCTCCCCCTTCCGTCACACGTCACTAAAAGCCAGACCCCCCCAATGACGTCACACCTCAGCCTACATTACAACCCCCCCCCCCCCACCCCTCAAAATTGCTGTTGAATTGTTCTTAAAACATAGAGTAACAACAGAGTATTTTGATCAATTCCTATTACAATTTATTAAAACCGTTTTCTAAAATGCGAATTAATGGCTAAAACATTGCTTTTTTGTAATTCAAAAAGTGACGTCACACTATCAGAACCCCCCACTCCCCCTCATCACACACCGTCACAAAGTTACAGACCCCCCCCCCCCTGTGAGTGTGATATCATTTATGGACGACCACTTGCAAAAAAAAAGAATTTATTAAGAGATGGGCCCAGCCTTAGGCCTATCTACTAAACTATCATCTAGAGTTTCGTAGGCTATTTACTATTTAGGCTAATATTTATTCTACTTGTTCTACTCACCCGAAGGGAATGAGTTCGGATCTTGATCTTAAATGTAGAACGCCCTTGAGTTTACCCAGCTCTGAAGTACTTGACTCATGTTGGTTTGAGTTAAACGGCGGTTGGGCATAGTGATGACCACACCATTTCTTCAAATGCTCATACTAAAATGAACATCAACTCTGTATTTGTGGTTTAGATTATTTAGCTAAAGTCGCTGAAGACTACACCTCAGTAAACTTCAGATTTAATTAAAAATTTTGGAGAACAGTCCTCAAAACTTATTTAGGTTAATTATTTTTTTAACTTAATAGGCTAAATTGCATTCATTTTAAGTTAATAAAACACCAAATTTAAGGTCCAAAATCAACCAACGGCTGTCATGTAGTTTGTTTCTGGATGGTCAAAAGGCTATGGAAGCAAATCCAAATAGAAAAGCATGCTGAAATCTGCCTCTACTGCACCCAACAGTTTGAAACTTAATACTTAATTGTGTTGGAGGATATCCAACGAAGTAGATACAAAATACCAAATACTAAGAACAGAGGTGTGGGCTTGTAGGTCATCTTTGTCTATAACCGGGTGGTGGGGGGGGGGGAGTTAAAAAAGTATGACAAACAAAATTTTTTTTTTAAAACTAATGATGATAGAAACTAAATTTCAGCCATTATTTCATGTTTTAAAAAAAATGTTTTGTAAATTGTTACTGTTACAAAAAAAAAAGATTAATATGCTCAATGTTGATACAGTTGAAGAGTCTATTGTCTCAAGCTGAATAAAATCTAATTAAGATGTATTGTTTGCTCTATTCTTCAGGTGTATTTATGTGAATGCAGCTTAGAATTTGTAGAAGAATGTACTCTCAAGGGGTTTACACCCAATTTAATGTGTTCAACATGTGAACTGATGGACAACTTTGATCTTAGTGTTATCAAGTCAGACTGTTTAAATTGTTGTCAAAAAGATCAAATAGAACAAACAGGACCTACAGTCAGTTCATTTTTATATTCTTTTATATATAGTGTATTTTTTTTAGTTTAAGATAACATATGGAATATTTATATTTTAAAGAGGCATGTTTAATTAGTTTTTTAATTACATGTATCTATGAAAACTTTGTTAATATTACAAACAGAATATTTTATTATGCTTTTTTTTTCCAAGGCCCCAAATATAGATTATATTAGATTGTGAAACAAAGGAAGAGGCTTGTAATAATTTTTTTCTCTCTACAGAAATACCCGTTCGCTGAACTAGTGGTATGTGGATGAAAATTAGGAAGGTTCCCACAAGTACAGGGTGGGTGATTTTGATTTTTTAACTGAAATATTAGTAAATTTATATTTGTTACTGGTACCTACAATATGTAGTGTGATTTTTCGCACTGCTATATTTAATATGTTGTTCTTTTACTAGTTCTTACAACATGTTATTTTGCTAATGGTTACTACAGTATGTAATGTTATTTCTTACTGGTACATACAAATTGTTCATTTGCTGAGCACCCTTTTGAACATGACAGTCCAAGGGCAGGTGAAGTAGAGTTCACCTGTGTCAGTGACCTTGGCATTGGAAGAGCGTGGTAAGCACAATGCCAAACCCCCCTGTTACTTTCCCTAACATAAGTAAATTACCCATCTGAGCTGGGTGGACTCGAGGACATTCTACAGACTTGAACCTAAGATTCAAACTTGTGACTTTCAGGTTAGCAGTAGTATGCTCTGCCATCCAACTACTCTGTCCCACACATGTTCATAATGTTGTATTAATCTGTTACCTGTACTTACAATATGTTGTGTTGTTTTACAGCATTTGTTAAAAGTGACCGTCCAAACCAGTTCCCTGGGCTATCTATTAAATACACCCGTGGTGCTGACCCAGTTATTAAACTGCTGGACGAGAACCGAAATGTCGTGGAAACGTTGGGAATCGACAAATGGAACACTGACTCTGTTGAGGAGTTCTTCCAAGAACATCTCCAGAATTAATGTTTTTTTGTTTTAGTGATGACATGTTTTTATATTGATACTGGAAATCAATAACTTTTTTGTTTGTTTTACATTACTTTTACACTTGAAAATCTTGGAAAAGTTTACCTTTGTGAGAGACAATGCACTGTTTTGTTTTTATAGGAATGAAAAATTAGACCTTGCCTGTTGGGGGTTATAAAAAATATTCAATTACTTTTTATTACTCAGTGTTAATTACATTTTATTAATACAAATTAATTACCATTTACCTACCCATGTTTCAGCCCTTTTATTAACCTTAGAATTATAATACAGAAAAATCTTGTGGGTTCTGAATTATTTAAAGTCAGAAGCACATCTTGTTCTAATTTGCTTATACTTTAAGGCCCTCAACTGGCGTGGAATACCAAAGTTATGTGTCTATGATGTTAAGACAAAAAACCAGATGGTGTGTCTAAACTGATTTTTTTTTTGCACATACCTGAGGTGTTCATTCATGTAATTACTTAACATGACATTGTGCATCTTGATAAGGTGACTGTACGAGGTAGCTTATACTGAAAATTTATTTATTTCAAATATAAACTTGCTATGCATGATAAATTGAGTATTTTAGTTTCATTGTTTTAAATGTTATTTTAAAAACTGCCAATTTAACGAGAACCATTACATTTAAATTGAATGTCTTGGGACTATTTTGGAAAGAAAAGTAAAACTACATTGATTTCTTGTTTTAATAAAATGTATAAGATGTAGTTGTATAAAAGTTTAATGATGAATGTTTTAGTATGTCTGTTTCCATAATTTATATAAGTGTGCTATACAGATCTGACCCTGTGGGTTTTACTTGGACAGAATTACCTCCCATTGGTTGGGACTGAAGTAACAGTACATAGAGATTAGAATTCAGTCATTCTTCTTTCTGGTTGTTTAATTTTAGTTACTGGCTAGCTATGTTTAAAGTGGATGTCTTTGAAATCCATTCCAAGAGCAATATACACTATTCGATTTCAATGCTAAATCGTGTTTGGCAATGTCAGCCTGTTTTTTATTATGGAGTAAGTGTAAAGTTTTATTTTGATGTCCATTTGTGGATGTGAATGAGATTAAAAAGTTTATTATGCTATGTTTTTTCTTTACTTTGCCTTTGTTCGCACTGCATCCAAAAACAAAATAATTCAGCCACACTTGAGGAATTATTTGTAAAAATGAACAGAGCAGTTATATTATGTGCTGATTAAACATTAGGCCTGTATTGGGAACTGCACAGTAAACAGTTGAATTCTACTTCTGCTGAATGAAAAGTGATAGTGGGCCTATCTTCTTTTTGTCCCCATTTCTCCCCACGCTTTCCATATTATCATATGAGTTGGCTTATTATCAGTACTTTATGGAGTATGTTAGGTGACCTTTCCCCCAACACTTTGTCCTATCCACCTTGACCATAATATGAGTAGGCCTATTGTTATTTGTGCTATACATCCTCATTGTATGTGCAGCCTGAGGCTACATAAGCCTAGATAACTCACTCGTATTTTAACAGAAGAATATTAATTGCCTAACCAAAGCATACATGTAACTCCTAAGATTTTATCCCCAACCCACAAGACCTGATAGTGGTACACACGCTGATGACTACTAGCTGATCATGTTGTATTAAACTCAACCTCAACAATCCTTACCACATCCCAGGGATGGAGAACAGGATCAGTAAAATGTGTGGGGTTCTCTATAAACGATGTAACTCTTTTTGAGAGGGGGGGGGGGGTGAAATCACTCAAATAAATGCACATTATTTTATTTGTGTTCACAATTAAAATACTTTCTCTATACAACAAAATTAATTAATGAAAAAACATGGCTCCTCCCTTACTGTTAAAATTAATTTAGGGGAGATTACTCTCACAGTTCATCCACGTTCATGATTGGGAGGGAGGGTTGATCCAAGTCATCTTCCCCGAACGAAATCAAAACATAATTTATAAATTTATATAGAAAATAATCAGTCTACTTAGTTAACCCCCCCCCCCTGGATATCTCAACTCCGCTATGGAAAGTTTCAAATGAAACTGTCACGAGTGCTTTGTATAAAGAGGGGGGGGGGGGAGGTTCAGAAAGTGTAACGAGACAATAGCATTTAAAGAAATATTGTTAGAAACGTAATTGATCACTTAAAAGCACCACCGACGTATTCATAAATAATTAAATATAGATCTAGAATCTAGATTTAATCGCTAATTTCTCATGGCTGATATCTAATATAGGCTGAAAACAGAGTTTCTTCCAGGCATCTCTTCGGGGGGGGGGGGGGGGGGGGGGGGGCTTCCCCCGAAAAAATTTTACCGCCCCCCCCCCCCCGAATGAAATGAAATTTATATAGAAATATATACTTTTAACAGTGTCCGCCCCCCCCCCCCCCCGAAGAAAGTTAGTCTACCCCCCCCCCCCCCCCCGGAGAAAAAAGTCTGGAAGAAACACTGTCTGAAAACAACTAGGCCTAAATCTAAACAAAACGTTATTAATAAGAGAGTTCAGAGATATAGACTCTAAGTATTATTAAGTATGAAGTAAGAGTTTAAGACATTTTAATGCTTAAAATATTTTATTGGAAAGATCTAACTAATGAGTAATGAGAACGTAAATAAATAACAAATGAAATACAGAAATAGTTTTGAGGGAATCGGCTAAGAGGGTGGGAACTGTAATATTGTACAACAGTACATTTATTGTCATTGTGCCATAGACCGAGATTTTCTAGAAGAACAAAGTAATTTATTAATAAATCTAGAATCTAGATTAGATCCATAATGATCCAGGTAATGTGAGGTAATACTATTACTAGCGTTACTGTAAAATACTCGTACAGGTGCACTTCCGGGTGAGTATGCCGAAAACAAAATCGTCTTAGATTTCATTGAGAAATCTCTGTGACTCATTTTTACCTACCTTGTGGAAAGTTACGAGCTTTCATATTTTTCTCTTGGTACTCACACTCCGGTATAAAATATTGTGGAATAATTCTTCAGTTCGGGTTTGTTGAAATTATTATATAATCTAGAATAGCATCTAAAAAACCGTGGATTAAAACTAAAAGATTCAGAATATTTTGAATTATTTTCTGGATTGTTTTTAATTTTTAAAGAACAAAACAATGAATTATGAATCATTAATCTCAGTCATGGCAGTGGCATCTAATATTTTTAAACTAAGTAGGTAAATCAAGGTCTATTAGTTTAACTTTAAGCCTAGAGCCTAATCATGACATTTACTGATTTAGGCCCCCAATGCCATTAGCCCACTAGTCTAGCTAGTAGCTAGGATAGCAGCCTACTTCATAATAATTAATAATATTATATTTTAAGTTTAATATAATATATTGGATGATATTTCGAGCTGTGCCTTTAGGATTTCATAGTGTCATCAGCCAACCAATCAAACATGAGCTTTCTCAGTGTTTTGCTTGGTATCTGACGTCACGCGACATGAAACACCGAACCCCCTACTTCTTGTCTCAAAAGTCTGACTCCTCCCCTCCATATGAGTGCGACTTTGTTTATGTTTAATATGTAATATGTAGGTCTATGAATGACCACGAACATTATGCCAGACCCATTGAATTTTTTTGTACTAAGTAACTAGTCACTGAAGGTGAGAAAAAAATCAGTAAATTGAAGTTAGATTTAAATGACTTAAAGAGAGTGTAGATCAGAACTTGAAATACAGAATTAGGATATGTCAGTCCTATGAAAAGATAGTCGGGCAGGAGTATGTTTGAGTTGTGGGTAGACAAGGCTCGTTAGCTGGGAACAGCAATTCATCTAAGAGAGAAAACTCCAAAATCAAACAACCTGCAGATTGTTCATGGGTGTACACATGCCTTTTAGCAAATCATGAATATATTAAATATATTAAAATTAAGAATGAAGAAAATTTAGGTCAAAATGTTTGATAGAATTCCTAATATTGTATGCTAGTAAAGTCAGTAAGTGTACTGTTAATAATCCATTTAGTAAATTATGTTATTTTATAATTAAAATAACATTGTTTTTTTTCTTTCCAGGCTGTCTGATGATTTAAGAATATAATTAAAATTTTAAAATATCCAATCCTTGAATGCACAGTTTTCAGTTATATGTGAGACCATCTTTGACTTAGATAGTTTAAAAATGCCTTCAGGCAACTTAACTGTGAATGAAGCAGAAGTGGTCAAGCTTATTGCAGAATTCCTGCAAAACAGAACTCTTAATATTTCTATGCTCTCTGTGGAAAGAGAGACTGGGATTATCAATGGAATTTTTTCAGATGATATGTTGTTCTTAAGGCAGCTCATCCTGGATGGGCAATGGGACGATGTCATTGATTTTATTCAGCCACTGATATCTATAGAAGCGTTTGACAGGTAGGCTAAGTTTAAATGAAATAATTACATACTTAATAGTTTAGTTTACACAGACATTACATACAGTAGAGAGTAGATTATGCTAATAATAATTATGCATGTTCAGGAAAGTTATGCCTAAAGACTAAATATAATGTAATGTTGATGGAAGAATGTAGTCTTGCGCTATTTAAAAAAATGTCAGCCTTATTACTAAATATTTTTTTTAGGCTTATGATTAAAAAAGCAGAAGTATTACAGTAAAATACTTTTTATATATCAAAAAGCTTTAATACAACTTAATCTATATATATTATAATTCTCTTCTTGGAGACCATAGAAAGCACCAAGCTGTAAGCGCGCTCCCTACAGTACCACCCCCACCCCTACATGGTCTGGTGAGCTGTGGTTCACGCTAAATGTTTACAATTGTAGAGCCGGGTTTAGTGACGGCTATTATGGGCAGATAATTTAGTTTGAAACAATTTTAAACTTAGGGGAGGTAACTAAGAGGAGGCTGCTTTCACGGGGGGGTGTGTAGGGGTTGGGGAAAGGAGGGGAGGTTATCGTCCTTAACGAGCTACTGATAGTGTTTTAAAGCAAATATATTCAGTGGCAGCATTGATACTGTCGAATTCACAAATTTGAATTACTGAAAAGTAGAAAATAAAACAACTAAATAGCGGCGTATGATACGCCGCGGGTCGGCTCGTACTGTCTAATAGACAAAGGCTTGATTAAGGGTGCATTTTAAAATGTGCTCATGTTTCAAATTCAACTTTCTGCAACAAAGATGCCAACATTAATTATTGTATTTCTTTATTCCTCCTCATTCTTAGCAAACGATTTCAATATGTTATACTGAAGCATAAGTACCTGGAGCTGTTGTGCATCAAGTCTGAGCCCAATGTGATGCAGAACTATGAAACAACTGTTGATGAAGTGGTTAAATGTCTAAACACTCTGGAAAGCTTATGTGCTAGTAAAGAAGAATACAGGTGAGTGAGTGATGGTCAGTGCAGATAATTAGAATACAGGTGAGTGGGTGATAGTCAGCCCAGTAAATTTGATTATAATATCTGAGTGAGTGATTGTTTGTTCAGAAAAAGTTTGCTGTGATGAGAATAACTGTTCAGGTCATTGTTGTGGACTTAAGATAAGCTTTTAAAATGACCACATGTAGCCCCACCTTAAGCTTTTAAAATGACCACATATAACTCCACCTTTGCAATATGCTGTCCAGCTGCTAATGTTAAAACCATATTTCCCTCAAGTTTTTGCCCTCCTCCCCCCAAAGTCTATCATGAAACACCTACTTAGAGTTTGAAAAGTATGAAAACTAACTTGATGTTTAGTATGCATATAGGGCTGGTAAGTAGGTCACCAACCAGTTCTATGGCTCAATAAAACCTGCATAAGCCATAGAACTGGTTGGTGACCTACTTACCAGCCCTATATCTCTATGGTCAAATTCTTACAAATGGTAGCTGCAGTGAGGTTAATTCAGTTGTTTGTAATTGTGAGGTAGCTATCTGTTCAAATTCTTAAGTTATTAGTCATATATTAAGGAAACTGAAAATAAAACTATAAATTTAAAGCCTAAAATAACATAAGTATTTTTAATTAAACCAATTTTTAAAAGTTATTTTCTTAGTGGTTTAGAATTATTGTTGTACATTAAGTAAAAAGAATGCAGAAAGACTGATATTGCCTAGTTTTAAAAAGAAATAGCTTAGCTCTGAAGAGTAAAAGCAGACTTTACTGTGGTATTCAGTATGTTCTTAGAACATAGTTTTTAGTTAGTTAGCAAAATAAACTTAGTGTACAGCAAATCATAAGCTAAATTTGTGCAACTTTTTTTTTATCTCACTAGCAACCTATGCTTTTTGTTGTCACTGCCAAAGCTGTCAGACCACAGTGAATACCAGAACTGGAATCCTAGTAATGCAAGAGTAGAATGCTTTAGACAGGTAAGAGTGGAGTGCTTCAGAAACATTTAAATATACTTTCAAAATCAGTTTTTAACATGAGTAAAGTGCTTCATTTGTGTGAATGTTTTTAAAAACACCGTAATAAAAGGGGCTGAAAATAAAACATACTTGCATCCTTTAATAAAGGCTTTGGTCGCTCATGAGATCTCTTACATATTTTAGCAACCCAATCTTTTATTCAGCAAAATCAGTGCATTCGAAGTGGGTCAAAATTGAATTACAAGATTTGCCACAAACCCACAAAAAAAGCAAACAAACAAACAGACTAAAAAATGTGGACTAAATAAAAGCTTTTTTGAAACATAATACAGAAATCTCAACAAACATTTTTGAATGAATAGCATTAAGCAGTGAAGTTAATATACAATTTAAAGCTACTGCAGAAAATATAAAATTTGCTGAACTGTTAAAACTGATATAGTCTTGTCAAAGAATGAAGTTGGAACTATTTATTTTATTAAAGATACATCTTAGTTTTCTATCACCCTAATACTTTATGATAAGTGAAGTAAAAAAATTGCTCGACCATTAATTCTATGATGGAACTTTAAATTTTTTCATTTATTTGATAAAATATGTACCGGGTTGAAATAGGTCCAACTAAATACTAATTTAACTAAACCTAAGGAATTTACAATTTTTAAAATTTATTTTGTAAAAAGTTTATCCCGGTTGAAATAGGTCTGTGTTAATTTTATGATGGAACTTTAATTTTTTTCATTTATTTGATAAAATATGTACCGCGTTGAAATAGGTCTAACTAAATTATAATTTAACTAAACCTAAGGAATTTTAAATTTTAAAAATTTATTTTGTAAAAAGTTTATCCCGGTTGAAATAGGTCTGTCTAAATAAAAATTAAATTTTGTTTTTCTATTTGTGGCCACAGGTGGAGCCATTGTTAAGACCCTACCTGCCCATAGAGAAAAAAGATGAACAAAAGAACCAAATGAGCTGCAATGATCGCCTAATGCAGCTGGTCCTGAAAGGGATGCTCTATGAGTCGTGTGTTGATTTTTGTCAACAGCAGGTGAGTAGGTTTAAAGTGATGGCTGCTTTAAAGATAGGATTTGTTTATCTGATTCATAAAATGTGTGTAAAGCTTTGGATTAGTTTTGTTGTAAATGACATAGGATCATGCCAAACAGCCCTAATATTAAACAGGTATTTGGGTTCTTTATAAAAAAAAAAAAAAAAAAAAAAGCAAAGTTACACTTTCAGATATGTAACAGAGTTCACCTGTTTCTCTGACCTCATAATATGAAGGGATGGTGTGGTCAGTTCTATTTTGCTTCTATTTTGGTATCAAGAGTCAGAGATAAAACTTACCAGTTTGTTTTAAAATAGTTATAGTACAAAATAACATGCTTTAGTAATATTTCTTTTGATATGTCCAACATCCACCTGGAAAAATGTCAAATAAACTTGAATTGTTTATGGAAATATTGTTATTGAGGCGGTCTAGTACATCTGTTCTATTGTTTTAATCAGTCAATTTTAAAGTTATGGGGTGGCATGGCCTAGCTGTAGAGAGCTGGACTGCTAACTCGAAAGTGTCAAATTTGAATCCGGGTTCAAATAAGTAGAACGTCCCTGAGTTCACCCAGCTCTGATGGGTACCTAACTCACGTTAGGGAAACAAATGCGGCTGGGCTTAATGCTGTCCACATTATCCCCTAGTATGCAGATGTCATTGAAACAGATGAACCCATGTTTCTTAGGCACAAACGGGAAAAGATAATAATTTTAAAGTTGTTTCATTTATCTTATTTCAGACAAAAAATGGTTTTTAAAAAAAATGGATTTTAAATAAATAATTAATGATAATTAAAACTATTTAATCAGGCCACAGGTGGGCAGGGTGGTCTGGCATATTCCACACTTCTCAATGACACTGGCTTCAGCGATGCAGACCTCTCCCTGCTAGCCTGGCTGCAGTGTATCCCCTTCGAGGTGTTCTCCTGCCCGTTTGAGCAGAAGGCTATCAATGTGGACATCAGACCTCTCATCAAACCATCTCTGGAGGCATCGTGGTCTGAGCAAATCCTAGTGACGCCCATCAAACCTAAGATGTTCCCGCATTCAGCCGTTCCGTCGGTAAGGTCGAGGTCAGAGCTGATGACAAGATCGCTGAATCCACAGTTTGATGGATTATCTAGCGGATTGTGGCAGGGTGAGTTATAGTGGATTTAACTTTTAAAAATCAGAGATGAAAGAACTAGAAAAAATTAATTATGTTTTATTTCTATCAAAAGTTTAAAAAATGAATGCAATAGAATATATTGAAATATAATGCTGTAAAGTTTATATAATAAATATTGTAGAAAAAGTTAAATGATTATAATTTTGTTCTTTTTATATCAAAAGTTTAGAAAATGAATGCAATAGAATATAGTGAAATATAATGCTGTAAAATTTATAAAAAATATTGTAGAAAAAGTTACATGATTATAATTGTTATGTTTCTTTAGAATAATAATCTACTTTTCTGAAATATTTAATAATTTTCTGATACTAATAGCTTTTAAAAAGTAAAAAAAAAATGTCTTTATAAGAATAATTTTACTTTTCTTGTACAACTGTTCTTGTACATATGTTTTAATTAGTCTATGTTAAAGTGGTTTCATTTTTATTTATCTTACTCCAGCCAACTATAAATTTAAAAAAAAACTTAAATTATAATTGACATTATTGTATCAGGCCAGAAAAGAAGTGTATTATTTTTAATTATTAATTACAAAACTTCTCTTTTAAGGCAACCGACTGGAGTGGTCTACTCCACCATCTCAGAACGCGCTATCGCAGTCCATGATGCCTGCCGGGAATTTACTGAACAACCGAGACCCTATGCTGATGTCCATGGACAAGCTGTTCTCTGAAGGGGAGGTTATCGACACAAGGGCTTCGATTTCAGAGGAGCTCAAAGGTTCTCCCAGAGTTAACCTTAGTATGACCAAGGTACCTGCTGTTAGCATAGGGCATGGATACTTAAATACTGGACACATAATAATTTCAAATCTCTATATGTTTGTAGTGTGTGAAATATCATTTCAGAAATTATTGAATAGCTGTAACTAATATTGTGTATATGGATTATGTATATGGATAAAAAGATGAGAATCTACTATTATTATCAAATAAATAATATGATTTGCACTGTTTTTTGCTGGAAATATTTTTGAACTGCTCCTATAGGAATGGTATTTTGAGGCAGAGTAAGAATAAAATAATAAACATAATAAATTATGATAAAATTAAAACTTGTCTTTACTAAAAATTGTTTAATGTTTAAAAAAAACCTAGCAGCGACAGAATTTAAAAACAAAAAAGTATTCTGATTTTAATTAATTGATAATATATTTATATGGTCTCAAATCGGCCTACTGTTTATGCGATTTTGTATTTGATATATAAATATAACTTCACACTCATATTACCATTTTTAACATCAGAATTCAACAGAAGAGGGATTTCATTTTGAAAATTGGTTAATTATATCTGAAGGCATCAAACAGGCCTTCTGTTTATGCATTATTAGTATTTGATTTGTGAATATTACATTTTAAAAGCAGATTAAAATAAAAAATAAAAAACTAGCAGCAGCAACCAGAATTTTGACAAATTTCATTTTTAGCTGATAACATTACAGGCATCAGATAGGCTTACACCACAGATGTATTTGATTAAAAGCAGATTATCACGCTCATTCTCTTTTGTGTGTGTATCACTAGCCCGGCAGCCCATCCCCTGCCATGAAGGTTCCCCCCCAGTCGGCGTCCCCCACCCGTAGCATCACAACAGACAAGACCCAGGGCACCGAGTCCCCTCTGTGGGGGGTCCCAGTCCTCCAGTGTCAAGGACTCCAGTAATGAGCTGTACAAAGAGTATCAGAGACAGAGGCAGCGCCTGCAACAGCAGCTGGAGATACAGGTATAAATGTCCTTTACCAATGAGTTAAAATTGCTCTGAATATTAATACTAAATATTAATATTATTACAATTTTTTTTCTTTCTTTTTTTCATTTTTTTTTTATAAGGAAAAGTAAAAAAGTTCAAAAAGAATTGATGGAAATTTTTATAAAAATGTATGTCCTTATCAAAAAAAGTTAAAATCTCTTTTTAAAAGTTGATCTTTTTAAAATTGCTCATTGGTAATCTTAAAATGTCCTTTGCAAATATTAAATTTTTAAAATATTTTTTTCAGGAAAAACAAAGAGAAATGTATCAAAAAGAGTTGATGGAAATAGAAAAGAAGACCCAGCATGCCATGGGAGATAACCGCTTATCTGAGGAGCTAAGGTTCTCCCAGGGTGAACTCTCTTTGTCTTCAATGCAGATAGGTGGAGGTAGGTTTTTTTTTAATTGTTTTTTTCTTTCACTTTTTAAGTATACAAGTTTTGCTATTTATTTATAATTAATAAATGTTGCAACATCTGTATTTATTTATTTCTTGGCTTTCTATTTTATGTTTTATATTATTTTAAGAAGAATCATAGAACAACCAAACTCAAATATTTTAAAATTTATTTATAAAAATTGTATTTACACTAAAATATTCACAACATAGCAGGCCAATCTTGAATAATTATCTTACATACTTCAGGCTAATTATCTTTTTTTAGGATTTAGTTGTATATGCCTACATGATAGGTACACTATTTGAAATATTGCACAAATCCCATGAACATATGCACAAACCCCATGAACACATACATTCAAATCTTGCATTCAACTAACATACAATGGAACATTCATACACTCATACACACATGCACTATAAACTAAGCATACAAAATTATATGTACAGATAAACTATACATTTTAAATGATTCATATTAATATCAGTGCAGGGGAAATCAGCTAATATTGAATCGTGTTACTTGGGGGTGGGATTGGGGGGGGGGGGGGAGGTTGTTGCTATTTAACATCAGGTCATATCATAACATGTGGGATAAAATATGGCTATGAAATCAGCTGATATTAAATAAATTGTTATACTTGGGGGGGGGGGGGGGGGGTTGTTGCTATTTAACATCAGGTCATATCACAACATGTGGGATAAAATATGGCTATGAAATAAGCTGATATTAAATAAATTGTGTTACTTGGGGGTGGTGGTGGGAGGGGGGGGTTGTTGCTATTTAACATCAGGTCATATCACAACATGTGGGATAAAATATGGCTATGAAATCAGCTGATATTAAATAAATTGTTATACTTGGGGGGGGGGGGGGGGTTGTTGCTATTTAACATCAGGTCATATCACAACATGTGGGATAAAATATGGCTATGAAATAAGCTGATATTAAATAAATTGTTATACTTGGGGGGGGGGGGGGGTTGTTGCTATTTAACATCAGGTCATATCACAACATGTGGGATAAAATATGGCTATGAAATAAGCTGATATTAAATAAATGGTGTTACTTGGGGGTGGTGGTGGGAGGGGGGGGGTTGTTGCTATTTAACATCAGGTCATATCACAACATGTGGGATAAAATATGGCTATGAAATCAGCTGATATTAAATAAATTGTTATACTTGGAGGGGGGGTTGTTGCTATTTAACATCAGGTCATATCACAACATGTGGGATAAAATATGGCTATGAAATAAGCTGATATTAAATAAATTGAGTTAAACTTGGGGGAAGGGGGGGGGGGTTGTTGCTATTTAACATCAGGTCATATCACAACCTGGGGGATAAAATATGGCTATGAAATAAGCTGATATTAAATAAATTGTGTTACTTGGGGGAGGGGGGGTTGTTGCTAATTCAATTAATTTTGTTACTTGGAAGGGGGGGTTGTTGCTATTTAACATCAGGTCAGATCACAACCTGGGGGATAAAATATGGCTATGAAATCAGCTGATATTAAATAAATTGTGTTACTTGGGGGTGGGATGGGGGGGGGGGGGTTGTTGCTATTTAACATCAGGTCAGATCACATCCTGGGGGATAAATGAAATCAGCTGATATTAAATAATTGTGTTACTTGGGTGGGGGGGGGGGGGGGGGGGGAAGGGTTGCTGCTATTTGACTAACTGGCAATTTAACTTGATACTGCTATTACAAATTTCTTGTCTATTTACTTTATACATTGACTTCTTGAAAAATATATACAGTTGGCTAATATGTACAGTTTTTGCATTGGAAGCATTGCACTAAATTATTGCACAAACCCCTAGTATAGCACCACAATGAACCATCCATACTGCTTACACACAATAAATAAAACATCCATACTACTTACACACAATGAATGAAACATCCATACTGCTTACACACAATGAATGAAACATCCATACTGCTTACACACAATGAATGAAACATCCATACTGCTTACACACAATGAATGAAACATCCATACTGCTTACACACAATGAATGAAACATCCATACTGCTTACACACAAGGAATGAAACATCCATACTGCTTACAGTTACACACAATGAAAATACTATACACATTGTTTACATAAGATGATTCAAACATCCAACTTGACACATACATACATCAATTATACCATTCAAACCTGAAAGACATTGGTAGGCTGTTAGTTATATACAGTTGTGTACCATTTCCATATAGTGTCAGTCTCGTCTAGGTAGTGGTTTAGAGCTGATATTACTTAATACAGGTAGCAGTTTAGGATTAGAGTGAAGTCTCAATCCTTGTAAGATTAAGGTATTAGAAGTAGACCTAGTATTAGAAATAGAAGTAGAATTAAATGGCTATAAATAGTAACATCAGGTGCTATCACACCTTGGGGGGATACCATATCACTAAATGTGAATCTGATAAAGGTGTCAAATCAGCTGATATTAATTGAGTTAGATTAGGATTAGAGTGAAAGATTAAGGTATTAGAAATAGACCTAATGGCTATAAATAGTAACATCAGGTGCCATCATACCTTGTGGGACATCATATCACACAAGGTGTGAATCTGATAAAGGTGTGAAATCAGCTGATATTGAGTTAGCAGATTAGGATTAGAGATTAAGGTATTAGAAGTAGACCTAAATGGCTATAAATAGTAACATCAGGTGCCACCACACCTTTGGGGGATACCATATCACAAGGTGTGAATCTGATAAAGGTGTCAAATCAGCTGATATTAATTGAGTTAGATTAGGATTGGAGTGAAAGATTAAGGTATTAGAAATAGACCTATTGGCTATAAATAGTAACATCAGGTTCCATCATACCTTGGGGGGATACCATATCACTAGGTGTGAATCTGATAAAGGTGTGAAATGAGCTGATATTGAGTTAGCAGATTAGGATTAGAGTGAAAGATTAAAGTATTAGAAGTAGGCCTATTAGCTATAAACATCAGGTGCCATCACACCTTGGGGGACATCAGAACACACCAAGGTGTGAATCTGATAAAGGTGTGAGATCAGCTGATATTAAAGCACTGTTCTATATCAAAAGAGCTACAAGTAGACAAGGTTACAGTAGAGGGTCTAATTGTGCATGGATGTAAACTGTATAAAAAGGTATAAAATTATTATTTAGAAAACACCAATTTTGACATAAGACATTTAACTAGATGACATGACACTAGTAGCCTTGGCATTGACATAAATAAAAATTAAAAAATAAATAAATCACCGGGTTGATCATGATGAAAGACATGAGGTAGAAACTATATACACAAGCTATTTGCTTTGGAAGTCCTTGGGAGTTGGCACAATGTGTTCACTATATACAGCAAGACACAGCAACAGTTGTGGGGCATGTTTCCTATATCCATACTTATTCCATGTTCCGTGTGTATAGAATAGCAATGTAATAAACGTGTCAGTTGTTGATCTTCTAGATACTGGTGACACAGTTAGGTGATCAGTGATGGTGGCGTCATTCTTGATAGTTTTGAAAGGTGGTATCACTATGAAAATATCGTTTTGAATGGTGGTATCACTATGAAAATATCATTTTGAATGGTGGTATCACTATGAAAATATCGTTTTGAATGGTATTATCACCATGAAAATATCATTTTGAATGGTGGTATCACTATGAAAATGTTTTGAATGGTGGTATCACTCTTGATGGAAGTTTGATGAGTGGTGTCAGTCTTAATGAAAATACGATGGTGTTTTTGTAGTATTTGCAATACTTTATGCGATGGTAACTTCTGTGATGAGAATAGATGGATAGACATTGGGTGGTAGAACAATCTGAAAAATTAAAAGGTAGAATATATTAGGAATTTATTAGGAAGTACTTAGTTTATTGTTTTTGGGGGGGGGGGGGGGGGAAATAATTTATACCAAGCGCTCAACATTTAAAAACAAAATCTTAGAAGCATGATGGTAACCCATTAATATACTTGAAGCGAACATTACTCAGCACAATTTGACTGGTTGTGATTTGTAATTATTCTTGGGATAAAACTAAGAAAACAAGTGAGACGATATCTAAACAACTAGTGTAGAAAACAGTGACAGCTATGGTCGCAACATTTACTGCTAGGTCTATACATTTTTAATATTTTTAACGATCACAAGATCACAACGTGTATGGCTTTAAACTAATATAATATTTATATATCTATCGACTATACCATGATCAACTAATGAAGAATAAACGAGTAGATCTAGACCCCACTTATTACTGTTCCTGACTATTTTGTAGACCATGTTTAATAGGCCGATACACTATTCAAAACTAAGTTTTTTTATTAAGGGTTTCGGGCTACTTATGACAAAATGAAATTAGATAACCACAAAAACCGTAGTTTACGACAAAGCCCTATGCCGGCTCAGTCACTGGCTTTAAAAAAAAAAAAACTTGAAATGCTCCAGGCCTAGGCCTAAATATTACTAAATAAATTAATAAGAATTAAGATCTAGGCCTACATATTATAAGTAATAAAACTTTTAGTAGCTAATCTGTTGATCACATAATTGATATGGTTCGAACTTATCTCGTAATCCAACAGTATTAAATTTAAAAGAGCTACTGTTTTTCGGGTTAATCAATTATTTCATGCAGGGCATATGGGGGGGGGGGGGGGGGGAGTTAAGAAAAGTGACCAATAATAGTGATGCAAAATTTTAAAGTATTCATTTAGATAAAAAAATATATCAGTATTTAATGAGGGTGATGCTGGTACGTGACGTGTTACGCTTGATGTGACGTTAATGACTTATTTTGGTCACAAGATTGACATTTCTTTTAGTTGTAATGGGTTTTGCACCAGCATAGAAGAGAACCGCTTTTACTCCTTTTACAGATTACCGACCTTAGTATCAGTCCGTTGAAATACCTATTACCATTCGGATGTTAATTGCAAATTCATGAAAGTTTAAAAGGTCAGACTAAGTTACATGAACT